TCCCCCCCCCCCCCCCCCCCCACACACACACACGCCCCCACACTCAGACATCCACCGTTCAACCATCTCAGGATGGAACACAAGCCTAACAGCTTGGTCCCATAGCGCGAACACTAATGTCTCTTCCAGACGTCATACACACAGTCGGCAGCTTACATATGGACTCATCAGCCCGTCACGCGCCTTCATGAGGATGCACCGACCAGGCAAGGCGGCTCACACCCCATGTCCTGCTGGTACCTCTGCCGGCTTGTCGGACGACATGGCATGACGCCGGAGACACATGAAGAAATAGTGGAATATCGCCAAGCCTGGAGGACAGAGAACACGCAATCTCACAATGCCAATGGGTCCACGGGAGAGCACTGCTGGCGGTGCGCACCAGCGAGAGACCCCAGCGCAAAGACGGCGGACAGCGGGGTCATCCAATCAATGATGTCGTAGATGGGGTCATCTCGAATCAAGGTCACGGCTGCATGGCACATGCCACACACACTCGGAGTCGCATCCGACTCAGCTGAGAATTGTCAGTGCACTGATCTCATGTGTCTCTGACCGGCATTCACAGGGATATACAGGCAGCCAACGATTAGAGACACCAGCAGATGGCGATTGAAGAAGGGGATGCGGTTCAGCACAAACTCGATGACCAGCAGCAGGAGCCCGCCTCCGTGAAGCTGCACAGTCACGGCGAAGTCGTAGTCAAAGTTCTCGTCACCATCCAGGTATCTGCAAAGGAGAAAAGAAGCGACACAGGCAGGCAGGTCACAGTGTATTGTGTGATGACACGTGCCTTGGGAGCCAGAGGAGGGTCCAAAACAGTATGGTGATCACGGCCTCGAAGGGAAGGGCAATCTCAAACAGGACACATGTCCATCGGCGCAGGGGACGCCCGCCAGCGTCCTTGTCGCCTTGCAATTGGTAGGAGCTCAAGACGACAGACGCAATCGCATAACCGCCTGCAGCAATAACGCAAGGCCACTGGTGTCAAGCCATGTTGTGTCTCCGTCAAACATCAGATGTCTCATGGTCACCGCTAATAATGAAGCCCCAAATCGTCAAAAATGCAAAATACTCGCCCGTGAGATTTCTCTGAGGCCACACAATCACCAAGCAATAGACCGGTACCTCCCTCCCGTATGACGAGCCCTCTCCGTCTTTGTGGACTGACCTCAAAACCAAGGGCAAACCACACGACGAAATCTGCAAAAAGAGAGAAGGGGATCGTTCGGCTGCCTGACCACTGCAGGCCTGCTGTGTTTGTTGCATTGCTTGTGTCTGTCTTACAGATGGCGAACAGGATCCTAGTGACAAGCGTACTCACCGGGGCACACCCCCAATACTCGAACACCGACCCGCTGCATGAGGAAACACACAGACAGACAGACACTTGAAGGTAATCATCCAAGAGTCGGGTGAACTTACGTGATCGCCTGGTCATAGTGCGGCGGCCAGAGCCATTCCAAAATTCCACCCTTGGAGGCGCTGTTGTTGACATCGGCGGCTTCACGTTGGCCCGTCATCTCAGCTTCTTTCCGTTCGTGCGGTCAACGGCTGCGGCGATGAGGTGAGCCCCTCGCCAGCCCGGTCCGCAATGTCGGACGGCCTCTGAGCCACCCTCCTTCTCGCGGATGAGTCAGGGAAATACAAATACAAGCAAACACGATGGCAAACGGCAAACAATCGTTTCACGCAACATCGTTTCCCGCTTAGGACATTTCGTGAAACGGCTCTCTCTTAGTTTTGGCTGTCCCTCAACGAGTGTAGCGTAGCCTTAGCCGTCGCGCTGTATCGCACGATTGGGTAAGAATTGGAAGTTCAGCATCGTTCCGCCGGACCAGCAGACCGTCGCGAGGCCAGTTTGATCCTACGATGGTGCGCGGCTGCTTCCAGCCGCCTGCAAGACGCTGCTAGATCCAACATGGTGAGCGAACATACTCCCAAATGATGCGCGACGCAAGGCGGCAGCGATTCATGGCCGTGGATGCAAATCCGTGTTTGCGTGGCTGCTGCAGCGTTCGTCTGGTCGTCGTGAAGGCATCCCGGATGTAAGCATTGGGCGAGAAGGGCGGGAGGGTCTCATACGATTGACTGAGGGCGTATAGGGATGTGATGTGTGTGAATGACGCAGGCTCGTATGGCGTATGCTCCTTCGCCTGTGACGTTCACCCCGCCACCCAACCTAGACCCACTCAACAGGTGCGTACCCTGAACAGCGATCAATGGCTGACAGACAGCTGTGCTGACGACATGAATGTGTCATCTCACCATGTGTATCATATGCCGTGTGCATGTTGTCTGGTCTTGTTTTGTCAGGCGTCCTCCATACCATGCGGCTGCGCCTCCTTCCCCCGGTGATTTTGAGCAGATGCTGCAGGGCCACAGCCCACCCAGACCTCACGAGGAACCACCAGCACCTCTCGACACTGAGGACCAGGTGTGTACCCACACACAGATGCACATCCGTCACGTATGCAGCAGGCATTCCCCTTGTTGATGGTGTCCGTGTGTCGTGGCCATCTTTCCTCAGGACCCCGCCATCCCCCACCCCGCCGGCGCGTTCCTGGACGACTCGCTGGGCCTCCCTGGTCCCCATGCGGCTGGCGGTGAGATGCCCGGTGGCCGCATCAGTGTCGGCAGAGCTCCGGGGGAGGACCAGATGCGGCACGACATCGACCAATCGAGTGCCAGCAACCAGTCACCCGATCCAGGAGGTGAGAACGGACACAGCACCACTCACTCAGAGGACACAGACACTGTACCAATTTGATATCATCGGTTTGTCGTTTCCTGTTTGTCAGCTCGCGACCGTCGTGCCGGCACAGCGCCGGCGGCGTTTGCGTATCCGCAGCTCAACGGCATGGGTGACGAGCCGCACCTGGCGGACGAGTACGGCCAGCCCTTCTCCCCTCCGCCACGGTCTGAAGCCCCCTCCCACTATCGCACACCAGCCAGAGGGCCCCCAGAGCAGTCAGGCTCAGTCAAGGACGGAGGCACCCTCTTCTCATCCCCAGAGGCGGCCGCAGCAATGGAGAGGAGCGTCGGGCGGGGCGTTGACCTCACTCCAGGCGAGGCGGACGCCATGTCGGCAGCGGGGGGGCAGGGGCTGCCCTCCTCGTCCAGGCAGCCCCCTGGTGTTGCTGAAGACCCCTCGGCGCCCCAGTCACATGACCCGGCATCAGCACGAGGTCGCGCAGAGGGTCAGGAGGAGTGGGAGTCGTTCCTAAATCCGCGGGGGGTTCGGGCGCAGCAGGACTCGAGCAATGGTGATGATGACAATGACGGCAATGGGAATCGGGATGGGGAGGGGGAGGAGGGTGGTGACACACCGTCACGGCGGCCGTCTCGCCCACCGCCCGAGTACTCGCCTGGCGGTCTGTCTGTGGTCGGGAGTCCGCAGCCACACGAGCGTGGCCATGGAGGGGCGGGAAGAGAGGGATACTCCGGACGAGGAGGGATGCTGAATCATGCTGGGTAAGGGAGACAAGCAAGATGCGGCAGAAGATAGGCCTGTCACTCATGTCCTTGTCTGTCATGTGCTGGATGCCATGATGCAGTCTTGGTGGCGTTCAGTCCCCCGAGGCGGCAGAAGCCTCTCGTGTGTCGTCGTCCCTCGCCCCCTCCCCGCTGCCCACCTCGCCCCCACCCCCATACACACCCGGCATGGCCAGCAGACGGGGCGCCAACCAGACGCCCATCAACAGGGGCATCGGCACCGACACACCACACCCACAACCACCCGCCCCCGCTGCTGCTGCCGCCATTCCGCCGAGACCAACACCATCCGGACAGCCACAGTTGCAGCCCCCGCAGCTAGATGAGCATGTCTGTGAGCGTGAGCACGGCCGTGGCCGTGGTATCCGTGTCAACGGCGAGGGCCACGCCACCGGGCTTGATATGGGAGCCGGCATGCGGCACCCCTTGACGCGCGACTCCCAGGACCAGCGCGCCAGGGACAGAATGCGGCAACGGGGTGGGGAGGGTGACAGTGATGGTGTGCAGCAGCAGATGGACATCCAGGAGGAGCGACAGCAGGGCCGTGGGGGTGAGGGTGCTGGGAGGGACGTCGACATGCGGCCCCGGAACAACGCCTCCATGAGGGAGCCCATGCACAAACCATCACCAGTACGCAACAGACCGAGAGCACACTAGGCACACCAACCGCCACACACCTTCACTCACTCTCTTCACGCTCCCATTTATTTATTTGTGTCGTCAGCTATTTCGCCGTGGCGACCCTCAGCCACACCCTGCTGCAGCTGCGCCCAGTGAGGCGCCGAGGGACGACCACAGCCCTCCCCGCCCCCCCACTACCCACCCTGCTGACCGCACCAGCTCACCTGGGGGCAAATCGCGTGACTCGAGTGACCTGGGCATCGGTCGTCTGGACGGGGGCAAACTCAAGCGGCGGCCCACTGGCGGGGACCGCGGTCACCGGCCGCCCAGCCAGGAGGACCAGGGAGACGAGCATGAAGAGACGCAAAGGGGCGCTGCTCCACGTAAGCCAATGGCGACAGATCAGGCAGACGACGTGGTTGCAATGTTCCTCCCTGTCTGTGTGTTGGTCAATGTCTGTGTCTGTGTGCAGGTCGTATCGCCCCCACCTTTGTGCAGAGCCTGAAGGACCGCGACCGCGACCAGCAGCGGGATCGCCACACCAGCCGCGATCGCCACCGAGACCGAGACGGTGAGCAGGAGGAAGAGGACGACGACCGACCCAAATCACGCCCCTGCTCACAAGACACGGTACGTGACAACGCTGGCAAACTGAAAGCACCAAGGACCGGCGACCGATCCATCGTGTCGGATGGCTGCGTGGTCTCTCAGTTGGCTCGTATGGAGCGCATCAAGTTGCTGTCTAAGCGTGCTGGCATGTATGACGACGAGGACCTCGGCCCGCCGATCGAGCGGCGCCGCCCCGAGATGAAGGTCGACCCCGAACTCAAATTCATGGGCGGCGAGGACGTCACCGAGGAGGAGGTCAGACAGGCCAACAGGGAGGCAGACGAGGAGGCACGGCAACGGGAGCTCAGCCAGCACATCGACCGGCAACTCGCGAGACGACTCCGGGAGCAGGCGGCTTCATCTGCACCAGCAGCAGCAGCGGCCGCAGCGGCTGGCGGTGGTGGTGGGCAGAGGCATCGCGAGAGGATGCTGCGGGACGATCGCGACCGCGATGCCATGCGGCCCCCGCCATCAGGCCAGTCCAGCCGCATTAGCCGCCAGTCGTCACGCAAGCCGCCTGCAGACGCAGACCAGGAGCAGACCGACCAGAGGCAGAAGAAGCGCTCTCCCGAGGCATCACCACCGCCGGCAGCAGCAGCTGCTGCGGCTGCCGCCATCGTGCCGTCCGTGTCACCCCCTCCCCCCGCCCCCCGGCACCTGCCCCCAGCGGCTGACCGTCTTGACGAGATCGATCACGATGCGGCGGTACACGACGCCACGGCTGAGGACGACTATGACGAAGATGAGCATATGGCTGTTGGTGGTGCTGGTGGCGAGGGCGGGGAGGCGCCTGCTGGTGGTCCATCCTCGCGTGGTGGCCGTGAGGGGTCTCGGGGTGCTGGTACTAGCGGTGGTGGTCGTCGTAGGGGCAGTGGAGGCGGCGATGGGGGTGAGGGTGACGGCCAAGGGGATGGGGACGGCGCTGGGGCTCAGGAGCAGGATGATGACGACTACGATCCTGGCGACGCTATGGACATAGGTGAGCACACACGCTGACAGACAGACAGGCATTTACAATCCTTTCTCTCCCTGTCTGTCTGTATGTGTAGATCTGGGCGGCCCACCAGCCGCAGCAGCAGCGGCCGCTGCTGGTGGCATGGGCGGCACAGGAGACGGAGACGGAGATGGAGATGGAGACGAGGAGCCCAAGGCTGCTGAGGTGCAGGCCGGGGCACAGCTCGTCTCACAAGGTAAGGCAGTACACTACCCAGAGCAGACAGCACATACCATACCTGCCCCACAAGACACACACACATATTATGCTTTCTCTGTCTGCTGCGTCAATAAAGGTGTTGGATCGAACAACGTTGTAGCGTCTCGTCGCCGTGAGGATGACGGTGACGGTGACGGCGATGGCGATGAGGACATGCGCGAGCGGCGGCCGACCGACAACCCCTTCCCTCTCATGATGACTCAGGACAGAGGCGTCAGCCCACTCACACGTACATCACCAACCAACCAGCCAACCACACACACGCAATTGTCCTATGTGGTTGTTGGTGTGGTCTGTGTGTGGTTTGCAGCTCCCGAGCAGCCCCCCGCTCCCAAGAAGCCCCGCGGCCGTGTGTACAAGCACCCACACATGGGGGGCAACGCTGGCAGACAGTTCCCAGACTACAAAAAGCTCACCGTAAGCCGACTCACGGACATCCACACACATATGCCCTTCAACGCGCCTGTGTGTCCTTCCTCCATCAGCTGGCCGAGATCATCGGCAACCATTTCGATTCGCGTGGCGCCCGCAAGTCGATTCCTGATAGGGACGGTGAGAGCAACAGCAAGAAGAAGGCCATGCTCGCCATCGCCGCGGTGCCCTCACCCCCACCCCCACCACCAGCTGCCGCGGCAGCTGCAGCTGCTGCTGCTGCGATTGGTGACAGCGGCGACAGGGACGATGAGGTGCACGAGCGGCGGTATCCCAAGCGAGTGCGCTTCCGCCCACTCAAGGGCTGGATGAACGAACACATCGAATACCGCAAAAGGCCCGGAGAAGGTCAGCAGAGAGGACAAACAGACAGGCAAACAGGGAGGAATACACGGACCTACCTGACGTCTGTGTCTCTCTTCCTGTGCGTGCCTGCGTGTGTGTGTGTCGTTCAGATGCGATGGGTTTCGAGGCTGCGTACATCTGTCCGGACGAGACCCCCGAGATACACGGGGGCAAAGCCAAGAAAGGACGCCTCCAGAAAGCGGTATGCAGGCGTACGAGACCCACTCACAACCCACACCATCTCGACATACATGTCTCTGTCGCCACATCAGGATCGTCCCATCAAGCGTGAGGAGTCTGACGAGGACCAGCCGGCCCCAGCAGCAGCAGCAGCCGCCGCTGCAGCGGCCGGTGGTGGTGGTGGTGAGAAGAAGCGTCGCAAGAAGCGAAAGCGTGAGCGTGAGAGGGACAGAGATAGGGATGAGGACGAGGACGACGAGGACGCGCCGCCCGAGCGGGGCATCATGCGGGACCTCGAGGGACAACCACCCGAACTCAGTGAGGCGGGGAAACACCCACAGAGAGAGAGAGAGAGAGAGAGACAGCAGGTGTCATGCCCTTTGTGTCTGTGTGGTTGTGGTTGTGGATGTGGTTGTGTGCAGGGACTGTTGTGCACCGCGACGATGTGCATTTCGTGCGGCTGCCGGATGCGCTCAACGAGCAGGATGACGATGAGGCGGGAGACCGGTTCCAGGTACACACACACAGAGAGAGAGAGGCCAGAGTGCACATGAGACACGTGTACTGGCGTGTGTATCTGCCTGTGTTGTGTGCATCCATGACGCAGTTGGCAGTGTCGTTTGAGCGTCCTGAGGTGTTCATGTGCTACATGACCTTCAGCCCTGGAGACCAAAAGGGATTCGAATCGTCCGAAGACAAATGGCTGGTCAGTCAGCCGGCACAAACCAACCACCGAACTGTCCATCCATCCATCGGTTTGTCGGCCATTCCTTCCTGTGCTGTATGGTGTTGTGTTGTGCAGTTGATGCAGGTCGTTGACGGTCCCGACGACGACAAGACGCTGCTCGTCACCATGGGCAACCGAGAGGAATACGCCGGACTCGGTAAGTCCACCTTCTCACACACATGGCCCCACACAGTGTGTCCATCCACCTCTCGGCGTCTCGTCTCGTCTCATCCATCCATCCATCAGACGACTGGATCCGCGTCCCCCCCGGCACCACATACTCCATCAAGAACATCAGCGCCAGGTATACTGACCCATCCACAGCCCCCCACACACACGAATGCTCCTCCATTGATATCCACGTGTGTGTGTGTGTCAGGGACACATTTGAGGTGCTGTTGACGCTGGTCAACCCAGACCCCAACGCAGAGGCGGCACAGGCGGCACAGCAGGACGATAATGGCGGGCGACAGCCGGCGGCCGCATCAGCTGCTGCTGCTGCCGCTGCGGGGGGCAGCTAGCCAGCTAAGCATCCATATCCACGACGTGTGCGCGAATGAGTGAGCAGGGGGCCCCGATCGAAGACTGTGTGCGTACGTATGCATACGTCTGTGCGCTGTGTTCCGTTTTGATAGCGTTTCTTAAAGGGCAGGATGGCTGGCTGGCTGGCTGGATGGATTGATGTACACGGATGCAATTGTACAATCAGACAGAGAGAGAATCTGCCCACGCCTGCCTGCCTGGGTCCATCTTGGTACGTCCGCTGGTCTGTTGGACTGCGTCAGATGGCTCAGCAGCCACGTGGCGCTTTCCGACAACGTGCGGGTCGTAACCAAGGTCAGCCAGGAGGCGAGAGCAGCAGCACAGGCAGAGTTGTAATGGACATTTTTCCGCATCACGATGGTTGATTGTGTGGCCGGCCCCCTTTCCTTTTGTTTGCCGTGGATGCGCGTGTGGTGTCCGCCCGCGTTTTAAGGTTTCGCCTGCCTGCCTGATTGACCGACGGACGGACGGACGGACGGAAGAGACACAGAACAGGATCGGTCTACCCACACGTATGTATCTTCCTTGAAGAGTATACACCACCAACACTGAAACGGATCTGCTTCACGTGTCTATCCCGCTGTCTGTCGTACCTGCTGTGAGATGGTGTGTGTATGTATTTGTATACGGTGTATGTGTGTGCGTCTACAAACCCCCACCCCATCGCCCATCGATCCACCCACCCAGCCAGCGCAGCCAGGCGTGTGCGTGCATTTTTGGTGTGCAAGTGAGTGAGTCACCACCTGGTGGCTGCCTGTCTGCCTAAATGCGCGAGTGCGTTGAAATGATGCGGTGCCGACGATGGTGGTACAGAGCAGAGACGAGCAGAGCAGAGCTCACTGGTGTGAACGTGTAGACTACAGGGAAGGCAAGGAGGGAGGGACTTGTAGCCGAGGCATGAAATGAGTGTGTTGGATACATCCGTGGAGTGCGGGTGCTGTTTTTGTCTGACTGCGGCCTGCATGCGTAGAACAAACACTTGAGGACGATACTACGGTCAGTTTCTCACCTTCATCTGCCCGGTACAGACCGCACACACAGAGGCGGAAACGTCTGTAGTGGGTAGGTGTTGGTGGATGGTGCGTATGTGCAGTCGTGAACAACCAGCAGATCGGCACGGACGAGAGGCGCAGCGATGGTCATCTGTACAACTAGTAGATGGGAAGGCACGCGTATGTCCGTCACGAATACACGCACACACGCGTCTGCAGCCCCCCTCCACCCTCCCTCCCTCACGCCAGCTTGACTACCTCCAGCTCATCGATCTCAAACTGCCATCCCTTCACTGACACAGGCAGGAACACTCGGTCACTGACACCGCCGTGGTCGCTCGGCCTCACACTCAGCCGCTCCCACTGCCACCACTCGTCGTCCTGATTCTCCACCAGGATGTAGCCCTGGCAGCGCTTCATCGTTTCATCGCTGGCTGCTGCTGGGGCGCCGATCTGAGCAGCCGGACGGATACCGAAGGAGAACCATGCCGTGGCGAGGACGGCCGTCACATCGGAGTCGGGCGAAGAGAAATCGATGAACTCGGTGACTTTCTCCTGCACACATGGATGGAGGGACGGGACCATTACCATGACTGCGTTGCTGGTTCGGATGAGTACCCACCTGTGTGCCCGCGATTTCGATGTCGCTGCGCCAGCCGATGTAGCCCACGTATGGATGGCTGTCTGTCCCACGCAGCTTGAAGGCATATGATATCGTGTCGCTGCGGCTCTGCGCCGGTCCGGTGACCTCGATGGGCCCCTCGATGATGATGGCGAAGAGCTCATTGCTGTCGGCCACTTTGAAGATGAGCAGCAGTGGGGAGTGGCCCTTGACGGCACCGAAGAAATCCAACCACCTCCAACCATCCACAGTCGCCCTGCCATGACACACACATCAGGACACAGAGGCATGATGAGAGGATGCCGTCATGCTCACATCTGTCGGCTGCCCTTCTCACTTGTATATGCGGATGACCGGCTCGCCCACACACGACGGGATGTGTGCGGGGGCGACCTCCTCGCCCTCACACCACTGCCGGATCTTGTGCAGGTGCTCGGTGGTCAGGAGGCCGTCAGCGGGGCCCAAATAGCGATCGCTATCCAAACCGTACCTGAGACAAACCAACACACACAGACAGAGAGCAGCCGTCGGGGCACTGTGTGGCGAGCAGCTCTGTGTGTGTGTTCTCGCCGCTCTTACATGGTGAGTGCGTGTCGGTATCCCTTGATGGCCAGGTCACCCCTCGCCCCCTGCACGTCAGCCGCTGTGATGGCCGCCCCCTCCTCCATGTGGGCACGGACGACGATGTCCACCACTCGCTGCACATACTCGGCCGGCACATCGACCGCCAGAGGATCATACCTTAACGAACAAACCACGGCAATACGCCAACCATCAGTGTGTGTCGTGGCCATTGGGTTGTCATTGTGTGTACTTGAGGAATCGGTTTGCGAACGTCGAGTCGTCGCCCAGCGATTTCGCTACGCCAGTCGTCACGGTGACCCGCTGACCGAGAACATCAATCGACACCAACTGAGGACACAGAGAAATGAAACAGAGCACATCATTGTGGTTGGCTCCCTCTGCTGTTCTGTCTTTGTCGTTCGTCTCACCGTATCGTCCTCCATATTGCCCGTCTTCAGCAGCGGTTTGATGGCGTCGAGCCTCGCCTCCTGCGCAACCTTGTCCGCCTTGGCCCGCCTGATCATACTGGTCAGCTCAACAGAGAGGTCCTCGGCATCGCCCTTTGGCTGCCCCCCTCCCTGCTGGCCGTCTTGTGCGGGGCGCTGCCGGTCGTTTCCTCCTGCCGCCACCGCACCGTCGTTGCTGCGCCGCTTCGTGGAGGGGTCGAACAGCAGCAACTCGGCCCAGTACCTGACGATGGCGGGAACATGCGCACGCACATAGCGAGCGAATAGGCCTTGGCCTTTCCTTCCTCACTTGTATGGCGCATCAGTCTGTCTGGCTGGTGTCAGGGTCACGTTGTCGACCTGCTCGCCCGAATACAGTATGAGCTCTCCAACCAACCTGATCAGATCACACACACACACACACACACACACACAAAACCGACATGACACACACCCCATCCGCCAGTCCCTCCAGTGTTCGTCCGCCCCTCTCACCACTTGAAGGCGGGCCCGTAGACGGGCAAGAATATGCGATTCTTCTCATCACGGAAAAACGCGATGTCAAACTTGCCCGAGAACATCACCGCCAGCACACTGCCCTTGGCCGCACAGAGGGCCGACCGGCGGGCGCGGAACAGTTCGCCGCTCAGGTTGAACTCCAACACCTCCTTCATCAACTCATCCTGCAATCAACACACGACGACACCCAAACAGAGAGAGGATGTCACACACTTGCTTTGTTTGGCGCTGCAGCGGCCCCGCCCATGGCCCTCTCGCGCTCCTCGAGCTCTTCCAGCATCGACTGGAGTGCATCGCCGAGGCGCCCATGATGCTGAAGGCTGGCGAGAATGCCGCCGCGCGCGTCGCTGTCCTCATCGGCGCCATCGGCAGGCCACTTACGCTTTGTGCCAGACGAAGCTGCTGCTGCTGCCGCTGCTGCAGACATGTCCTCAGCACTCTGTTTCTTTCGCCGGGAAACCCTTGGCGGGGAGCGGTTCACCCGTACAGTGTACACGTTTTGTCTCGTCAACTGCGAGGATTCTGCGCGACGGCCACACACATCGATCAGCTTGTGAAGGGCAGGCAGCGGCCCCAAGATGAAGTCTGCGTCGCTTGTGGCGGCGTGCTTCACCGCCATCCTGCTCCTCAACCACGTGACGGCTGCGCCAGTGAAGCAGCGGACAGAACCCGACTTCTGGCAGCTGTTGAAACTACCAGAAGACCAGCTACGTAGGGCAGACACCAAGCAAATGGCGCTGATTGACTGACGTGTTGTTGACGTGTTGTGTGTCGGTCCACCTCAACAGGTGCCATATGGCGAGTGATGAACTACGGCCGGCTCTCTCGGTACAAGTACCGCACTCCAGAGTTCCGGAAGGCCGCCGAGCAGCGGCGCAGAATGCAGGACGACGACACCGGTGATGACGACAGCACCGACACCTCAACCGATGATGGCAAGGACAGCGTGTCGCAGGATGCCACGGAAGACGCCAACTCACCTTTCGTTCCGTCCAAGGAGCCCAGAGTGGGCAATGTGCCGCCGCCCAACAAGAGCGCGGCCTCTGATCCCATCACCAAGTCCCTCGAGGGCTTGGCACAGCCAATCGAGGAATTCGGGCAGGTGAGCGTCGTGGATGGGGCCTGCTGTTGGTTGTGAGAGTCCGATGAGTACAGTGATGGACTGTCCGTGGTCGTGTCGTGTAGGTGACCGGCGAGGCCCTGAACGTCCTTCGCACGTTTGTCAGGAATGTGGTCGCCATCACTCTCAATCCTCTCTCAGCGCCACAACAGGTCCGTATGTGTCCATATCGATCACACCCCACCACCTCACATCCCACACAGACAGGCTACCAACCTAGAGAGCAACACATTATGACATCCTGCCTGCCTGCCTGCTCTCCCTCCCTCCCTGTCGTCTGTTTGTTCAGCTTGGGCGTGACATCCTCAACGGTCTGGACGACACGCTCAAGGAGGAGTCCTTCACAGCGGTCGTGTCGCTGCTCAACACCATCGGGGCGAGGGGCCAGGGCGAGCCGGGCACCCCCACCCTCGACAACTTCAAGACGACCATCGACGCCATCCTACCCGACAAAATCGATCCGGAGGATGTCCCTGAGATGCCCGAGAAGACCAACATCAAGGATGTCGACCTGACCGAGTTGGTTGAGCCGCTCGTCGACGAGCTCAAGATATCCACTAAGATCGAGGGCAAGGTCGCCGAGGACCTCACCAAGAAGAAGGAAGACCTGCAGAAGCTGATCGAGAAACTGGCGAAGAAACCTAAGAACCAGTCCAAGCTGCTCGATGACCTCAAACTGATTGAGGACCTGCTCCTCAAGAATGCACCTCATTGAGAGGAGAGGCCGAAACAGAGACAGAAGAGATGGGCAAGGACGGCAAGTAGGCAGGCGGCTGGCTGGCTCGCGAGGGGGCGTGTGTCGGATGGCTCGGTCTAAAATGGCAAAGCTACCCGACACACACGCAGCCACAGCCGGCCTCGCAGCATCCATCGTAGTGGCTGTACCGGCCTCTTCTTTTCATCACACTTTTTTGTCTCGCTGTCTGTCTGGTTGTCTCTCTCTCTCTCTCTCTCTCTCTCGGTGCATTAGATTGCGTGCGTGGGTGTTTTGATCGCCTGTGAGTAGTAGGATGATAGCGCTGTAGAGTGAGTGCCTTGACCTGAGCGTGTGGCTGCCTGTCTGTCTGTCTGCCTGTCTGCATGTGGATGTGTGTGGATAGCAGCATTGTACGGCTGGCGGGAGGGGCGGTTGCTCTCTCCCTGTGTCCCTTTGCTGTGTTTCAGTGAGGCAGAAAGACATAGACGGACAGGTAGCTTTGGACAGACAGATGGATGGATGGATGACAACAATGAATCGGTCAATTCATTTGTGCCAATCCAAGAGAGGGCATCACAAAAGCTTTCAGTCAGCTGACGGGTCTTCTCATCCACACACAAACACATGTAGGTCTTGGGAGACAGACAGACACGCCAACACGGCTCACCACACTCACGCCACGGGCCGCACTCTGCGGCACACTGCTTGCTTACTGCGACCGACCAGACAAATCGGCGGAAAAACCAGGCGGCGCATCCCTCATACGCACTCACTGACAGGCAGACGGGTCGGAAGAAAGACCCCTTTTCTTCCTGGCAGGCTCTCTCTCTCACGCAATGTTGCAAGCAGGCAAAAATCTCTCGGCACCATCCCTCTCTGCACCATTTCAGAAAGACACCACGGCCGGCAGGCAGCTGGAGCGACGGGCTAGGCATGGAGCAGACGCATAACACTCTCCTAGTACACACACACCAGCCCAACCGGTCTATCTTACACGACACGCATCACACGACCGGAGAGAGCGACAGACAGACAGACAGACAGGCAGACAGACAGACAGAGAGATCAGGAGAGAGGGGGTTTTCAGCCCCAGCCCTCCGTCCGTCCCTCTCTGTGTATGTCGAACCATCCATCACTCATAGTTCGAGGATGCGACTCCAGAGGACGACGAAAAAGAAGCACGAGAGGATCATGCTCCGCCGCATGGCATTGCACAGCAGCCCATCCATCCACTTGTGCGTCGCCTCCTTCACCGCCACGCAGTCCATCACCTCCACTGTGAAGCTCACGGTGGCCCGCACGCCCTTAGGGCACCAGCAGGGCGACACCAATACACCACCAGGTGGACCACCCGCATCAGCACCACCACCAGCAGATGGGGCCACTTGTGGCTCCAGCTCGAATGTGACAGCAGGTGGGGAGAGGCTGAGTCGCCGCCACGACCTGATGCCCTGCATCAGTCGCTTCTCCACCGCCAGTGCCTTGGGGAATGGCGTGAGAGAGAGCGCGGAGTGGAGGCTCTCCCTGAGGAACTGCCGCTCCCGCTGATCCGCCCCGCTGTCTGCCGGCAGGGCCACATAGCGGTTCAGGTCCAGCTGCCGCAGGCACCGCTCCAGTCTCTTGAGCAGCCTCACCAGGTCCTCGATACGCCGCATCTGCATGAATGCACTCTCGAGCTGCCACTTGCTGAGGGGGAAGGACTGCTCGAATGTCGTCTCGCCGCCAGGGAGAGAGTGGCGCTTGAAGACGACGTGCACTCTGGGCGGGGAGGGGTGCAGGGGGGCGATGCCGAAGAGGGTGCCGACCTGCAGGTCAGTGATGCACTGCATGACGCACGGCTTCTCAACCGGCGAGATGGCTTCGTCCTTCATCAGCCGGTCGAGGTTAGGTCTTGAGTGTCACGGACAGCAGGACACGCCAACCAGCCAAGCAGCCAACCAACCAACCAATGGATTCGCTCTGCCCCGGCTCTTTCCCACCCGGACATCTCACCCACCTGACAATCAGGAAGGACGGAGCCTTCCCGCGGCTCTTCTCCTCCTCGGCTTTCTGCAGCTGCTTCTGGATCATCCGCCAGTAGCGGCCACGCACACGCAGCTCCACCACCGCCGAGGACTTGACGAGGCCGTCGAGCGCCGAGCCCTCGATGACGCAAAGTGATGATGCCGACGCCTGGTGCGCTCCGTTGAGTGTCTTGACTGTCACACTGCCGCTCGCCATCGGCTAGCTGCAGGGAGGGAGGAAGTGGTGGACGCCCGTGTGATTGTCCAGAGGCAGACAGGAATCAGCTGTCGCTCCAAGCACAAAAAATGTGTCGGCTGCAAGGCAGTGTGGGCGAACTCGTCTGTTGCGGCTGCTGGGGTTATAGGGTTGCATGCATGCAAACAGGAACCCTCTGCAAACGCACAGTCTTTGCAAAAGGAAGCCGTGAGTGAGTGACGACTCCATGAGAGACCTCTGCCTCACAGCCAGCCACGCTAGCTGCAGTGAATGAATCCGACTCCGCCGCGGTCAAGGCATGTATGTCATAGATCTCCATCCATCGATGTCATCCATCCATCCATCCATCCATCCGAAAGATGTATGCTACACTCACTCACTCACTCACTCACGCGTCAGTAGAAGAGGAAGAGGCAAAAAGGCCCCCATGCCCTTCACTTCACTTCGGCCAGGTGCAGCAAATCAAGTCAGACACTACAAATAAATTAAGGCACGTTGTTTCTCACCGTCCCACCACCCACAACCCACACGCCATCAGCAAGATCAGCCAGATCTGGCTCTATGTCTGTCTGTCTGTCTGTCTGTCTATCTGTCTGTCTATCTACAGGCGGCTCTGCGCATACACATGGCCGCCACCACCCTCACTGCCCGTCCTGTGTGACGGCACGAATCGACTGAGGGTGAATTCACTCGGCACTTTCACCGCCTCTGCCATCCTCTCGGGGAACCCCAGCTGCACGCACGCCTCGCCAACCCATGGAGCAAACTTGAAGCCCTCGCCGCAGAAGCCCGTAGCGACGATCACGTCTGTGCATTCGGGGTGGCAGCCCACGATGAACTCCCTGTCGGCCGTCATCTGGTAGAGGCACCGGTGAGCTGAGTAACGACACTCGTCCAGACGGGGGAAGAAGCGACGGACCCACCTGCATGCAGCGAGGCAGAGACAGGCCACTCGATGGTATCTATGTTAGCGATAATACCCCCTGCTCGCATGTTTCTCACTCACTTCTGTGTGTCGGCTGTGAACTGGGCGTTCTCTTGCTTGGTGCGTCCCTCGGGTGTGTCCATCATGTCGTGGCAGCCTTGGTGGACAGCCACCTTGACGCCGCACTCGCCGCCTTTGACTGTGGGTATCCCGTAGTACTCCTTCTCGAAGCCGCGAAATATGAACACGGGCATCGCGCCCTCCTCGAATGCCGCCACGTCCTCACCGTCACGAGGCATGAAGTACATCGGCTGTGGCGACACACAAGCAGACACACATATGCAGAGGATGATGGAGAATGAATGGTGGATTGTGTGCTATTCGTCTATCTGTCACCTGCTCGTTTGTGACGCGCATTGGCAGCGTGCACAGGCCCACCATCTTGAGCACGTCATTGGTCCACCCCCCAGTCGTCACAACCACCTTGCTGCACACAATCCGCCGCCTACGCATCGGCGAGGGGTCATCAGGGGCAGCGAGGTCGACCGCAAAACCGCCAGAGGGCTGCCTGTGGATCGCCTTGGCGACAGTGGAGAACAGCAGCGTGGCGCCGTTCTGCCGCGCAGCTTCGAAGAATGCCGTCCTGGCGGAATCGGCATAGGTCACACCTCCATCGGGCTGCACACAACACAACACAACATGAGAAGCCACGCGGTGCGGTACGTGTTTCTCTTTGTTATCCCTTCTTTGTCGCTTCACAGGTGTCCCCTGACCTGATAGATGGCCTCTTCCCTGTCGGTCAGGTGGAGCTGAGGGAATGTCTTGTTGACCTCGGCAGCAGTCATTCGGGTGTATGGGATGCCGCCCTTGTCATACGTGTCGACGAGGCCCCTCAGCTCCTTGTGGCCGATTGGTGCCATGTCAATCTGACCTATCCTGTTGAGCACACGCATCCTGGTCCGGCGCTCGAGCTCCTGATACAGATCCCCGCTGATCTGCGCCATCTTGACTTTGGAGGGCTCCACCTGACACACAGGCAGACAGAGAGTGGACACATCGTTCGTCCCTTGGATGCTGTTGTGTGCGGGTAGCGTAGCGTAGCGTACGTATGCGAATCGGAAGATCCGGCCATCGCCCCACGATGAGCCGTTGCGATGAGTGGGATGGAACCGCTCAAGCATGGCCACCTTGAGGCCTCTCTTGGACAGTGCATACGTGGCGCTGGCGCCCATGATGCCTCCACCTGGCAACAGCAGGCACACGAGGGAAGCAGCACACGCTGATCTGTCCGCTTTCCTTACGGACATACCGATAACGACGGCATCGTACGCCTCTGAGCTCTCTGAGGACATCGCAGCTGCCGGGCGGGTTTTCACAGGGGGGCGAGCCAAGTCGTGGATCGTCTGTTTTGTAGATAGGCTCTATTTGCTGCAGGAATAGCTGTGGTCTCAGAGGAATAGGGCAGTTGCAGCAAGATCTCCCATCAGAAAGCAAAGATCATGAGTAGTGAAGAGGTCTCGTTGTGAGTTGTGGTGGATGCTCGAGCCCCCTGCCTGTCACCGCCTCACACCTCTGCATGTATCAGGTCAGCCGACAGACCTCTCTCAGCAAGCCAGCACATCAATCAGGACATCCTTTGCCCCTGTGTGCAGACGAAGGAGGCGGCTGACGGCAATGCGGCGGTGCGGAAGGCGGACCTGCTGCTCATCGTCCGGCCGGAGTGCAAGACGGAAGTGGCGGTGGTGCTCATCTTTGGCAAACGGAACACCGGGGGAAACCCACTCAATAAGTGCGGCATCAAGTGTCCCGTGTGCAAGTGGCAGGTATGTAGCAAGCAAACACCTGGAGCAAGCGATATATCTGTGTGTGCGGCTTTATGCGTGACGTGTCCTGCGTGCTGTGCTCTGTGTGGTGTACGTGCTGTGCTGGTATATCTATCAGGCTGGTTGGGAGGCTGCCTATCACTCCTATGTGGATGATGACGACGTTCTGTATTTTCCGTGGAAGAGCGTTGTCATCAATGGCTCCAAGGGCGATGAGGCCTTCCACAAGTGAGTGAGCACCAGCGTATCATGTCGCATCTCACCCATGGAATTGTCGTTCCATTGTCATTCAGGGCTGTGTCGGTGCTGCAGCTGCGCAGAAGGGACGACTTCGACCGCCGAAAGCTCTCGGTGCCCTCCCTGACGATAGGGTCGCTGGACCTGCCCGTGCCTCTCCGCCCCGCTCCTACCGCAGACGAAGAGCAACTCGTCAACAAGATGCCATGCCCATACCGCAAGAAATGACACACACACAGCATGTGTGACACACACAGATGGCTTTTCATGTGTGCCTGTGTGTGTGTGTGTGTATGTGTGTGCGTGTGTGGTTCAGAGGAGGATGCCTATCGAAAGGCGCTGGGCGGCAACCTGGTGCTGTGTGTCCCCACGGGCGGAGGGAAGACGCACGTGGCTGCCATGTGGCTGGCCAAGTAAGTAAGCAACCAAACACACAACGAGAGATACGCCATGATTTGTATGTGATAAATGTCTGTTGGTTGTCGTGTGGCCAGGCTGCTCCAAGCCAACAGCGGCCATATGGCGCTGTTCATCGTTCACCGCAAGGCCCTCGCAGAGCCCCCAGTAAAAGTGTGTGTGCACAGTGGACGCGACAGCACGCGAGCAGGGACATGCACCACACGGCGGTCGATGGATGTACACACCTTATATACCTCACACAGTTAACGCACTCACGGACGGGACTCAGCCAGATAGCTGACAGACAGCCGCGGCGGCTGGGACAAATTGACGCGGCGTGGGGGGAGCATATGGCCGTTTTTGCGTGTGTGTATGTGTGCATGGTAACTATGTGGAATGGACAGCGCAGCAGCGTAATCGGCCTGTTCGTCAATGCTGCCAGTACTCGGCGCAGTGGCCCTCTGCAGGGCGATATCGTATGATCAGGGTGGGTGGGTTGGCGGGAGGCGTTCAGCAGGGCATGGGCTGGCTGTGAACGAATGGACATGAGCACGCTCAGAGAGAGGGCACACGCGCAGAAGCACTCCAAAACCTGAGATGCCCACGAATTTTGCGACAATCTTCGGCTCGCGCCCCGACTTGACGACAGTGATACGACCTTTGGCTCTGATATTGCTCTGCAAGGACCCCTGCTGCACCTCTCGTGTCGATTCTGCCACCCTTCGACACGTACAGCATGCCCGTTCCCCCACCCCTCCCCCCTCCTGGCGCCAACGCGCCGTCTGTGTTGTCGCTCGGGGCGCATGCGGGCGCTCTGCAGGCCTTCTATCCTCACCCTCGCTATCGGTATCCGCCCCCTCATACGAAAATGGACGGTAGGCCAGCGAGAAAGGTCCGAGGGGGCCAGGAGTTCCATCCATATGAATGACGTATACATTTCGTTGTGTGCATTTCGTTTTTTGTGGATGGATGCAGTTGACATAGGCCACCTGTCAGTGCAGAAGGCGTCTGGAGACTCGGAGGAAGAGAGAAAGGCCGCCGAGGAGCTGAGGGCATCGAAGCGAAGGCCCCGAAAGAACCGCTCGAAGAAGAAGAAGAGCGGTAACCAATGGAGGGCAACGGGAGCGACCTCCACCCGTTGATGCACTGCATCCATCGGTCATGTGTGTCATGCGTGTGCAGATGGAGAGGAGGAGTGGAAGCCGGGCTGTGAGACCAAGGACAAACGCAAAAGCGGCCGTGGCCAAAAGCGAAATCACCCAACTGACGATAATGGTCAGTCAGTCAGCAAAGAGACACGCTCATATGAACCGAAGAGCCGCACCTCAGACCCGTGGCTGATTGATTATCGGTGTGCTCTCCTGATGTGTGTGGACCCGTGCAGTATTAGATTCGCTGGACGATGGCAGAGCCGTGCAGCTCTCCAAGCGCGTGCGTCGCAGACCGCAAGATAGAGAGGCCTCCACCATATCGCAGGCCGACAGCCGCCCCCCGCCGCCCTCCCACAAACAGCCCCCGGCCCCCAAGACGCCCAAAACCAAGGCCAAACCCAAACCAAAGGCCAAACCCAAGGCCAAACCCAAGAAGAAGCCGGCCAAGAAGGAGAAGGAAGAGGCGGCGCCGGCCCAGCGGGAGGACGCGGGTATGATGGACTTCAACCCCACCCGCTTCTTCTTCCACAACTCGCGGAGGGAGAGGGCGGACGATACGGCACACCACGGTGAGTGAATGGATTGCCGGGCGAAATACGCAGTGATCTGTGAGAGATGGCCAAGGAGGAATTTCTTCATACATGTGTGTGCAATGTGTGTGTGTGTGTGTGTGTTGATGTGTCAGCTTACTGGAGTGCTCGTTTCGGTGTTGACTCGGACTCAGACTCAGAGCCCGACGAGCTGGAGCATCAGCACAAGGAGAAGGCCCCTGAGTGCTCGTCTGAGGGGGGCCACGAGGTGGAGAGGCCGGGCAACACGACCTGGACGGAGGCAGAGGTCTGCCGCGATGCAGACGATGGGATGATCGACTACAGCGACAGCAGCCTGATACTGTCGACGATGGGCGGTATGGGCTTGGGTATGGGGTGCGGCCTGCCGGGGGATGAGGAAGGAGATAATGACCTGCCCCCCACGTGGTGGGAGCAGGGGATTGGCATACCGATGCCCGAGGAGCTGCCGGGAGACAGCGAGGCCATCTGGCCCGACCCCTTGTCGTTTATGGACGAGTGACAAGACACACACAGAGACACACACAGATAGATAGAGACACACGGACGGAACATTCCATTGGTGCCACCAAGTGCCAAACACGGAGCTCTAGCCAGTAGATAGCAGCGGACGGAGAGAGAGACGGACCAAGGGGACAGAGGGGCCGTGTGTGGCGTGATTTTTGGCTGCATGCGTGTTTGTTCATGATTGACTGCTGCTGGGTGACACTCTGCTCCGTCGGTCGGTGGATGCGATTGGCGTTTTTTGAAGTGGACATATTTTTGGTACCCAAACCGATGAATGGCTTCCTTGACAGCAGCCGACGCACAACGAATGAACCTGCCGCTGTCATGGATCTCTTTCTCTTGCTCGGCTCGTCCGAGCCCCTCTCCCCCAGGAGCCGGCCTCCTCTCCCACGCAATCATGGTCCCAGCCAGGCTCCGCCTCCGCACGGCCGCCATGAGCTGCTGGAGACACAGCGAGGCGAAGGTCGCCGAGCCAACAGCAAAGCTAGGCGAAGGGCGGGAGACATGTCTGTATATGTGTGTTTGGCATCCATCCATGCCTCTCCTCTCCTCGGTGTGTGTATTGTCTGTCTGTGTGCTTGTGGGAGGGGAGCGGAGTGGACTGACCTGACCTGAGTCTTTGGCCGCTCCGTTTTTCCACTAGGTCGCCCCGCCCCCAGTAAGTGTGTGAGTGTGTTCCCCCGTGTTTGCATTCTTTTGAGCCAGTCCAGAGGAAGTGCATTTCACTTGTTGAGCCATCACTCACTCAGCTGTGTATGCGACTTTGTCGGCCCTGGTGGTGCTTTGTGAAAAACGTTACTGCCAGAACGCCTTTGGCTCTAGGACTCTCGACATGCATCAAACAGACAGACGTCCATCAGTCACTCACACACCGCTCCCCTAGTAACAGACTCGGTCGAGTCGTCGATCACTTCGATCCTAAACACTCAGACCCCAACTCCCCCGCCACACACACACAAACACGGAGGCGCACGGGCGGTCAGAAGTCAGTCAGTCAGTCAGTTTCGGTGCATTCGCCGCGCACACTCACATACGAGCAGGCAGAGTGAGTGGCGGATGCACCAAGCCAGCTGGGCACGTCAGATAAAAAGCAGGCAGGCAGGCAGACAGACAGGCAGTGGCTGCACCGCACCGCACCTCCCCTGCACGCGCGCGGCACACAGACCACTTGCGTGCATCGACCGACACACACGCGTGAATCTGTATGGATCTCCCCACCCTCGCGCAACTCACTCCGTCTCTCAACCACGTACAAAGCGCAGCGCCTGACCGAGGGGGCTGATGAGCTGCCATGGCCGCAGTCGGCGACTCAACACCTGCACAAAGCGTTGAGCCTCCATCAACAGGCACGGTGTCCTATCAGACCCACTCAGTCAGTCAGGATGGCATGGCATATGAATCATATTCATCTCCCCGCAGCCACCTCTCTCACTCACACCAGGCCCCCTCACGCCACATCGAGTGGGTCTGATGAGCCGGCCCCGCCACACGTTGAGACACAACACTTGCAGACAGTGTTGAGGCTCACCGTGCGACGACCACAGCCAACAGACCCACTCGGTCAGGCAGAGTCATCCACACACAGAAGAGAAAAGAAACGAACGACAGCTCCGCGCTCATCATCAGGCCCATGTATGAGTGGTGGGTCAATCTGCCTTCTCCAGTGTGGGCACCAACCAACCCACGCGAGACTCTGGGAAGGCACCACTACTAGCTTGTCACTTAGATCGACTGCATAGCACGCCACGCCTCCGCACAAAACAGAGGATGACTGGCCAGTCATCCCATCCGCCTACTACATCCCACAACGCAACGCAACGCATGGGTCATTAAGGGCCATCCGCTCTCCATCGATCCGTCCAGTGGATGGATGGAGCACCGCCGTCCGCACACACATACAGGACACGGCAGTGCTGGTGAAAAAACGACTCAAGTCGACTGACTCTCACTCTCAGGAGCATACAAACAAGCATCGGCCGCATCGCACACAGTGGTCGCCCCACCAGGAAGACAGGAACATGCACGGTGCAATAAAAAGAGGACATACACACGCAGACAGACAGACAACATGACATGCGGGGGGGCGGCACAGAAAACAGGCATAGCATACAGCCCGCCCCTGGTGGCTTATGTATGCGTGTATTGTATGTGCCGCCCCACCGCATCCATCGATCGGATCGCCCCGTATCTGTCAGTCAGTCAGCAGTGCAGTCAGCCCATCAGTGTGCCAGCATGCTCAGCAGCCCAATCAGCGCCGCAGAACCGATTGCCACGCCTGCAGGCACAGAAGAGGAGAGCGGACAAATGGTAGCTGTCCCCGCGGCCGTGGGTGGGTGGGTGCGTGTGTGTGTGTGTGTGTCTGTAGGTCACTTACCGTGGGCATTGGCATTGCTGGTGGTCTCCGCATCCACCTCAACCAGAGGAGGGGGGTTGCAACCTGAACGCACACGCAGGAAACCGACAGACAATATGAATCATGAATGAAGGGCGCCGTCTGCGCCCCCTTTCTCCCTCCGTCCGTATCCCTCACCCATCAGCTCGGCCTGTTTGACGAACTCGGCATTGCTGTCGATCTTGACCTCCAGCCCGTCGCAGTGCACATTGCAGTCGTAGCACCTTTCCTCGTGCACCTCGTCCACGAACGACTGACACACCGCCGCGCACGTCCCCTCCTCCAGACACCCGGACAGCGCCTCTTGGTCGGCATGCGGACACACATGGACCTCGCACTCGTGGCTGCAGTGCGCATGATCATGATCTTCGGGGACGGTGAGGGACGTTGTGGCATTGATGGCCTCGCCATTCAGAAGGAGTGGCTGCCCCTGCATGCCGTGAAGGGCGGCGGTGATGGTGACCTTGCCCGGGGGGAGGTTGACGTGGACGAATGGGCAGTAGAGGCGGAAGCTGTCGCTGCCCGTCTCGCTGGCGTGCTCATGCTCATGCCCCTCATGGCCCTCCTCTTCTTCCTCATGCTCCTCATGCTCATGCTCTTCGTGCTCGTGCTCGTCGTGATGATCCTTCTCCATTGAAATCGTCACATTGACAAATGCCAGGCTGGCATTGTTGCCGTCGTCCCTCCCCGGCACGCCAAACGCGAAGCCGGAGCCGATCACCTGGACGTTGTAGCCCCCCTTGGAGTCCTCATGCGTCTCGAGCGAGAGGGTGGGGGTCTCCTCTCCCTCCCACTCGGCTGCTGGGGGCATTTCCATGTGCTCTGCATGGTCCTCCTCGCCCTCCTCTTCTGGGGGCGGGGTGGCGGTGGCCTCGAGGACGTTGCCAGCGGCGTCGGTGTACTCAGAGTGGTCGTTAGCGTTGAGCGTCACTTTGAAGCTGTCGTCGTCGTGGCCATGTCCGTGGTGATCGTGGGGGTCAAAGTGGTAGTCGAGGCAGTACTGACGAGCCAGCATCTCCTCCCCATAGTAAAGGTGGGTCTGCCAGACACACAGACGAAAAGGGGGACAGCGATGCAGGTGGCTGCCTGTGTGGTGGGTGGGTGATCCCTGGCGCGTACGTGTCCTTCCCCAGGGTGGTGCGGGCCCGACGCTTCGACGGGGACGATGTCGAAGGAGTCGACGGGGTCGATGTCTATACGGATGTTGAGGCCGTGACTGACGGGGTCTTCACTCACTGACAGGGACACCGAGGGAGGCGGCCCCTCACCGTCCCACTCCTTCTCATCGTGATGGTGATCATCGTGATCTCCGTGATCATGGTCATGATCCCCCTCCTCTTCGTGCGTGACGCCCTCTTCATGTTCATGCGTCTCTTCCTCGGAGTGAGAGGCACCCCCGTGCTGCTCATCTGTGGCATTGGTTACATTGCTGACTTGGCAGTTGACGAGAGTGGACGACAAAGCCAGCAGCGCCAGCACGAGCAGAGGAAAGCGGGCCATGGGGGATCTCAATGAGGGAGCCGGAGAGGAAGGGGCGGATCTTGCGAGCTATAGCGGGAGTGGGGGCGTCTCAGTGCTGGGGGCGTCTCAGAATAAGGCGTCTCAGCATTCAACCCAGATCGCACTGCCCATTTCCCGGTGTATGGTCGAAACATTTGAATTACAACTTGCGTGCAACATGCACAGATCTATCACCCTCCTCACTCGCTGACAAATCCGACGACCTATCTGTGCATCACATCGGCCTCTGTCGTACACACTTCACGAATGCGTGCCAGTGGTATCGTGTCGTCAGTTTATGGCCTTGAGCTGCTCCAAAATAGCCCTGGCCATGTCTCTCGAGGCCTCAGCCATCTCAATCGATGCGTTGAGGCCCTGCAAGTTCTCCTGGAGCTGACCCAGAAACTCACCTTCGCTGTTGGGGACAGTCAGCGCCCGTCGCATCCTATCTCCAGGCGACGATTCCTTCGGAGGCGGCGGCTGGTGCTGCTGGTCCGTCTTAACAAGCTCAGGCTGACGGCCGACTGGATTGGGAAAAGTGAGGGAGCGGAACATCGGATGACGAGCAAGCATCATCCTGAGAGAAACGATAATGCAGGGAGCCAGTGTGTGTCGGTCGTCTGTCTCTATGTCCCTCGTATCGTTTGCCTTCCCGCGGACCTGGTTGGCCTTGGGACGGCGTGTTTGGCACTTCTGCCGCCGTTTCGCATTGAATGTCTCCTCTGCATCCTTTTCCGCCAGTGGACGTGAAGGTGTGGCTCTTCAGGAGGCAACAGCGGTACGGTAGCTAGGACAGGAAGCGACACGTATAATGAATCATCATCAAACCTGAAGGCATCATCCACGCAAAGAGACATTACATTTCGTCAACGCCGCTCTCTTCCCTCCCTTATTCACCTCTCGCTCCGTGTGGGCGGTTCCAGTGGAGGGATCCATTGAAGCTCTCGATCTGACGGCATGGGGTTAGCCGCGGCAGGGAGGCAATACAAAGGCCCCTCCGCCGCTCGCGAGCGGCCCTGCGATGGGCGTTTCGGGGGCGTGTCGACGGTGATGGCTGGGGAGGGCAGGGAGGGGGAGGCGTCGGCACTGAGGGGGAGGACGGCCCGCACGGGAAGGGAAAACATGTTCTCAAGAGACAGGCGAGCGGGGGCGTGTGTCTGAGAGTTATTTCGTATGCATACGTCTCTCCCAAATGTCCGTGTCGCCTTGAATGTGTGACGGGCCAGGCTGCGCAAATCAGCTGACAGCTTGCTGCAACAAACAAGAGACCGACGCATGCATGAATGCACCAATCTGGATGTCATTGACGATGCACACTGACCTGTTAGCCGATATCAGCGCATTCTGCGACTCCTCAAACAGTTGCTGTTGCTGCTCAATGACGGTGTGCAGCCTGAGGCCTTCTCCCGCCAGCCCCTCCACACACACCTGCAGGTCCTTCATCAGCTCAGCGACCCCCTCCGCGGCATCCTGCTCCCCCCGCCACGCAGCCGGCGTCGCAGCACCGTCCATCGGAGTCATGGCGGGTATGTCCATCAACTTCTGCAGCGCCTCAATCATCCGGGGTGCCCGCTGTCCGAACCCCGACTGAGCGAGGGAGGTCGCCAGCTTCCTTATTCTCTGTCCATCACCTCCACCGGACTCTCCTTCAGTTGGCTCCTGTGTCGGCGTTGTGGCGGGCAGGTTGTCGAGTTTGGTTTGTAGAGTGGTCATGAAGGCGGGGACGGTGGAATAGGCGACGTCGAAGCGATAAGATCGGGCCGCCTCGCTGAGAGACTGCAGGTGAGCAATCAGCTGGCAATTCTGTCAGGACGAGATGCATCAGCAAGTTTGCAGTGAAGGAAACAAGAATGTGTGCTTTGTCTCGCCTTTTCCTTTGCTGTTTCCAGCTCCTTTGCTCGTCTTTCGTGTGAAGCGATCATGTCGCTCCTCAGCCCCTGGGCAAGAAGAGGAAAAACGGCCCCCTCATTCATCTCGTCTGAGGTGCCAGTCAGTGCCAAGCCCACCTCTTGCTCCTTTTGATGTTTTTGCATCTCTTCAAGCACACTCTCTCTGGAACTTTCCGCCTTTTCCAGCCGTTCGCGGGTGGACTCGTGTCTCGCATCGGCCTCCTGTAGTCGCCTTTCAAGCTCCTCGATCGTACGCTGCCTCTCATCACACGTTGCATTCAGCTTCGCCCTGTCCCTTTCACCCGCCATCAGCTGAGCCATGTGTCTCTCGTATGCGTCATCCCTCTTTCTCACTTCTTCCTGCAGGGATGTCTCCAGTGCATCGAGCTTCCTTTGCCGATCTTCCGCCAGTGCCCGGAGTCTTTCTCTTTCGGTCTCGCTGCCGGCCAGCTTGGCGGTCTGTGCGACCAGCTGCTGCTCCTTTTCCTCTAGCCGGGCTTGGAGACGTGCCTTGGCCTCTGCGTCTCGATCCCTCTCGTACGCCATTGTCTGTGTCTCGGCGTCCCTCACTTCTGCCAGCCGCTCACGGGGGACGTCCCTCACTCTGACAGTGTGGTCGATATCTGACGCAAGAGGCCCACCAGCTGAAGCTGTCGCTTGTGAAGCGGCCGATTGATCGCCAGATGGCAAAAGGTGGGAAGGAGAGGGCTGCATCGCCGCTTTCTGCGTCCTTGTGTCTTCGTAGTCTTGAGGGGTTATCCTCTCCTGTTGCCGTGTCTCGCCAGCTTGGAGAATGTCCCCTGTCCTCGCTCGCCAATCGGGAGAGGGCGCATTTACATCAGCCAGCGGTGCCTGCGAGGGATACATGTCCCCAGCATCAGCAGCGTCTCTCTTTTTTTCCTTATCCACATCCAAGGGAGACTCGTCTCGACAGTGAACGGATTCAGCTGCAGGAATAGAAGGCGGCGGCATAGAAGGGATAGACAGGCCGTCTCCAGGAGACCTCGCAGTGTCGAGTAGTGTCGCAGCAGCGCCTCGAGTAATGGGAGGTTCTCCAAGAAATTGTCCCCCCGAGAAAGGGCGAAGTGCGACTGGCGGAAGTGATTGGTAGCCCGGGCTTGTCGGTATTTCCCGAATCGGAGGCGAGGTAAGGGAGAATGCTGACCGGAACCTCTCGCGGATCTCAGTGGAGCGCTAAGTCTCGAGGTCCTCTTCGCTTTGTCGCAGCCTTGCAGACGTCAGAGCGTACTGCTCCTGTTAAAAAGACACAGACCATGGCCTGTCAAGGCATGCATACGGATCTCTGAGCCGCCCCCTCACCTGGAAGTCGTCAAGCTGCCGACTGTACCTCTCACAGCGGCTCTCAGCCTTAGCAAGCAGTAGAGCAAGTTCGTGTGTGGTGGACGACCTGTTCTCATTGATGGGATAGGGCGGCACAGCAGCTGAAGCCACGAGGGCAGTGTCCCCACTCCACGATAGTAGGGGATGTCCCGTAGCAGCCGGTAGCCCCAGCCGCGGACTCATAACACGTGCCGAATCGAGGCCATAGCGAGGTCTGGGATGAGAGAATGTCGATGAAAGAGGGACGGGACGCGGCAAAGGGGAAAACCCCCCCCCAGGGCTCCGAGGAAGCTCCACCTCTACCGGGGAAGCGCTCTGCTTCACTTTGCGCCTCGGCGAGTGTAGGCAGCACGTGAAGTTGGGCTTGTCGGGAGTTTCAGACAGAGGGCAGGGCTCGAAGGTGGCTGCTGCATCCTCCCCCTGAGAGGCCTCTTTCTCCCCTGCTTTCATCGCCTTTCTGGGGTCGGAATGTTGGGCCCCACGCCACAAATCACAGGCTCTAGGGCACGAAGGATAACTCAGAGAAGAGCACCGCGAGCACGGAGAAGAGAGTCTGAATGTCTACTCCCCTCAGACAGACACAGACAGACCGGCAAACAATCCATAGATCTAGATCACCACATCCATACTCATACGTATTCAGTCACATTGACACACACACGTACGCGCGCACACACACACACACAGAGGGAGAGGGAGAGGGAGAGGGAGAGAGAGGAAGAGAAAGAGGGAGCAGCGCCCTGGCAGTGCACCGTCCATGCAGTGCACCCACCACATGTCTGGCCCATCAACATGGCCGGCCGGCAAGGCGACAAAAATGAATGTCGGTCACGTCAAATCGACCGACACAGACAGCCGACTGACCTAGCTAGCACCAATGGCACTCACTGCCTACATCGATCGGCTCACACGGTAGGCAGGCAGACTAGGGCTGCCAGTTGATTGATGAATCAATCCCGATGAATGAAGGCATGCAGGCACCCGCACTAAGTGGAACACATGATGCATGGAAAGGCATGCACAATCCCCGCCACCCATACGAACGAATGTGATGTGCACACCCAAAATACACATACAATACAATCAAAACACACATCCACACAAGGGCCCGGCCCATTCATGTCATGTGTCAGTCACCCATGGCTTTCCTTGATGGAATGGGATGCCCCCGCCCGTAAAGCATATGGTGCTGATGCGGGGGCATCTCGATCTCGAAGGGGTCGCCCTCATCGGTCCCATAGGTATGCGTCTCGTCATCAGGCGTGTACGCCGGCGGCTCTTCCCTCTCCCTCTGAACAATCACATTACCCTGCCGCGAATGATAGTGATGCGAATGGGACGACGACGTCGGCTGCGGCTGAGATAAGCGGGGTGGGGGGTAGGAGGGTGGGGGTGGAGGGGGGGCCTCGTCAAGCCTGTGGCTCTCCACACTTCTGCTGAGTGAGGGTGTTGAGGCCTGCTGCGTCGACGTCGATGGTGGGGGCTGCCGCCGAGACGGCGGCTGCACCAGCAGCAGCTTGAGGGGCAGGAACGGCGGAGAGGAAGAACGCAGGTTCTGGAACCCCAGGAACACCATTGCCGGGTCATTCTCGTCGACAAAAGCCAACAGCTGACACTGCAACGCCACAGCAGCTGCCTAGCTGTCTAGTCCCCCATGTGTGCTGGCTGTTGTGTGTGTACCTCTGCCTGTGTGTTGTCGAATCTGCGATGTATGCGGGCCCTTAGTGCAGGGGGGTGTTCACAGATGGACACGTCGATCTTGACGCTCTTGATGGTCGAGGCATCCAGCAGCTCACAGAGACTCGCTCCTGACAGGCACAACACAAGAAAAAGAAGCACCCTCAATCCATCCATCCATCGAACTGGCGTGGGTACCTACCTTCCATAGGCCTCCGCTGCCACAGGTTCAAAAGCGGGGAGCTCTCGACAATCATTTCCTCCTGCACTCACACACGACACACCACCACATTGCTGGCTCGCTGGCTGACTGTGTGCATCCCCCCTACTTGCCTGTAGGTCCACGACGGCAGTTGCATCAAGGGTGGCATCTGCAACCCTCTGCAGCAGGTGCAGCTGCTTCTCCTGCGCCTTAGATGCCCGACGCACCTCTGTCACGTCCTGGGCATATATACACACACACAGACGGAATGGCCAGTCTGTTGGCCTGGCAACCCCTGCATTTCATTGATTGCCTCATCCTTGCACTGACTGCACCTTTATGAAACCGTACAGCAACGCCCCTTGCGGCTGCTCCTTCCTGCCCCCGCACCGGAACCACCGAACCTGGCCATCAGCCCTCTCATACATGATCTGAGAGAGGATAGAGAACCATGCCTGCATCCACTCTGTGTCTGTCAGTTCGTTCCCGTACATATACATACCTCAATCTCGAAGGGCTGTCCGTCTTCGGCACACTTGACGATGGCCTGCTCGATCTTGTCTCGGTCAGACGGCACCACATGCGATGTCCAGAATCCAGCGAAACAAGGAAAGCCTGACGCAAGGTAAGGATGTCGGTCACATACAGCCCGGATTATGTGTGATGACCCTTCACTCACTCGTCGTTGCCGGCGCCTCTTCACCCACGGCTGCCGTCACGCCAGCCCCAGCATCCCTCTCTGGCCTTGGGAGATTGGCCGACGGTGCAGTCGACGCCTCGTCCCGCACCGCAACCACCTCAACCATCTCGCCCTTCCTCTCTGGCTGCACGCACTGTTCCACACACACGCCGCTGCTCTCCTCTCGCCCCTTGCTTGCCCTCCCGTCATCACGGCTTGCCACCGCCCTCCCTCTTTTCTTCTTGCAGCAACACGTCCACTTGAAGAGCGACAAGATGCGGGACCAGCACGCGGCGCGCCGTTCGTGCGCAGACGCGAACGAGGGGAGAGACTCCGGTGTGCCGGAGGGAGAGGACCGCGGTTGGTTGACGGACTCGGCGGGGTTATCGTCACTTGTCGGGGGACGGCCAGTCAACGCCGCGATCACCCTTGTCTGGTAGCAGGCTGCATGTGTCACACACATGAACGAACACAGGCAGGAACAGTGAGGATGTGTGTGTGTGCTTTTTTTTGGGCGGGGTGATGTGCTTCTGTCTCATCTCACCTTTGCGGACCGGAAGCCTTGTATCCCATTCCCACGCTGCTATGCCGACCATCTGAGCGAAGGATTCCAGCAGTTGTCGCTTGGCCTCTTTCTCACAAGCCACCTGATGACACCCACAACACAAGTGGACTACGGCGTTAAGAGAAGAGCGGTGGCCAACCAGCCGCCGGCCCCACCTTGTGTTTCTGGTACAACATCGTCCGGCACACCTGCACACACAAGCAGCGAGAACAAGGCCGCATTGCACACACGGCAGCCAATATCCCTCCCTCTCCCGTCTCTTTGAGCACTCCCTCCAAGACTGACTGACTGACCAGTTCCATTTGCCGTGATCCGCAGATGAGTAGGATGGCGAGGAGGGTGTAAGATATGAAGCTGCGCCCCTCCATGTTTGGCTCGTTCGGCACGCCCGAGCCGAACTCAAGCACAAAATGCATAATGAGATTGCCCAGGACCAGGAAGAACGAGGGAAAGCTGCTGCACTTGAAGATGAGCCACCCCAGACACAGCACCAGCACCTCCACTATGCCCACACCTGATTGAAAGTTATCAGCAAATCCACAGACACCACACCCGTGTGAAGAGAAGATCTGACTGTGGCACACCGACCATAGTATCGGAAGCACCGTATCCGCGGGGTGCTCCAAGTGAACCCGTCACTGAACCACACGGGACATTGACAACACAGTGCACGCTCTCCCTCCCTTCCTTCCGCGTTGTGTGTGTGTGTGCCTACTCAGCAGTGTATGTGTATCTGCCGTGGAGGGGCATCAGGCAGGCCGCCAGGAAGAACACAACGAAGGACACAGCCCACTCCCACTCCAAATACTGCAGCACATACCGACGCCGCGCCGCACCGACGTCGCCACCACTGCTGCTGCTGCTGTCCCTGAACGTTCGCAGCCGCCACCAGACATAGCCATCAATCAGCCGCCTGTTGAAGGCCACATACATGAAGATGACGACCGCGAAAGGCAGCGGGATCAGCACGCGGGCGAAGCTCGAGTGGACGGCTGCGTCGCGAGTGGGCGTGCGGATGATCAGACTTATAAACATGCACAGAGACCCCGCCAGCGCCAAGCTTTGGACGACCTCGCGAGAATCCTGCACGCGATTCACCAGGACAGCTTCTCATTCACTCACGATGCAACAGATGCGCTCGTGCTCTCACTCACTGACTCACCTTGTAGAGGAACACGTGGTAGTCTTGTTCAAGTGCATCGTTGGTGTATTTCATGCGAAAGTGCGGAAGGGCCTTCCAGTAGCTGAGAACCACAGGGCAGGGCGAGAGAAGCAAGTGCACAATCAATGCAGAGATGACGAGATCTTTGCCTGTCTGCTCTTGATGCCAGTCACCTCGTGCACTCGATCGCTGCCCATTTGGCTGCAAACCAACACAAGCAAACAGCGGTGAGTCATAGTGAGTCATCTTCAGTCAGTCAGTCATATCAATCAGGCCAGTCGCTGCCTGATGGTTTTGGCTCACCAGAGTGTTGTCTGAACCATTGGCATCTCTTGCCACTTTCCTCGCCGCCCAATTCATCCATTCCCTTCTGCCCTTCCTCACAGGTTTTGAGCTCGCATCAGAAACGGAAGGGACTGTGCGCATCAGAAACTGCAGAGAACATGTCTGCATCAGCGGCAGCCGCAGCAGCTTCCTCTGGCGCGAAGCGTAAGTGTCCTGCCGATGGCGCCGATGAGGACAGCGATGGTCGCAGCGGCATTCTCGCCACCCTTGAGCACGGGCAGTCTGTCGTGGATGTGCTCCAGGCGATGCTGGCAGAGCTCGAGGAGCGCGAGAGGGCCATGGGCGGGGCTCCTGCAGCGCCGAACAAACCAAAGGTGAGCGATTGGACGAGAAAGCGGAAAGGCAGTCAATGACATGCATTCATCGCGCGTGTGTTTGTGTGGGATGTGGTCTGCTGTGTGCTGCAGGATGAGGTGATGAAGGAGGTGTTGGAGTTGAATGTCAGCGGCGAGCACGTGGAGGTCCAGCGGTCGACTCTGTGTGCGGTCAAGGGCAGTGTGCTGGCGGTTATGTTCTCGGGCAAGTTCGACAGCGCCTTCATCCGTGACGAGAACAATCGCATCTTTTTGCAAGTCTGGCCGCCTGCGTTTCAGTGGTCAGGAAGGCAAGAAAGATGGATCACTTATTCATCGCGGCATCTCTTCTCACATGTGCGTGTGGTTGTTGGTGCGAGAGAGCAGGTGCGTGATGCACCTGATCATGTACGAGGGAGAGCAGATCAGCAACATGTCCATCCCGCCGTCCAAGCAACACGACACGCCATTCACGTGAGCACAAGGGCAAACACACACACACACGATGGCCAAAGCACATGAGGTGTCTTTGTGTGTTGTGTGTCGTCAGGTATTGGGTTGAGTTGCTGCTGTGGGATCCGGCCTACAAGCGCTGCCGGCCGGGCGGCGACCCCGTCCTCCCCGCTGCCGACCCAGCAAGCGGCCAGCAGGAGGACGGCGAGCAGCCTACGCCGGCCCCGCTCAGGCTGACGGCAGAGCTGCACACACTCCTGAAGAAGGCGTTGGAGGACAAGGCCGCACATGAGCAGCGGCTCGACGCCATCAAGCCGCTGCTCAAGACGGGCAATGTGGAGGACGATACGGTGAGGTGAAGACGAAACAGCAGAGGGAAGGCCGTCAGTCCAGTCAGAGGGGAAGGGGATGCAGTAAGTGAAGTGCATCTGGTGGTTGTGATTGCTTTGAGCAGTTGGTGTCTACTCGTGTGTCGGGATCCACGGTGACGGTGACGACTGGTGTAGCGAAGTCGCTGGGCGACGACTCCACCTTCGCCAACAAATTCATCAAGTGAGCCGCACTCACACAGCTGGACACATGACGTGCCGTGCACCCAGTCCACAAGTGAGTTGTCTGGTATCTCCTGTTGTCTCAGGTATGGCCCCACTGTTCGTGCGCCCATCGAGCATGTCCGGCGCATTGTCGACGTCGTCGCCCGCGCACACATGAAGAAGGGGGCGGCCATCACGGCGGATGATGTTCAGGGGGCGATGGGGGAGTTAGACATAGAGGGCTACCGACACGCACTCACCATGTAAAAGCGGCGAGAACACACAGAGCTGCTCACCACACAGTGCCCCGACGGCTGCTCTCTGTGTGTGTGTGTTGCTTTGTGTCAGGTACGGTTTGGATAGCGATCGCTATTTGGGCCCCGCTGACGCACTCCTGACCACCGAGCACCTGCACAAGATGCGGCAGTGGTGTGAGCGTTGGGAGGACGCCCCGACTATCCCTCCGTGTGTGGGCGAGCCGGTCATTCGCATATACAAGTGAGAAGGGCAGCCAGGCAGCCGTGAGGATGACAGCACTCTCTCATCATGCCTCTGTGTCTGATGTGTGTGTGTGTGTCGTGGCAGGGCGACTGTGGATGGTTGGAAGTGGCTGGATTTCTTCGATGCCGTCAAGGGCCACTCCCCCCTGCTGCTCATCTCCAAGGTGGCCGACAGCAATGAGCTCTTCGCCAACCTCATCGAGGGGCCCATCGAGGTCACCGGACCGGCGCAGAGCCACCGCGACACGAGATGCTTCGGCTTCAAGCTGCGGGGGACCAACAGCCATCCGTACGTGGGTTACACCGGCTGGGGAAGCAAGATTCGCAGCGCGGGCACACAGGTGGGTGTCCATTAGAATCAGCCAGGCAGTCATGGTAATTGTCTCCTCTCTATCCATGTGTGCAGGAGAGAGCCGCCGAGGTCATCGATTTCTCATCGCCCGACTCCGAGCTGACGTCCGTCCTCTCGATCGCATGCTTCAATTTTGGTATCTGTCCGGCCGCCCAGCAGATCCAGATTGGCGCCCCAGCAGCGGCCAGCGACGAGATCATGAAACGGCGCCAAGGTTTCATGCGTGAAGAAGCCCAGCGCGACGAGTGGCGACAGTGGGAGCGGCCGGGTGTGAGGCCCAGCGACCACGGCTGGGAGGACGATGACGGAGTGTTCCTGCCTGTGTCAGTGAAGGGGTGGCACTTTGATATTGATGAGTTGGAGGCATACAAACTGACATGAGTGAGGGAGGGTGACGGCGGGCTGGCAAGCGTGACGCATAGATGGAGGCGGGAGGGGGGAAGGACAGACTGCAGCCAAATGCTCCATCTGACATTGTACATCTACGTGTGTGTCCACGTCGATGGCTCCACGACCCGAATGACTTGAGTTGATCGCCCGAAGAGGCCATCAATCTGTGCACACGAGGGAATGCACACACATCATAAATGGATATCGATTTTATCTCTCTGCACACAGTCCCCCCATCCAATCCTTCAGGGTCCACCACGGCTGGCAGGTCAACGCCGCCGGCCGCACTTCCAGCGTGAGGGAGGGAGGGAGGACGATAGCGTAGGTCCGTGGTGTGTGCGTGGCTATCCCATTGTAGAGAGATAGTGAGTGACTGCGGTGGCCTCCTGGGTGGCCACTCACATATCCAACTCACACAACTGAGCCTCAGCATCTCATCAATCCTTTGCGTGGTTTTCAGACCGAAAAGCAGAAAGACGCCGCAAACCAGGCGGATCATGGAGAGGAACAACGGCTTAATGGCTCCCTGCAATGTATCTTCCATAACGGATCGCTCCAAAGCTCGCCAAAGCTAAGCGCGCAGAGGAGAAGGCGTGCAGTGACGCCTATGCATAAGTGACGCCTTCATCGCCTTCAGCTTGATGCCGAGAAGCTACGTGGGCGTGCTTTTCGCCGCCCTGACCCTGGCTGCCAATTTGAGTGTTGCAGCTGGCGGCGAAGGAGGCTGCAGGGACGATGGGCGCGTGGTTGCTTTGGGCGAGAGCAGTGAAGTGCTGCAGCTGAACAGCAGTGCGGCAACCACACTGAGGATTGACCTCAACGGGACTGATGCTGGTGATGCTAGTGCTGGTGGTGATCTGTCTGTGGTGGTGTCGTTGATCCCCAACTCGACGGACGATGTCAGTGGGATGAACAGATCAACATAATGGCCCCGGGCTCTCATCGCCTCTGCACTGTCTGTGTGTGCGTATGTGTTCGTGCAGGATCCGTCAATGCAGGTATTCTATCTGAAGGAGGGGGCGGCCAACTGCACCGAGCTCTCAGACGTAAGGCGGCCTGCTCTGCTGAGTGTGATTGCCGTGCCTGACGCGTGTCGTTTGGGTGTATGTATCTTATCGCTTCGCTTGTGGTGTGTGAGTCAGGCGTATGACGAGGGCCTGGACCTGCTGTCGGTTGACCGAGCCGATGTGCAGGCCAACAGCATCACCGCACTCTTCGTGGAACTGTGAGCACAAGCACAGCAGAAAGCCCTCGTGTTTCTTTCTAACATGTATGCTTTTCTGTGGTGTTCTGTTGGTTGGCAGCAAGTGTGCCGCGTCCGCGTCATGTGCAGCGAGTGTGCACACATACTCATACTCCAAAGACAACTACACCGAGATACACGTATGCACTGCACTCACTGAAGAGGACAACGGCACAGCAACCAAACCCCTCATGCATCGATCGATAGATCCATCGATTTCCTTCTTCTCACCTGTGCAGTGCGTCAATGGCAGCGTCAACACTAACAGCAGTGACAGTGAGAGCTCATCATCGTCGGCTGGGGAGCTGACGTGTGACTCGACGGAGGCCATTATCGAGGGCGGCAGCCCCCTGCAGCTGGTCTTCGTATGCGACGATGCATGTGCCGCTGCCGGGGCATCCAAGAATGATGCGAGACTCTCTTTCGTACGCCAAACCAACACACACACGGTGATACTATCACCGACATTCAATCATGTGTGTGTTGATTCAGAGTGTGTATCCGTCTGGTGGTGAGGAAGATGCTGTGAGTATGGCCGTCTACAAAGACAGCCCCACACTCGCCAGCAACGCATCCGACAGGCACGACCCACACACAGCAACAATGAGACGATCTCACCTCATAGCTGTCTGTCTGCCTGTGTACACGTGTGTGCACTGCAGTAGTAGCAACGCTTTGTCGACTGAAGTAGGATGGCTCAACGGCCAGGTGGCATCCACCAAGAGAGGTCGGCTCACACACAACGATATGCATGGCCGCCCGTCGATCATGCTGCTCTGCTTCCATGTGTGTGTGTTGTCGTGTATCTATCTATCTGTTGTGTGGACGTGATGTATGTCCGACAGAGAAGGGCCGTTATTACGTGACAGTGATGAAGAAGACCGGCCACAGGCCTGCCAATGTAGTTGTCGACGTCACCGTACCTGACGCACTCGTACCATCACACCTGCACACACACACACACAAAGACAGAGGGACTGTTCATCCGTCAGCCGCATACCACTTGGCGTGTGTCGTGTCCTGGTTCTCATTCAGACGCCCATCGAGGTCAACAAGCCCCACTTTGCTGCGGTGCCCCGCGGCCAGACGGCGTTCTTCCGCGTCACGCTCACCAACCCTGATGCACGTAGGCAGATTCACTCCTTCCATCCACGTCCGCCGGATCAATCGCTTTATGTCTCTGTGGCCATGGCAGCCGCTCGAGTGTTCCTGACGCCCTTCACTGGCCAGACGGACATCGCCGTCGCCCCTGATGTCGGCACGGCACTCCCGATACCAGGCAAAGTGAGAGAGAGAAGCAGGCTGGTGTATGCTCTCGTATGGGGGCATCTCACGTCATGTGTGTGTATGTGTGTGTAGGATTCGACTCAGCACTGGGAGTCTCACAGCGTGGGTCCACACCGCGTCACCATTCCAAAGGAAGGCCTACTCAGGAGGGCAAAGCCCACAGGATGGTCTGCGACGACCAAACGAACGACGCTGCAGACACAGCATGCAGACACTCGCCCCCTGCTGTCTGTCTTGTTCGTGTTCAGGTATCACATTGGCGTGACGGCCCACACCTTTGCCGCCTTCTCGCTTCTCGTTGTGGAGAACACGCCAGGCATCCCACCGTTTGTGGGACTCATGCCCAACCTACAACAGGTCACACAGACAGACAAGACAGACAGACAGACACTCGTGGACAGACAGGCCAGGCGGATGCTTCACATTAATGGCGATTCATTCCACCCCTCTGTTATATCTGGTGTGTGTGGGTGCAGGTGGGTTCGGTGGACGAGTCTCAGTCGATGGTCTTCTTCACTCGAGTGCCGAGCGACGACCCACAGCCACTCGTCATGCAGCTCGATGATGAGGTCCGCTGCAGTGCACAGCACAACACCAAAACGGCCCCCACACAATGTGTGCCATGTGTGTGGTGCTGTGTGGCTGGCTCCCTCTTCGGCAGGGCGGCAACCACACCAGTCTGTGTGCGATACGATGCGGATCCGACACCCAGCCGTTCGACTCACAAACATGCTACGTACGCACAGGCACTCGCATCTCAGCTGCCCACATACCCACCCACACGTGTCTGTGATTGATGCCCTCCCTTGGCAGAAATTCTTCGACGGCGGTGCATCGTGCGATGTCCGCAACTTCCAGCTGGACGCCAGCCAGCAGGGCCCCGAGCCACGCTCCTACATGGCCGCCACCCCGCTGCGGCCCGAGCCACACTCGTACTACGCCATCCTCCTCACCTCCAACGTCACCTCAGACTTCCAACTCACCATCACACAACAGCAACACGTCAACAAGAACAACTCCTCTAGCTCTAATGCTGCTGGTGGTGGTGGTGTTGATGGGGCGGTGAGTCTGCAGAGCGGCGTGCCCTTCAGCGGCCACCTCGACAGCAATGGGAGTGCTCTGTTCGTCTACCCCATTGTGAGTGAGATGCTCGAGGGAATGACCGGCAACGCCAGCCTCGAGGTGGCGCTCTCCCCTGTCAGCGGCGAGCCTCAGTTCACCGTCACACGGACCACACCCAGTGGCACGGCAGTAGTTGCAGAGGCCGATAAGAAGGTCGGAGAGTGGGACCAGCGAGAGACTCCGCTCCCATTCGACTCTCGTGTCTACCCCACAATGGTCTTCCACACGCCCATCGACCCAGCCCACGATGCCGCCAATGTCACCGGCCTCTGGTACATCCAGGTGCTCTCCCCATCCGGCCCCAGTGATTACGACATCTCCGCTACCCTCAAGAAAGGCCAGCAGAAGGACGCTGCCTCGTTCCTCGACGCACTTGACGGCGCCGTCAAGCTGGCGGACGGGGTGACGGTTCGGGGGGAGGTGTCCACCGACCCCGATAGCCCCGACTACCGGGCCGTGTTCCTCTTTCCGGTGCACTTCGAGTCCAAGCGTCTGATGCGGCCCCTGCAGTTCGTTCTCACAGCTCTGGGCGGCAAGCAGCTGGCCATATGGGCCAATGCCATCCCAGAGGACGTGTTGAAGGACAGCGACAAGCTGGAGGCGATGCATCTGTCGGTGCCGACTCGGAAGAACCACACGTGGCCCAGCAGGGAGGAGGAAGAGGAGCTGGGGCTGGCGCCGCTGCTGGTGGTGGAGGGGGATGACCCGAGGGCTGTCATGAGGGGGAGCTACATGATTTCAGTTACGCCATTGAAGCCCGTGCAGACGGAGGGAAACACAAACGCCACGGCAGAGAGGGTGAGTGAGAGAGGGGGAGGACGAGACCACAGTGATTGCTCATTCAACCGTCTGTGTGCGTGTGTGTGTGTGGTTCTTATCAGATAGCGTTCAATCTGATGGGCAGCAGCGATAGTGATGTCATGCTGTTGGCCGAGGGTGTGCCTCTGTTCGGCACGATCGAGGAGGAGGAAGTCCTCTTCTTCCGCCTCGCATCGGCCGACATCGACCACCACCTCACCGTCAGCCTCACAAGTAAGTAGCCCTTCCCCCAACCCCACAGCACCGCGCACACATACGAACAACCGCCGCCATCCACTCGTGTGTGTGTGTGTGTTCCCGTGTATGTATCAGTCATAGCGGGCGATGCCGACCTGTACGTTGGCTTCGAGCCGAAGCTGCGCACGGGCGATCCCGAGGTGTTTTCGAGCGACCAGTTCGGGAGTGACGTGGTGTTCATCCCGGCGGACGACCCCGCACACCGCAAGTACTGCAACAAGGACGTCATCGACAAGAAGGGCGAGTGCGTCTACTACATCGCCGTCCTGGGGTATAGGGACACCGCATTCACCATTGAAGCCAACCTTGCCGTAAGTGGGGGGTGCCACCCACCCACACGTAGGGAGGGGCGAAGGAAGGGATGGCATGTGTGTGTGTCTACGTGTGTGTGGGTGTGTGTGGGTCAGGACGGCAAGCCGACAGAGCTGGAGCCCTTCGAGCCTCAGGAGGGCAAGACGCTCCAGTCGGGCAGCGCCTTGTTCACGGCCACACTCAGCAAGGAGGCGTTCGAGGACGAAATCAACGTCAAAGGTGACCACACACGCACACAACACAACACATACACATATCCCCACCCTCATCTATCGGTGGATCCGTGTGTCTCCCTTCGTGTGCAGTGACCCCCAAGACGGGCGACCCCGACTTGTATGTCATGGTGGTGTCATCGAGCGTGCTGAAAGACGGCACCGGCGGCCTTGGCTCTCTCAAGGACACCGACCAGGCCACCGTGCACAAGTCACTCCACGCCCTCGGGGACGAGGCCGTCACTCTCTCGACGGAACAGCTCAAGGTCAGTGACAGACAACTGCCCGCCCCCTCTCTCAATCACTCGCAACACACACATGAGTATGTATGCTGTTGGTTGGTTCATCCACCGTATTTATTGTCTGCAGGCCGACCGTGAGAGGGCCCAGTGCGGCAAGGGCGCCAACACGCCAGACTGCATGCTGCTAATCCAAGTGTATGGCTTCGAGCAGTCGGAGTTCTCCGTCGTCTTCACCGCTGCTGGCGTGGACGCCGGTGGCTCGGGGCAGCCCGGTGCTGCTGGTGGTGCTTGTTGTGGGGCGGGTGGCCCCGAGCTGATGGATCTGGGCATCTTGGTGCAGGAAGGGCTGCCGCAGCGAGGCATGCTCATGGGGCAGACCCATGAAAAGTGAGGAGGGAGGACAATGGATGCATCGAAAGAATTGTGCATGCGATGCGGTGTGGCGCTTCCTTCCTCTCAGGTATCGCTTTTACCTGTATGGCAAGAAGGTGGTCCCAGGAGTGTCGGTCAAGCTGTCGGCCGAGGAGTGCAGCCCCTCAGTCAGAATACACTTCCCCGGCACCAAGGCCAAGGACACCAAGGACACCACGGGAGGTGCTAATGCTGGGGATACAGATGAAGGCGCCCAGACAGTGGGCTATCCCGACAGCCAAGACGTGCAGCTCATCACACAGGCGGACCAGCGCGTCAAGCCGGGCATGTTTGTGCTAGAGGTGAGGGGGGGTTGGGGGTGGGGGGAAAGGAATTGCTCTGAGTGGAGTGATTGATGTCCGCCCTTGTCTTGTCTGCCCTTGTCTGTCTGTCTGTCTGTCTTGTGCTTAGGTGTATGACGATTCGTTGGGCGATGGCGACGCCTGTTCGTTCAGCCTCCGTGTGACGGCCAGCCGGGGCGACAATGCCACGGTGGAGACACTGACTGAGGGAAACACTGTCGAGGGAGAGGTAATCAAATCAATCAGCCACTAACACACACACAAGGGGACCACACGAAGACATGAATAGGCGAACATTTAGGTGGGTGTCGTGTGCGTGTGGAGGTGTCCAGGTGTTGTCGTTCGATGCGCCTCAGTACTACGCCTACAGCTATGACGGTGACCTGCAGGACGGCCCCGACAACACGGAGGTCTTCATCGTTGTCTCCATATTCAACGGTTAGTTAGTGAGCAAGACAGACACCCAGGCGGTTCGGGCGGCACCACACCCGTTGCCACGTGCGCTTTGGTACGATTGATTCCTTCTGTCTGTGTGTGTGGGGTATGTCATTTACAAACAGGTGATGTCAATAATGTCGTGGCCAATGCAGGCCAGGGCAAGGTGGCCCTGCCCACCCCTACAGACGACCAGTCCCACAACATCCCCGCCACTCAGACAGACAGGGGCAACTACGAGATCCGATGGAACGTCTCAGACACATGCAGCGGCAAACCGCCACCAACCAGAAAAAGAAGAACGCGACGACGTCTAGCCCGCCCCCTTAGCGCCACCCCTTTCCGCACAAGGACCCTCCCAATGCGGCGGATCACTCGGCGGATGCTGCAGGAGATGGCCCCATCCCCCGGCACAAGCACAACCACAAGCAGCAGCAGCACCTCACAAGACTGCCAGATCGTCATCGGCGTGTTCAGTGCTGAGGTCAGCCCCATGGCAGCTGATTTCTCCATCCTGGCGTTGGAGGTGCCGCATGACGCGACCGAGGGCGGGGGTGGTGGTCGTCGTGAGAAGATGCCGATAGTGCTGGACCTGGACAGGGAGGTGGAGATGGACGCGGCCATGCTGGCCACCAGCAGACGGATCATGGTCTTTGTCGACAACCCACTCGCCGATGTGGATCTCATGATGATGTCCACCAGCAACCTTGCCAGAGTCAAAAACGTCTACGCCGGTATGTATGTTGCTGGCCTGGACGGAGAGAGAGAGAGAGAGAGAGAGAGAGATGCCCACGCACATGTCCTTGCTCTCTCTCTCTCTCTCCCTGTGTGTGTGGGTGTGTGTGGTGGTGGGGTGCAGGTTTGAGCAGCAACGTGAGTGCGGCTGACGGCAGCTATCTGACGGGCTGCGGTGAGGACCACGGGGACCCTTGCAAGGGGACCATGCTGCAGCCCTTCGCACCATTCAGTGACGAGACCATCCTGGCACTAGTCGTCCCGTAAGCACACACACAGAGATCCAGAGAAAAGGAAGGCACTCATTCCGCCCACCTACCCTACCTTACCCTACCACGGCTGCTCTGCTGCCTTTCTCATGTCATGTAGTTGGTCCGCCCGGCAGGCCAAGCCACGAGGCGCGCTCTACTTCTACATCGATGTTGACGAGCAGGTCAGTGCAGTGTGACTGCGTGAGAAACCCATCACTCATCCCTAACACTAACACTGCACACAGGCGGGGGATGAGTCCTTGATGGACATTGACGAGCTCTACTCGGTGGAGGTTGGCAGCAGCGGTGGCCTCTTCCGCGTACCTGACGGCGGCCAGGCCGTGGAGTTCCCTCTCAAGGCTCGTGAGCCCTTCCACTTCATCTTTACCGCACGCAGATCGCCCGGCATCGGATCGGGCCAGGTGACCTTCACGGCAGACGTGCCGTATGACGCCGACTCGCCTGGCAATATCGACATCAAGCTATTCATCACCGGATGCCGCACGGACGAGAAGCTTTCCGGCCGGCCATTCGACCGGGTGCCCAACTCGACAAGCCACGACTTCAAGGGGTGGGTCAACAGCGCAAACCAGCTCGTGTCCATCATTGACGGGCCGGTTTCTTCCACACCCTCTCCCACCTGCCAGTATGTGGGAACCGTGTCGTCCGAGCGCAACAAGGACATCACTGTCGCCTTGAGGGCGCACTCACAGAGGCAGGGAACGCCTCTGCCCTTTCACGAGCCGAGCATGGGCAAGGTGGACAGAGGGGCCAGGTGGACATACCGGGTGCTGCCCCCCGCCTCGACGCAGAGGCGAGGGGCTGCATCCACAGCAGCGATGCCCGAGAAGATGATGGTGCGGTTCGAGGTGTGTCTGGGCGACGCTGAGCTGCGGGGCGGGTCGACCATGGCGCAGGTGCTGGAGGGGGACCAGGCGTCACATGCCGTCACCCTGGACCGCAACACCACATCAGCGGTCATCCCTGTCGACCAGGCCAAGTACCTGGGTGTGAGTTGGCGAGACCACCCCAGCCAGTCGCCGGCAGCGGACCACGGCAGCTTCATCCTGCTCGTGGAGGACATCACGGACGTCCACTGCCTCGGCGCATCGTCGCCAAAGGTTCGAGTCACCAGGGAGCCTTCATCCACCGAAGTCAAAGGTAAATGGCCGGGTGGCGGGTCAGCGAGCGATAGACAAGGAGGGACGACGCCGTCTGACGCTCTCTGTGGGTGTGTGGTGTGGTGTGGTGTGGTGTGGTGTGATGCTGATGTCTGCAGTTGAGTGGGAGAAGCTTCGTGTGGCCAAGCTGGAGCCGTCAAGTACGTCAGGCTGTAGCGATGACATCGTCGCAAGAGACGGGAGGGAAGCCGAGCCCGAGGACGTCATCTACGAGGTGGGAGAGACCGGCAAACACCCAGACACAACACAGGAACCCACCAACCAACGTCTTCCTTGTCTGTCTTTGTAGCTGTTTTGGGGCAAGATCGGTGAGATGCGGTCCGACGGGACGACGGCGTGCGGCCTGTACGAGGAGGCCCACACCACGCAGCACAGCGGCAGGACAGTCAAGTGGAACCCCGTGCCCCATGGCGTCACCTACCACCCCCTGCCGACAGACTGGATGTCAGACGGAGGTTCTGACATCGACCCCACCGGCAGATGGCGAGTCAACGTCGTCGCCAAGTACCCCAGACGGCGGCTCTCATACGCCTACGAGCCTGTCGAGTTTGGCCAAGATGATGCAAGTGCTGCTGTGGCCAAGCCAGTGGTGGCTCCTGAGGAGCCTCTTGCGCCGGCCGAGGACATCCCGCCCCCCGTCTCTCCGTCTTCTCAGAGCAGCCTGGGGCCATCCCTCAAGAGAGCCCCCTCCCTGCACATGCCGGACGTCCCACACACAGGCCCCAGCAGCAGCAGCAGTGACCACCACCGCGCCACCCACCACCACAGTCTGTCCACGGCGGTCATCCTGTCGACGGTGCTGATAGTGGTGGGTCTGCTGGTGGCTGTTGCGGTCATGTTTCAGCGGAGGAAGCGGGCAGAGAGAAACAGGCTGCAGTACGAGTTGAGGACGGGGCGGGCCGGCAGCTACGTGGCGCCGACGCCGTCGCGCGTATACGGCTACCAGCAGCTGCTGAGCGACGAGGAAAGATTAGAATTGGATTGCGACTTTGGCGATGGTGGGATTGCGCCCCCTCCCCCCTCCCACTCCCACACAGGGGTGGAGATGACGGCGCCACCCAGATAGACAGACGATGGGCGGGGAGGAGGGAGGGATAGATGAATGGGTGTTTTTTCGCGTGTTGGATCGAGCTGTGAAAGCTCGTTTATTTATCTGCCTGCCTGCCTGCCTGCCTTGTGTGTGTCTTTGTCGCTTGGCGTGTGTGTGTTTGTTGACCGGTGGTCGGGTCGATCGATGGGTAGCTTAGCTTACTAGGCCTTGCTCCCTTCCTGCCCCGTCCCTCCCTCCTTGCCTGGCTGCCTGACTGATGAGGGCAATAATTCGGGCGTCTTCCTGTCTGCCTGCGGGATTGCCTCTCTCGTTGGGTACCCAAATCGACGGGCAGACAGAGATAGATGCCTTTGGCCAGCCCACGGAGGGAGGGCGCACACATGGCAAGCAAGAGGCAAGAGCTTGGGGGCGCCGTGGGGTTGTGTCTTTATTGACGTGAGGGCCAATTGGCCCCGAGCAACGAGCATTAGCAATGGCGGTCGGTCCAGTCTCTCTCTCCCTCCCTCCTCCCTCTCTCTCTCTTTCTTTCTCTCTTTGCCTTCTTCATCCATCATACCTTGTGTCTGTCTCCTTGCTGCCTGCGTCCCCCCGAATGTGTGGCTGGGCGGTGTGTGGCTTGTTTTGCGGCCCCCAGCAGCATTAATTCAATTTTTGCCAGGCAGGCATGTCTCTTGTTTGTCTCTTCTGGAGAGGTCATGCGCACAGGACGTTGGCTTGCAATGTATACCCTCAGGTGTGGGTGTGTGTGTGGGTGTGTCATTCGGACACGACTTATTTGTCGACTTCAACTCACTCACTCACTCATTGATCAGTCAGTGATGACACGACCCAAATGGCGTCTATCCTACACACAGTCCTACGCACAGCAGAGCACAGCTGCATTCCCACAATAGTCTCAGAGACACCTACTCCGCCTAAGCCCTTTGTCTTGACGGCGATTCACTTACTGCTCCCGCTGCTGCCGCTGCCCTGCCGTCTCCTGCCCTTGTCGAGGACATAGACCCTCAGCTGGTATGCATTTGCCATTTTCCTCAACTCCCCGTTCTCCAGCAGCAAGTCGTAAACAAGTGAAGGGGCGAGACAGCTCCTCGACAGCAGTTGGTCTCGGTCGAGCCGAAGGGTTTTGTCGATCTTGGCGTCGCTCTGCCGAACCAGAAAGGCAAGGAACTCCTGTATGTGTGCGAAGGAAGGCACATACATCCATCCATAGAGAGGGGCAGCTGATGTGTATGTGTGTGTGTATGCGTATTCACCTCATCGTTTCCGTAATCGTATCGATTCCTCTCGCACTCGAGACACAGCCTTCCCAAGCTGAAACCCTTCAGCGCCTGCCACCGACGCGCAACGGGCTTGAGGGCAGAGACATCCTCATACACGTCGATCGCGACTTGTCCATCGCCTGCAGCTGTGTTGCCGGCGTCGCTGTCCCTTCTCATGGAAGATGAGCCGTGTCGCTGAGACTGCCTTCGTCGTCCTTGTCTTTCCTGCCTCCTGCTGCCAGCTGTCTTGATGAGCTGCGCGTGGGTCTCATTCAGCTGCAGGCCTTTCTCCAGGGACTCCATGACGGCAAGCTGCAGCTCTTGCGAGAACAGATCAGGCGCCGGCGCGGTCCTGACATTATGAAGGGCGGCTTCAGTCACTCGCGACGCCTGCTCCAGTCTCCTCAGCTGGCTATCGGTGTCGTATCTTCCCTCCAGGTAATCATCACCACTCATCTCTGCCTGGTCCACAATGCCTTGCAGATCCGTCTTGGCGTCGACGAGCCGTCGTGTGGCAAGTATGCGGTCGATCTTCTCGTGTCTCAGCCGGATGTCATCCAGCATGACCGCGAGCAGGAACTTGAGCGTGGCCGAGTGCTCCAGTTCCCTCATCTGGTCGAGCACCGCCCGTGTCAGGGTTGACAGGTCCTCCGCGGCCCGCAGCAGCTGGCTTTCTGACGCGAATTGGTCGAGGTCGTCTGATGTGGGCTCGTGCCCAAGGAGATGGATGCTTCCGCCCGATGCGTCGATGGCACTCGGTGAAGGCTCCCCGTGTCGGATTTCGAGCACCCGAGACCACCATTCGGCCATCTCGTCCAGGACTCTTCGCATCAGGTCGACTCCCCACTGAATGCACCGGCATAGACAGGCAGACAATGCAAGACGCGATGCATTCGTGTGCAGGAGTGGTTCTTACGAAGACTTCGATGTCTCTGGTGAATGACGGCAGCAGTGATGCGCTCTGGGCTGAGACTGGAGAAGCCACCAATTGGGGTGCTTGGTGGCTCTCTGATGGTTTGGAGGAGACATATGCCACAATACTGCCATTGTGGCCTTCGATCTTTCTAAGACAGAGGAAGGGTACCAAGGCGAATCAAGAGCCGGACACATATGACCAACACCCCCCAGTCAGTGGCCTACCTGATTCTCCTGCCCTTCATGGCCAGCACAGGCTCTGGCCTCAAGACGCGGTCATCCGATCTGTTCAGCCCCAGCTCGTTGTGGACATTGCCGCCCCACGCGTATACCATCCCACTCTCCGCCAAGGCGAAACATGACCACCCCGCCGCCACAATTATCTGCATCATATGCACACGCACGATAGGCACGCAACGAGAAGCCCACAGCCTTCTCTCCCTTCACCTGCGTGATAATTTCTCGCTCCAAAAGGCCAACTTTTTTCGGCTCGAATCGTTGCGCCTGGTTTCCGGAGCCCAGCTGACCGAAGGCATTGTCGCCCCACGAAAAGACGGATCCCTTGTCCGACCATGCCAGCACGAAATCGGTCCCGCCAGTCTGCATTGATAAGGAGAGAAGAGACAGAAGGAAATCGAGATGCATAGATGGGAGAGATGAGTACATAAAGGGAGGGACGTACCAGGCCAACGACTCGTTCATCCTGTGGGATGCCTTTGATTGCGGTGGGCTCTTTGGCGAGTGTCTTACGTGTGCCGATGCCGAGGCACCCTGCAGTGCAGAGCATGATGCAATCAATGCATTGGTGACTCCTCTCTCTCTCTCCCTCCCTCCCTCCCTCCCTGCCTGCCTGCTGACCACTGTGGTCCTCCCCCCACGAATAGAGCCGACCATCCTCGGTGAACGCCACACTGAAGGAGGGGCCAAAGTGTACCCCGGCAATGTCGGCATCCAGCACCTGCACGAGATTCGGCGCGTACATCGCCGGATCCCCCTGCCATGGCGCCGCGCCCCACACGTAGAAATTCGCCGCCTGCGCCATGATGCCACTGGCAGTGGTTGCTCTCCGTCTCGGCCCACGACCCCCCGATCGTCTCGACGCTCGAAGCAAATTGGCTCGAACACCACTGCGTTCTCTTCCTTCTCTTTGTGTTTGTGATGCTACGCCCGAGGGGAGTGCACTGGGGAATGCGTCACTTGTTTCGTTGTGAGCGATGAAAGAACGAGAACTGACGACGAGAGCTCAGTCTGCAGCGTGATGATGGTGATATCGGCGACACACATGAGGATGGAGGCAAGTGCGTTCACCGCCCACCGCACCACCACGCCGCTGACATAAATGCAGAACCAGGTGGGTCAAAGGAAGGAGCCTTAACAGAGAGGAGATGTCTGTTTGTGTGTGGTATGCTGGACTTCATGTGTGTGTTTGGTTCAGTTCGGGCAGCCTGGCTTCCCTCCTCAGTTCCCTGGGCATCTGCCTGGGCCCGTGCCGGCGCCATGCGACCCGCCCAGGCCCTTCTCGATGCAGCGGTGGGAGGGCAACAGACGCAGAGGACCGGCGGGCATCATCGAGACCAATCGCAGCAGATTCGAGGAACAGCTGCGCAAGACCAGATTATGTGAGCATTGCGAGCGCCACTCAGACACATTGTGGATGCTCTGTGTGTGTGTGCGGTGTGTGTGTGTATAGGTAAGTGGCATCAGGCGGGTCGTTGCACGTGGGGTGCGCAGTGCCGGTTCGCCCATGGCCTGGGGGAGCTGAGGCAGCGGCCTGACCTCTCAAGGACGTCACTCTGCCCTGATGTATGTCAGCCGAGTGAACTGCACACATGCACTCACACGTGCCCGCTTCACATGGATCTCTCTGTGGGTGTCCTGTTGCTTTGCACCACGCACAGTTGCAGAACTGTCGGAACCCCTTCTGTACGTTTGCCCACTCAAAGGACGCACTGAGGACCACCAAGTAGAAACCATCACTTGTGACAAAAAAGACGATGTGCATCGGTGTCTGCAGCCATCCATCCATCCATCCACGTGTTCGGTGTTGGAATGTCGATCAGCTTTTTCGTGAAGACCAAAGTATGCCACGATTGGCTGGCGGGTCGGTGCTACAGGCCCCGCTGCAAATGGGCGCACCACCTCGATGACATGCAAGAAGATGTCAACACCGATGGCCAGCATGAACCACACACAGGCGACACACAGCAGCAACACATTGACACGTCCGCCTCTGCCCACGAGCGGTGAGTACCCACCACACACACACGCACGCAGCCCCAACAAACACCCCACGCAAGACGGAATATATGAACGTCCTGTTGTTTGTCGTTTCTCTCTACCTACGCAGACCTGGTGTTTCCGTTCTTGACAGCACCCCGGTCTTTCACCCCCTCCCTCTGCCCCTCCCCATCCCAAGCACCCCGTTCCCCCACCCCGCCCCTCCCGACCTCCCCGGCCCCTCTGCCCCGCCCTCTCGCCACCCATCCATCGCCATCGCACCAACGTCCGGCCCACCCGTGGCCACTATGGGCGTCGTGCTGTACAACTCACCCGCACCGTCACCTGCGCGGGCACCAGGAGTGCTTACGCTTGCTGAAGTTGGGGACCATGTCGGTCAAGTCGATGTGCCGGGTCCCCTGTTGCCTTACAGGGCGGTGTCGCTCCCCGAGATGCGGTGTGGTGGGAGACGTGGGGGGCACGGGAGAGCCGGCAGGGGGTTGTCTTCGGAGGCAGCCATGGGGGCGAAGGCTGGTGGTGGTGGGGGTGGTGGGCATCCGGACGGCACGTCATCGTCGCCCGCCACGCCCATATCGGTGCTTGAGCAGATCCGTTCGCTCGTGCTCGATGACAGAGGTGCGTTGGACAGGGGGGCAACATTGACAGACACAGACAGTGCAGTGCTCATGGCGTGTTTATTATGTGAGTGTGTGTATCCAGAGCTGAAGGCAGCTGCGCCGCAAAACTACGAAGACTGACGGGCTGCCTGTGCTCCTGTCATCCAGCACCTTCCGCTGACACATCCATGTGTGTGTGTGTGAGTAATGTGATGGGGGGCAGTTTTGTTTTGCGACAAACGAGACGAATGGATGGATGGATGGATGGATGCCTGCTGCTTGACCGTGGCCGCCTGCGTCCCTCCCTCCCTGTCTATACTCTTCGTGGAGGTGCCGTGCCTGTCTTTTCTTCTTTCTGCGCAGATGGACGGACACACACACAGATGGATGGATGGATGGATGGACAGAGAAACCATATTTCTTTCTGCGCATGACCTTCTTTCTGCGCATCAATCAATGTGTTCTCTTGTGTGTATGTGTGTATGCAACTGTCTGTCTATCTATTCACCTATCGCTCATGGACAAGTGCTGTGCGGACAGATGTATCTTTTTTGCGCACACACACACACGCACGAGGCTGGCCGGCCGGCCCCCTTTTTCCTGATGGCATAGGGACCGCACCCACCCACTGACTGACGTCCACCTGTAGGCTTTGTTTTGTTTTGACCGACCATTAACTAACTACCATTACAGACAGACCGGTGTGGTACTGTATGCGTATGCCCGTGTCCTAGTGACTAGATAACGCTCACGCAGCGTGGATAGATGGCAACCAGAGATAGAGAGAGAGAGAGAGAGAGAGAGAGACGACGGGAGCGTCTGTCTGTCTGCCTGTCTGCCCGTCTGTGTGTGTGTGTTTTCCCCGGCCATTCGAGCCGGTTGGGTAGCATGGCAACAAAACCATGACAAGACCAGGGAAGGAATTGTGTTGCGGGGGGTGGGCTCGTTGGCTGTCTGTCTGGTGTACATAAGCGACGTAAGAGAGAGAGAGAAGGCCAATTGGAGAAGACCACCACAGTTTTGATGCTTATCTCCACATAGTATAATGCATTCGTCCAGTGCAGTGAGGTATAGTCACATGCACTGCAATGCACACACTGACGACACTCGAGAATCGCTTCGTACAGACAGAAACACAAGACAAACAAACGGATGGATGGATGGATGACGCCAACGGCCGTGCGTCTGCGTCTCTACTCGGGGGGCTGCCTGCCTGCCTGCCTGCCTGCAGCGGTCCTCTATTTTTCGTGACGTGACGCACGTGCCACCACCGCACAGCATACTCGATATTTGTCGGTCTCGTTCTTTTTTGGTAGGCCCCTTTCTCTCTATATACATACCTACATGCCCCATGTACATGTATGTATATAGCCGAATCTCAACGCATCCATCCATCCATCCATCCATCGTAACTGGCTTGCACAAGGATGGATGGATGGTGGATGGATGGATGGATCACCCTCTCTATCGCGTCATATGCATGAGGGTCAGGTCAGTCAGTGTTTCTGGCGGTGACATGAATATATGACGTGGTTTGTTCATACCTCTCACTCACTCACTCACTCACTGCCTGCCTTGCTTCCTTGCTTGCGTGCGTGCGTGCTTGGTTGGTTGGTTCATGCGTGTGAATGACTGCCTTTTCGTCCTGCCGAATTAATGACCTCTGTCGTGCTCCCCCGTGCTCCCCCTGTCTGTCTGCATCAAGGGCTTTGTGGGTGCGGGAGGAGATTCGTAGGCGAAGTTGGTGGCAGCATTCTCTGTCCATCAGCAGGCAGGCCCTGCGCGTCGCCACCGCCACGCACAAGGCCGAGTGCAGCACAGTACAGTGAAGTGCAATGCGGGCAGCACTTGAATGGCTGATGGACGGATGGATGGACGCGATGTGTGTCTCCTTTGTGTGTTTCTTGAGTGTATGCATCGCGTGAGTGTACGGACGCTCGCTGTGACGGACTTCACTTGCCTCTTCGGCGGTCAGGGGAGGGAAGAGTGAATTTGGTCACTGCGAGGTCCGTCTTACGATGCAGCGCGGGGCATGGCATCATACCAATGTTGTATGTGAGGTGTGTGGTGAGACACATGTACACACAGAGAGAGACCGACTCGATGAATGAATGCAATTCACTGATCCACGGATCGGCGTGTCGCTGCTGTACACTCAGTGCAAAGGCATCCATCACACATCGAGAAGCGCCAATCCATGTGTGGATGCGATAGATACACAAATACATGCAGCAACAAAACATCCGGGCCAACCGCACGCACGCACCCACACAAGGGTCGATCGACCGTCATCTCTCTCACAAATGCAATCAATCAATGCACACACATGGACCGGATGATGTGATGCACACACATCATACCATGGCTAGCCTATACACTGCCTGACTGCCCCACGAAGACACTGTCGTGTGTGTGGGGATATATGGCTGGCCATGGCCGCGCACCCATGCATGAATGCTCACTGTACACAGAAACCATCTCCCTTCCCCCAATCCACTCCCTCTCACTCATCCCCTGGCTGTTATCTATCTTCTTGCATGCTGTCTCTCCCGCTGTCTGTGTATGCGCGTTGTGAGTCACTCAGTCACCCATCTAGAGGATGTATCTCTCATCCCCTGGACAGACGCCAGCACGACCCACAACGCACACACACAGACAGAGAGAGAGACAAGCAACACGACGAGGTAGTTCGTCCCTCTTGTCTTCATACTGAATCCTTCCTTCGGTCCTTCCTTTCTCTCTAGCCGTGCTGTGCTGTGCCCCCTCGGTCCTTCTGCGCAGGCCACCCCTGACCTCAGCAAAGTTCCCTGCTGGGCTGGGAACTTCACTGCCATCAAGGGCGAACAGTGTACAAGGACAAAGCGGGCGTCAGAGCTGAGAAAACCGATCAATGGAATGCAATACAGTCCAATACGATACTGGCAATAACATATGACGACACCTACGCCTCTCCCATTCCTCACTGCTGCATATCATCATCGCCACCATCAGCATCGGTTTCCTTCTTTGCAGCTCGGCAGATGTCCTGCTGGTCCTCGTCCACCGTGCTGTAGCCGTTGAAGTGCACCGCACCCACGTAGCGACGCGCAAACAGGGTACCCAGCGCCGTAGTCTGCACACATCCATTCAGAGGAGAGAGTGCGGCAGTGTGTGGTGGCAATGTCTGTCTCCCACCGACCCGCCCAGCCGCCCACCTCACCTGTGTGAATGCGATCTCCGACCTGGGCACCTTGACACCCTCCACGAACATCGAACTGAGAAGCAAGCAGACAGACAAGGGGTGTGTGTGGATGGTGGACCGACGTTGGTTTGGTTCCTCTCCTGTCTGTCTGCTTGCTTACGCTGCCGCATCGACCAGCTGTGAAGCGATCCGCTGCCGACGGTGGGACGCGTGAACCCTAAATGCCACGCATGAACACGATACATACACACACTGTTGAGAGTCTTCCCTCCCTCCATCCCTTCATCGCCCACCAGATGACCTCCACCCCCAGGCGGGCATCTTTTGGCTGTGACGTCTGCAGCTGCACGGGCTCCAGCGACGGGAAGGACGAACCACTCCCACCGGCAGCAGCAGCACTGGCACTGGCACTGGACGAGGAGGGCTGCGACAAATCTTGCTCAAACAACACGGGATACGCCTGCGGGTGGTGGACAAAACGGGATAGAGAGAAGGCTGGAATGAGGTGCTGTGGGTGGGTGGGTGGGGGTGTGGGTGATGCCGGCCTACCTTATGCACAGGTCTGGTCCAAAGGAAGCCCACCACGCTGAGTGAGGGAGGCTTCAGGTACAAATACAACTAAACACACACACATACACACACACACAAAGAGGGTCGTGTGGTTGATGGGGCCATCATCCTCCACAGCCACCCACCCACCTGATGGTCGTGCGACCGCAGGTGGCACTCGTGCAGCCCGGGGTGGCCGATCTCCTCATTCAACACCGAAAATATCGACTGAACCTGACCCCCAGGCATACCACAACACACACACACACACACACACACAAAACAGCGGTGAGCTGAGCACTCCACCCCTGCGTGTGTCCGTGTTGTGTTGTGTACCTTCTTCCATGCGGCCTGGTCCGGCTTGCCGTGTATGCGGGCTATCGCCTCGCCCCGCGGCAAAGTGCGGACGATGAAACGCCGAGCCTGACCGAGGCAAGGCAAGGCGACACAGATCGATGGGTGTGGTCTAGACTGTGCTGGGTGTGTACTGGTTGGCCGTGTTGGCCCAGCTGTGCTTACCCCTGGCCACTTGACGGGCTGTTTGACTTTCTTCTTGGTGGTGATGAAGCCCATCTCCTCGTGCAGCTTGTCATCGTGGTGCTCACCGGGGGCAACGGGCACGCCACACACCTTACACAAACGAACCCTGCACACACAGCGAACACACACACACATTCACTAGAAGAGATGGATGGATGTATCTGTGTGTGGTTGTCGGCACGCCGTCGGGTTTCTCTCTCTGTCGCTCACTTGGCCTCCTGCAGCTTCATGGACGGCCCGATCTCCATTTGCTTGAGCTGCTGCTGCTGCTGCTGCTGAGTGCCACCACCTGCCTTGTGAGCCTGAGGCTGCGATGCGCCGCCCTTGACGCGCTTGGCCTGCCCAGTGGACAGGTGGGTGCTCGCCGAGCAGTCACGAGGCCGCTTGATGAGGTACCGCTCCATATCAACGTATGTACGTGTGAATCGATGCTGTTATCCTTCGACAAAAGGCGTCAACCGATAGTAAGTATGATAGATATCGACAACCGATGCGGCGACGACACTAGCAAATCCACCCCTGCCTCTGGAAAGTGAAGCCAAGTGAGCTGCCCTTCAAACACAACCTCGAGTGAGATTGCATGGGGATCTGGCAGTCGGCGCCCGTTGTGGACCAAAACGTTTTGGGACGACGTGGTGCCTTCCTTGAGCGAGGAGAAGGAGAACGCCGACAGATGACCCATCCATGAGCACACACTGAAATGAGCATTCGTTGGTGCTACATACAGGGAAGGAAGGGAGCGCACCGCACGGACCTGACGGATCCATTCATTCATTCATTCATTCATTCATTCAAGTGTCATGCATGCAGGCTGTAGCTGATCGCTGCAAGGTCGTGCCTCTCTGTCAAGTCAGTCAGTGAGACCATCGGTGTACATAATAGTGAGAGTGAGTGTGTGTGGACGGTACGCTGCGTGGCATGCTAATCGGTCAAGTCAATGCCCGTCCGGCACACAGCAGTCACCTCCACCTGCTGGATGGAGGCGATGCGCAGCGATTGTCAACTGTACAACAACTAGATGGAAAGCCACGCACATGTTCGTCACGAATACACGCACACACCACACGCCCGTCTACTGTACCCCTCTCCCCCCTCCCTCCCTTGCTCACGCCAGCTTGTATGCCTCGAACTCATCAATCTCAAAGTGAAACCCCTTCACAGACACAGGCAGGAACACTACGTCACCACCCCAGCCGTGGTCGCTCGGCCTCACGCCCGGCCGCTGCCACTGCCGCCACTCGTCGGGCTGATCTGCTTGCAGCATGAATCCCTGGCAGCGCTTGAGCTCCCCGTCGCTGGCTGCTGTTGGGGCGCCAATCTGGATCTGCTGGGCGGCCGGACGGACGCCAAAGCTGAAGCCTGCGACACCGAGGACGGCCCTCACATCAGAGTCGGGCGAAGAGAAATCGATGAGGGGGGCGGCTCTCTCCTGCACACATGGATGAACAGGAGACCATTACCATGACTGCCCGGCTCATTCAGATGGGCACCCACCTGTGTGCCCGCGATGTCCATCTTGCTTCCCCAGCCGATGTAGCCCACATATGGGTGGCTGTCTGTCCCACGCAGCTTGAAGGCGAAGGATTTCGTGTCGGGGGTGCTCTCGGCCGTCCCGGTGACCTCGACGGGCCCCTCGATGATGATGGCGAAGAGCTCATTGCTGTCGGCCACACGGAAGATGATCAGCAGGGGGGAGTGGCCCTTGACGGCATCGGAGAAATCCAACCACCTCCAACCATCCACAGTCGCCCTGCCACGACACACACACACATCAGGACACAGAGGCATGGTGGGAGAGTGCCGTCATGCTCACATCTGTCGGCTGCCCTTCCCACTTGTATATGCGGACGACCGGCTCGCCCACACACGACGGGATGCTGGGGGCCTCAGGGTAGTTCCGACCCTCACACCACTGGGGCATCTTGTGCAGGTGGTCGGTGGTCAGCAGGCCGTCAGCGGGGCCCAAATAGCGATCGCTATCCAAACCGTACCTGACACAAACCAACACACAGACAGACAGACAGACAGAGAACAGCCGTCGGAGCACTGTGTGGTGAGCAGCTCTGTGTGTTCTCGCCGCTTTTACATGGTGAGTGCGTGTCGGAATCCTTTGAGGTCGGTCTCGCCCACCGCCCCGCGCACATCAGCCGCCTTGACGGCCGTCTGCTTCATCATGTGCGATCTCGCCACCACGTCTACTATGCGCCGCACGTACTCGGGATCTTCCTCATGACTATCGGGATCATACCTGACATACAGAATGGAATGGCATGCGATGGATGCATGTCTGTGTGAGTGCGGCTCACTTGGTGAACATGTTCGCGAATGTCGAGTCGGCGCCCAGCGATGTGGCCACACCCTTGGTCACCGTCACCGTGGCACCCGACACCTCAATCGACACCAACTGACCTCGAAGGGCACAGCAAGGACAGCACACATGAGTGACGATCCCTTCTCCCACCTTTCTCCCAGTGTATCGTCGGCTTACCGAATCCTCCTCGCTATCGCCCGTCTTGAGCAGGGGTTTGATGGCCTCGAGGCGCTCCATCTGGGCGTCCCTGGCATCCTTGGCCCTCCTGATCATACTGGGCAGCTCCACAGAGAGGGCCTCAGCGTCGCTCTCCTGCTGCTCCTGCCCTCCCTCCCCCTGCTGCTGGTGGTCTTGAGTGAGGGGTGGGATCTGCACACGGTTCGCGCGCCGCTTGTAGCCGGGGTCCGACATGAGCAACTCAACCCAGTACCTGAACGAGACCAAACACACCACACCACACCATGGGATCCACGGCAACACAAACAGGCAGCCTGGCGTGTGTCAGTTGGTGTGGCCCACTCACTTGAATGGCGTATCGTTCTGTCTGGAGGGCGGTATGACGATGGTGTCGATGGTCTGCACCCCCACATATGTGTTGAGCTTCCCAACCAACTTGACAACGGAGCACACACACACAGAGGGGCAGTGTGAGATCCACACATGGCCATCCACAGTCATGACATCTGTCTACCACTTCCAGGCATCAGGAAACATCTGAAGGAAGATGCGCTCGTCCTTGTCACGAACGAAGGCATCATCGAAGCGGCCCGAGAACAGCAGTGCAATGACGGTCCCCTTGACGGCGCACAGAGTGGAACGCCGCACCTTGACGGTCGTGTCCCCGGCCACATTGAACGCCAACATGTCACGCATCCGCTCGGCCTGACGACAACACACACACACACACACGCAGAGGAACGCACAAAACCGCATTTCAGGGCTTCCCTGCGTTCCGCGTCTGGCCCTCTTACGGATGGCTCGCTGGTATCTGCCGTGCCGCCGATGGCCCGCTCTCGCTGGATGAGGCCATTCTCAATCTCGCGCAGCTTCTCCATCACCAGCTGCGCCTGCTCCATGCTCGCACGCAGATGGCCGCACTCATCCTCATCGCCATCGCCGCCGTTCGGCCGCTTTCGCTTCTCGCCTGCCCCGCTGGCAGCCGCTGCAGCAGCCATGGCGGCGAAGCCACGTTTCTACGGCTTGCTGGGCGATCCACACGCGAGCTAATGATGGAAGGCGCTGTTGTTGAGGGGTGGTTTTGGTCGCGGATAGTGCGCATGGCCACAGTAAGCATTTGTATGCGATGGGAAGGAATGAACGCACATTCATTCATTCATTCATGCGCTGCATGTTGCTGGCGTGTCAGGTTGACAGCGGCGTCACGATGCCCGCCTGTTCTAGCGTTGGAGAGCCTCTGACGCGTGTGCAGTACGGGTGAGAAGGCAGCCAGGCAGATTGATATCCCCTTCTTGTTTTTCACCCCTGCGGCGTCTTTGTTTGCAGCAGCCGCGCTTCCACCTGATGGCTTCGTCGACTCGATCTGGCGATGTCTAGCTCTGAGGTGCACCAGCAGCAGCCCGGCGAGCCGTTCCCCGTGACCCTCTCACGCGGCGGAGCGCCAGCCTTTGCCCTCTCGCCCACCAAACAGTTGGCATTCGGCATCCACCATGGCTCCCTCTCACCCGCCGTAGCGGCCCAGCTGCTGACGCAGCAGAAGGCCGACCCCAATGGGCGGTACTACGACGCTGCCCTCAACCGTTGGGATTCTCTGCTACATCTGGCCGCCGACAGATGCGTCGGAGAGGATGGTGCCGCGATGCTGCGGTGCCTCATTGGCTCGGGCGCCGACATGGACTACACCAGCCGCAGCCCAGGGCGAGCGATGCACATCATTCTCACGAGCAAGAGACCCCTGGACTTCCTGCTGGACCGCCTGGACCACGCTGACCCCGCTCAGCTGTCTGCCCTCCTGCCCATGATCGAGACCTTCCTGAGGCACGGCGCCACATGTTGCTACGGAGGTAGTGGTGCGCTGACATCGGTCTTTACCAGTGACGCCACGCGCGGCGGCACCCAGCGCATCTCGGCAACGGAGTGCCTCGAGGTGGTCAGTCGGCTGACCACTGCCGCAGCAGCAGCACCCACACCACCCAGCCTCTACGGGGCCTCGGCTCTCAACGAGGCGTGTGAGTGCCACTTCCGAGAGGAGGAGGATGGCCAGCAGCAGCAGCAGCAGCAGCAGCAGCAGGGGGATGCGGCGCACGGTGGCCACACGGATGTCCACATTGCCATTCTCGAGAAGATCGTGGAGGGCATGGGGCAGGAGGAGATGGAGGGGGGGAGGGGCAGTGGGGCGCTGAATAGCGCCGTAGCGAGTCAGAATAGGGCCATCATGTATTGGCTGGTGAGGCAGCGGGGGGTGACGGCTGACAGCGAGACACTCTCTGTTGCCCACTGGGATATGGATGTCATGTCATGGCTGGTGGATGAGGCAGGAGCTGACGTAGATGGTGGAGGGGGACTGCCGCCCCTTGTCGCACTTGTGAGGGGAGGCCACCACGCTGCTGCGCATCATCTGATCCATCTGGGGGCATCCGTAGACACAGCACTGACATTCACAACCCCACTGGCACTCATCGACATCAGCACGACACCCAGAGAGAGGCACCGAATTTTGTCGGTGTATCACTCGTATGTCAATCGCTCTGTCCCTACACACGCCATGCGCCACATCAACACATCCCTGAACCCTCTGCGCACTCTCTCTGCCTTGTCGGCTTCTCATCGCGTGTTTCGTGTGGGTGTGCTGTGCTGTCAGATTGCCTCGTACGTAGAGCCTCCTCCCCTCCCCTTCTCAGAGCGCACGCCACTCGGGCGGCGGCTCAATGCGGCGCTGTCTTTTTTCCTCTCTCGTGCATACAATGTGGCCAGCCCCTCTGTGAGGCGGCGTCTGTTTCGCCACACTGCCTTCGTCACCCCACAAGTCACACACACCGGCACATCTGACAGCCAGGGAGGGGAAGGGGACGGGGACGTAGAGGAGGGCGTTGTGTATGGCGTGCGTGACGTGATCCACCTGATCCGGTGTGAGGAGGGTCGGCACTACGAGCTGCCCCACATCGTCAGGGGATTCGGCAATGGGAGGCCATTCGAATGCGAGTTCGACGGCAATGTGGTGGTGGGTGGGGCGGGGGGAGGCCAGCGTGTGGTGCAGAGGATAGATGGGTGGGAGGGGATGAGTGAGAGGGGGCCGCCCGGTGCCGTGTGGGGTGAGGAGTTATCGGATGGCGATGGCTTGGGGGGAGACGAGCTAGATGAGGAGGACGACATCGATGAGGTCAGGAGGGAGGGAGGGAGGGAGGGAGGGGCGGGCACACATGCACACATCGCACACACCCGCGATGATTCAGTCACTTTTCCTGCCTCTTGTTTGTTTGGTATGCGTGCCTGTGACATGTCTGTGTGTGTGCAGGATTTCCTGGATGAGGACGACCTGGAGGACGGCTGGGGCGACGGCCTAGACGAGGTAAGCGGGAAAAGACACACACATACACATTGGAGATGGATGTCATCCACGTGTATCCATTCGTGAGTGTGTGTGTGCGCGTGTGTTTGTGTGAAGGGCTTCATGGACGAGGACGGCATGTACGCTGACTGGGGAGAGCGGAAGCAGCCTGGTGGCGATTGATTGACGGCGACGACAACGACGAGGAGCAGCAACAACAAATGGAGGACAGCCAGTGAGTGGAAGGTGCCAGGAGATGGATGGATGGATGGATGGGGGCATCCATGAGTACACACACGTCTGTCTGTCTGTCTGTCTGTCTGTCTGGCAGGTTTGGTGATGGGATGGATAAGGAGGAGGACAGCAGCAGCAACCTGAATCCGCCCGTCTAATGCTGCTATTACGGGTAAGGCGGCATGCAGACCAGACCATCCCTTCCCTTCTCGCTGCACACTCATCGCTGTGTGTGTGGCGTTCTTTATTTCCGTTCTGCCATGTTCTCATTTTATCTATGTAGATGTGTTCATCGATAGCTGTTATTGAATGGCCGGCCAGCCGGCCATCGGCGCCCCTTCAAGTCCCATGGCCACTCATGAGCCCCCTTGCTGCAGCAGGAGGGAGGCTATTGTGTAGATCATGTGTGTGAATATCTTCAACCGTGTGCGCGCTCGTGTGTGTGTGTGTGTGATGTCTGTTTGTCTGGTTGATTGGTTGGTGACATGCATTGTGTGACTCGTTCAACCAGATAGTCTTGTGGCCGGGGAAATGTCCTCCTTCATTTAACACCCACACGCCGACACGACAAGGCAAGGTCTGGGCGAGGAGCTGAGCTCAAAAGATAGCGATCTGCCGGAGAAGGCAGTACCGCTGCAAAAGGCCACCAGCCGCTGCAGAAAGACATCTCGCCACTCAAAAAGACAGTTTCCATTGCAGAAAGCCAGATGGTCAATCATCAAAACAGCTTTCTGTACAGAAGGTTTTCACGCACCCTTGACATTTGCGAGCTCAACTTGTGCCGATCTTTTCCTCGAGCACTGCTGATCCATGATTCTCCCATGCGCCTGACGTTCACGTTCGTCGCCGCTCTCTCCCTGGCAGCAGCAGCAGCGGCAGTGTCGTCGTCGGCGTTCCCAAGGGCGTTCCTCACCCCAGTCGCCCAGAGAGTCGGCATCGCCGGCAAGCCGAATGGCCTTCGGATACGGCACCGCCCTCTCCAAGCCGTCACGCCCCGATTCAAGCTTGAACGCGGCGTCGAGGCGTTCAATGATATCGGCGCCATACTTGTAAGGGGGCAGAGATGGCCAGCGTAGTCTCTCTCAGTGTGTTTGTATGTGTGCGCGTTCGTGTGTGTGTGTGCGTGTGTGCACAGAGGCGCTTCTTGGGCAAGGCCGGCCCGTCTCCGACCGACGAGGAGGTTCTGCAGTGGTTGACCGACAGTGAGGCCATCCTGGTCCAAATCCTGCAGGGCAAGAGGTAAGTGGTGTACGTCTGTGTATTGTGTGTGTATGCGCGCGCATTTGTGTTGTGCCTCGCTGTTGCTGCAGACCGCCTGGCTCAGACAAGGACTTCGAGGTGTTCAAAGCGTGGGTGTCTGCCTTCTGTGAGCAACTAACTCTGATCGATCTGCACACACCAAGAGAGGCCAGCCGGATGGACTCAGCCACTGTCTGTCTGTCTGTCTGTCTGTCTGTCTGGCTCTCTGTGTGTCTGGTTTAGATTTCAACTGTGTAGCGCAGTGTCTAGAGAGAGGTAACAAACAAACAGACAGACTTTCAGACAGACAGGGCAATGGAGACCGTCATGGACAGACAGACACAGCCCTCGTGTGTGTGTGTTCAGGTTTGGATTTCTCTTTTAGACCGGAGGTCTTCGAGTATTCATATCACGTCGCGTCAGCGGCGATGATCGACAACGGCTTCGAGCCGTCTGTTGAAGTCCGAAGCAGACTGACGCTCAGGTGACTGTCTGTCTGTCTGTCTGTCGGCGTGTCTGCTTGGCTGTGTGTGGGAGGGGCGCTGTAGGTACCTGTGACTTTCTCAGTCTCTCTCGGTGTAGCTAGCTTGTTCCGGGCAGCGAGGCTGGAGAATGTATGTGTGACGCTATAGATGGACATTCGTGTCATGAGCCCCCTCGCTGCAGCAGGCGAGCGAGGCCATTGTGTAGATCACGTGTATGTGTCAATATCTTCAATCGTCTGTGTGGGTGTGGTGTCGGTTTGTCTGGTTGATTGGTTGGTGACATGCATTGTGTGACTCGTTCAACCAGATAGTCTTGTGGCCGGGGAAATGTCCTCCTTCATTTAACACCCACACGCCGAATGAACGGCATACACACACCTGAACACACACTCACACACATACTACCTATCACGTGCAGCGTGTGGCATCTCTCCATCCATCCATCGATCCATCTACTGCACTTGCCAAACTTCGCACAAATGCAGCCTGAGATGCAACGGTCATGAAATGCATTCACTGTGTGTGACTGGCGGCCCCCCTTGTCCGTCGAAAAACCAGTCGCGGCACCACAACCTACTCACTGCCTTCATAGCCTGTCTGCCCACACACAACGTACTCCAAGTGCATGGGGTGTGTGGGGCCACTCTTTCCGTCAGCAGAAGGGCAAAACTGTGACGACCGAGCCAGCAAGATACACGCAAAGGCAGAACCTTGCACTAATGCACTCACTGACGCGTCCCCCTTCCTTTCACCCCCCCACCATGGTCACTGATAAAGTTAAAAACGAGACAGCCTGACGTCAGGCAGCTAGGCATATGCAATACATACACATGAACGAGCTGATTCAGCCATCACCCACAGGCAGCCAGGCCTCTCTTGCGCCTAGCTTCGCTGCGGAGCTCAGGCCACTCCGAGCGTATCTCTTTCGTCATGCCCGCCTCCCACTCCTTGTGCAGGTGGCGAGAAACACACCGGGGGAAACGCAGGCCGAAATGGGCCAGAATGGCCTCCGGCAGCGACACGGTGTCATCCAGAGAGAGACGCGACGTCGTGCACACCCCCTCTAGAGATGCCAGCGACATGTGCTCACGCAGACCACGAGGGAAGAGGCAGCCAAACACGCGACACAGCTCGGCACTCTTACAGGACCGACTGTCAGAATCGAGGTCGACCTGCACAGCTACGAAGCCACGCAACACCATCCTGCCTTTGACTGCCTGAAGGTCGCTTCCTAGCCGATCGACTGTGCCAGAGAAGCAGAAGCAGAGTGTTGAGCGGCGGAGAGCGATGGAGTCGAGAAAAGGGCACTTGTCGATGGCCTCCAGACACACCGGCAAGATGCCTGACACTCCAAGGCTCGCGCCGTGTACCTCTACAGTGATCTTCTGGACTCGCTTCTCGATGCCTTTCTGACCCACTGCCCCGCCCCCGGCCCCCCACAGCGACCACACACAGTCGAAGCTCACAGCGGTGTGCCGGCAGTCGGCATGCACGTGCAGCAGGGGACCTGTCTGGCTGCACGCACCGAGGCACAGAGGGAACAAAAACGGCACAGTCGCCACCCATATCCCAAGTAGTCCACTCATCTCAAAGCGCACCTCCCGCAGCGACCTGAGGTCGGTGGCCCGCCTGACTGCGTCCTCTCTCACCCCATCTGCATGCCCCAGACTGAGTGTGGTCACATGAGGAAAGGAGCGATCGGATATGTGCGACAAAAGCGCCGCAGGGGGCGGCTCGGAGCCAGCCCCCAGGTACAGGGTCTCAGCACTCGAAAAGACTACCTGAGGCAGCCGATACAGCACAACAGTCGGCACCGCCTCCCCCTGAGCCAGTCCAGAAGGAAACTCGACACACTGAGCTGCAGAGGCGAATCGTGTGAGCATGCCAGCCCACGATGGGTGCTCCTGCAGCAGCTCCAGGTGCTCGATCGTGTTGAAGGTCATGTCCGGTGTGCACGTGATGTTGAAGGTGCCGTTGGGCGCCAGACTGGTCGACAGAAGTTTGTCGATCTTGTGGAAAACCTGACGGGTGGCAGACATACACACACACAGACGCGGAGGACGTCAGGCGGGGTCTTGGTCTTCTCTTTGCCTTGCGCTATCTCATCTCATGTAACACACACACCTGGCGCGTTCTTGTGGGATGGACGGCTTTGAGGACCATGTGGAGCTCGTCCAGCTGCAGCCCACAATCGGCGATGTTCCAGTCCATGCAGAATGTTGGCAGCTCGTCGGCACCACACGGACAACATACGCCCTTGAGCCGCCTGCGCAGCCAACACAGAGTACATCCACATCCACATCGACCCTCACGCACACGCGCACACACGCATGTTCGTTGCCCCCTTCCTCACTTGATGGATGGCTTCAACATGTCCCAGAGGTTGGTCAGCTCCCACCCCTCTGAAGTGCCCGTCTCGAGCGTCAGGGTATGCGGCCCTTCGCCTGAGAGCCACTCGGTGCACCTCCAGCCATGGTCGCCGGAACACGTTCCGTACTCAATCTCGGAGATCTGCGCCATGGGATAACAAACGGTGCTATCGCGAAGATGCACGTCAATCAGGGCCCTGACATGATGCACGTGAGCACATCCATCCCTGACATCCGACTGACCAATCCCTCACTGAGGCACTCACTCAGCCACTTACGGAAGCTCCCAGTGCCGTTTGTTGGCGACGGACAGCCACCACTCGGCGACCCACACGCACCGCAGCCGGGGGAAGATGCGCTCGTCACGTCCCATAGCATGTTGCCGTCGCCCCTTCAGCGGGCCGTACCCATACAGGCTCCCAGTGGTGTGCGACCAGGCGTGCAGCTCCTCCAGTGTGCCGCGGGCATCCTCGAGCAGCTCCACCACGCTCGTCGTGGGGGCACACACCATCGTCGCGTGTTTGGTGTTGCGGAATGCTGCACCCCACACGGCGATCTGCTGCTTGGTCATGTCGATCTTGTCGCTGAAGTCCTTGCCGAGGCGCAGCGTAATGTGCATGGCGGGCTTGCGGGAGATGACACTGAGGGACGGGGCAGTGAGCGCCAGCTTGGTGATAATGGTCTGTGTGCCGAGAAGGGGGCTAATGTGGCCACTGAAGCATGACTCGGGGAGCGTCGTCAGCAAATGACACACCTGACACACACGAAGAACAGGATCACCATGGCATGTGATTGATATTTATGTTGCCTTGCCCGCCCCTCTTCAAGTGAGTGAAGGTCTGTGGTGTGGTGTGCTTACCGGTGCCGCATTGCTGTTGGCTTCTTGGGTAGAAGATGCCATCTCGTAGGAGCTATCTGTCACTATCGGCGCCGCACAGTGACCACTGACACGCTGCGCTGAACAGCACCGGCAACCATGGTCGGCCGGTGTGGATCTGCATGATCGGAAAGCATTATACGCAGCCGCGTTGCCTTGTGGCGCGTTCAGAGGGCTGCATCGCACACATGAGAGAAGACGACTATGTGTATCCATGCACCAGTCGTGAACTCGCTCACCTCTGTCGGTCCTCACCGATGGCGATGTGCTCTAAGCCGCACGAACCGCCAAGACGAGATCTGCGGGCAGCAAGGCAGACAGACAGGCAACGGCAGACAGACAGATGGGGCACACGTCCGTGTGTGAAAACACATCAGTGGTGAGGGTGTCGGCACTTGCGTGCATCAGCCACACACGTGCATCAGCCGCATCCATTCCACCAATCAATCAATCGCGCAGCGGCCTGCCTGCTGCCAGCCTGTCTGTCTGTGTGTGTGTCTGCCACGTGTGCACTGATATCTGCTTACGTCACGTGGTGCAGAGAGTCAATGTCAGTCAGCGTGCGGCCGGGCACCACTCGTCTGCGCCACAGCTCTGGGCACCGCCGCGCGTCCGAAAGCCCCAGTGCACGAGGTTGAGCTCGCAGCTCGTGGCGAAACCGCTGCTGGCGGCCAAACTCCTCGTCGTGCTGGCAAGACGAAATCGAGATCCCGTGATGTGTGTGCATTCCCTCGTGTGCACAGATTGATGGACTCTTCGGGCGACGAACTCAATGCATTCGGGTCAGTCCAGCCATCGACGTGGACACACGCGTAGATGTACAATGTCAGATGAAGCATTTGGCTGCAGTCTCTCCTTCCCCCCTCCCGCCTCCATCTATGCGTCACGCTTGCCAGCCCGCCGTCACCCTCCCTCACTCACGCCAGCTTGTATGCCTCGAACTCATCAATATCAAAGTGAAACCCCTTCACAGACACAGGCAGGAACACTCGGTCACCGTCCCAGCCGTGGTCGCTGGGCCTCACACCCGGCCGCTCCCACTGTCGCCACTCATCCGTCTGCTCCTCCTCAACCATGACTCCCTGGCACCGCTTGAGTGTCTCATCGCTGGCCGCTGCTGGTGCGCCGATCTGGATCTGCTGGGCGGCCAGACGGACACTGAAATCGAGGCATCCGGATCCGAGGACGGCCGTCACATCGGAGGCGGGTGAAGTGAAATCGATGACCTCGGTGGCTCTCTCCTACACACATGGATGGAGAGGATACCATCACCATGACTCCCTGGCTCATTCAGATGGGCACCCACCTGTGTGCCCGCAATTAACATGTTGCTGTTCCAGCCGATGTAGCCCACATGTGGTTGGCTGTCTGTCCACCGCAGCTTGAAGGCCCATGATCTCGTGTCGCGGTGGCTCTGCGCCGGTCCGGTGACCTCGATGGGCCCCTCGATGAGGACGGCGAAGAGCTCATTGCTGTCGGCCACCTTGCAGATGAGCAGCAGGGGGGAGTGGCCCCTGACGGCATCGAAGAAATCCAACCACCTCCAGCCATCCACAGTCGCCCTGCCACGACACACACACACACATCAAGACACAGAGGCATGATGAGAGGATGCCGTCATCCTCACGGCTGTCTGTCCTTCCCTTCTCACCTGTATATGCGGGTGACCGGCTCGCCCACACACAAAGGGATGTGTGCGGGGGCGTCAGGGTAGTTCCAGCCCTCACACCACTGCCGCATCTTGTGCAGGTGCTCGGTGGTCAGGAGGCCGTCAATGGGACCCAAATAGCGATCAGCAGCCAAAGCGTACCTGCAGCCAGGCGAGGAGGCCTCGTGATGCACGGCAGTCTCTCTGTTTGTGGCGTTGCTCACATGTTCAGCGCATTCCGGAAGGCCTTGTCATTGGTGTCGCCCCGGGAGCTCTGCACGTCCTCGGCCGTGATGTCCGTGCCCCTGACGTACGCCCGCGTGACGATGTCGGCGACGCGCCGCACGTAGTCCACCGGCACCGTCATCACAGAGGGGTCGTACTTGACACACACACGTGGCAGGGATGGCTGTGTGTGGTCTGGCCATTGGGTTGTCATTGTGTACTTGATGAATCTGTTTGCCAAGGTTGAGTCCTCGCCGAGCGATTTGGCCACGGCCATGGTGATGGTCACTGTCGTACCAAACACGTCAATCGACACCAACTGAACACACACCACAGACACACGGAGTCGCCCATCCATCGGCAAACGAGCTTTCTCTCTCTCCCGTCCGTCGTGGTTGATTTACCGCATCGTCCTCGTTATTGCCCGATTTGAGTAGTGGCTTGATGGCGGTGAGCCTCTGGTGCTCGCAGGCCTTCTCCGCCATCGCCTTGCGGATGATCTCGGGCAGCTGGGCCGCCACAGATACTGGATCGACCTCTGGCTGCTCATTCTCACCCTCGGGCTGCCCGTCCTGCTGCTGGGGCGGGTTGTCCTGTGTGACGGGCGGGATGTTGATGCGCATGGTGCTGTCTCCTTTGGAGGGATTGGCCGTCAGGTACTCCACCCAGTAGCTGCACCCACACCACACACACACACACAGATGGATGGAGACCACAGTGCGGCAATGCCATTCGTCTCCTCCCCATTGTGTCGATGTGTACGCACCTGAATGTGGCGTCATTCTTTTTGGTGTCGGGCAGCGTGATGTCGTCCACATCCCCAACCTCATACAAGGCCAACTCGCCGATGAGCCTGAAGGAAACCCACACAGACGGTGGACAGTGGCCCTGTCCTGACTGACTGCGGCCGGGCTGACCACTGGAAGGCCACAGAACAAAACGGCAGGAAATAGCGCTCGTTAGCATCCTTGATCAGCGCCTCGTCAAACCGCCCCCCACACAGAGTGGCCAACACGCTACCTTTCAGCACACAAAGAGTCGAACGGCGCGCCTTCATGTAGACGCCGCAGACGTTGAAGTGCAGCTCCTGACGCATCAGCTGCACCTGCACCATCCACACACACAGATCAGCTCCCATTGCAGACATCCCTCATCCATTTGGCGCCTTACCGTGGGCACAATCTCTCCTGCGCGGCCTCCCAGGGCCTGCTCACGCTGCTCGATGTCGGCCAGCGTCTGGTTGAGTGCGTCCTGGATGATCTCCATCTGCTCCTTGCCCATCTGCAGCCAGGTGCGGACGTCGTTGTCCTCATCTAATGCCGACGGGCGCCAGGTCCTCCCGCCACCACCACCTGCTGCTGCTGCCGCGACCGCACCGGTACCCGGCATCTTGCAAGTGACCCAGGGCAGCACTGAGATCTGCAGATGCCGATAAACCAGCACCTCTGATGAAGTTGTGAGGATCAACCAACCGGGGATCACCTCAATGATCCTCACGCAGAAGCAGCAGCGGTTTCATAAAGCACCCTGGAAGCTTTTGCGAGCTTCCAAACTCGCAAAAGGAGTTGTTTGTTCGAGAGAGGGAGAGCAAAAGAAATGCGGGCCACCTTGCGGTGGATGATCAAAAAGAAGCGCAGACGTCGCGCCCGTGTGAGGGCCATAGACGACGCCGACGCGCCGCCGTCGTCCCGCCATCCGGCATTTTCTTGCTTAGATGGGGACTGGTATATGTGCGGCATGCCGTCGCGGTAAGTGAGTTCGCACATCCACCCCCCTGCCGCACACGCATGCACTCAGAAAGGGCCTCCAGGAAGGCAAGACAGAGTTGAAAGACCTCTGCACAGAGCTCACTGTGTGACCCGCAATGGATGCCCCGACTCACTGTGTGTGTGCGGTATGCGTGTTGTGTGGTCAGGTATGCGGCAGCGCCTCCCTCCCCCGGTGATGTTGAGCAGATGCTGCAGGGCCACAGCCCACCCAGACCGCACGAGGAACCACCAGCACCTCTCGACACTGAGGACCAGGTGGGTACCCACACACATACGCATCCGTCACGTATGCGGCAGGCATTCCCCTTGTGATGATGGTGTGTGTGTCTATGTGTGTGTTCGGTTAGGACCCCGCCGGCGCGTTCCTCGACGACTCGCTGGGTCTCCCTGGCCCCCATGCGGCTGGCAGTGAGATGTCCGGTGGTCGCATCGGTGTCGACAGAGCGGTGGAGGACCAGATGCGGCACGACATCGACCTGTCTAGTGCCGGCAACCAGTCACCCGACCCAGGAGGTGAGGCCGGACACAGCACCACTCACTCACACAGAGGACACAGACACTCGCGCATCTTTACCAGTTGATATCATCGGTTTGTCGTCCGTGTCGCCCCCTCCTCCCGCCCCCCGGCACCTGCCCCCAGCGGCTGACCGTCTGGACGAGATCGGTCACGATGCGGCGGTACACGACGCCACGGCTATGGCGGAAGCGATGGAGACACTCAAGAAGGGATACGAGATGCTCAAAGAAAAGTTAGCGAGATAATATAGGGCTGCGGGATACGTATTGACGTCCGTGTGTGTCCCCTGTGTGTGTGTGTATCTTGAAATATCGTCAGGTATGTGAAGGGTGAAAGGCTGCGAAAGCAGTATGAGAAGGACATCAAGGTCCTAAAGGACCCCAAGGCCTGGCTGAGGGTGGGTGACGAGCCGCACCTGGCTGACGAGTACGGCCAGCCCTTCTCACCCTCGCCACAGTCCGAGGCCCCCTCCCACTATCGCAGAGGGCCCCCAGAGCAGGCAGGCCCAATCAAGGAAGGAGGCACCCTCTTCTCACCCCCAGAGGCGGCCGCAGCGACGGAGAGGAGCGTCGGGCGGGGCGCTGGCCTCACACCAGCCGAGGCGGACGCCATGTCGGCAGGGGGGGGGCAGGGGCTGCCCTCCTCGTCCAGGCAGTCCCCTGCTGTTGCTGAAGACCCCTCGGCGCCCCAGCTAGATGAGCATGTCCGTCATCGTGAGCACGGCCGTGGCATCCGTGTCAGCGGCGAGGGCCACGCCACCGGCATTGATATGGGAGCCGGCATGCGGCATCCCTTGACGCGCGACTCCCAGGACCATTGCACGAGGGACAGAATGCGGCAACGGGGTGGGCAGGGAGACGGCGATGGTGCGCGGCAGCCGATGGATGTCGATGAGGAACGGGAGCAGGGCCGTGGGGGTGAGGGTGCTGGGAGGGATGTCGACATGCGGCCTCGGAACAACGCCTTCATGAGGGAGCCCATGCACAAACCATCACCGGTAGGCAACCGACCGAGAGCACACTAGGCACACCAACAGCACACACCTTCACTCACTCTCTGCACGCTCCCATGTATTTGTGTCGTCAGCTATTCCGCCGTGGCGACCCTCAGCCACACCCTGCTGCAGCTGCACCATCCAGTGAGGTCCCGAGGGACGACCACAGCCCTCCCCGCCCCCACACGACCCACCCTGCTGACCGCACCAGCTCACCAGAGGGCAAATCGCGTGACTCGAGTGACCTGGGCATCGGTCGTCTGGACGGGGGCAAGCTCAAGCGGCGTCCCACTGGCGGGGACCGCTCCCACCGGCCGCCCAGCCCGGAGGACCAGGGAGATGAGCATGAGGAGACGGAAAGGGGCGCTGCTCCACGTAAGCCAATGGCGAGAGATCAGGCAGACGACGTGGTTGCAATGTTCATCCCTCTCTGTGTGTGTGTGTGTGTTCTGTGTGTGCAGGTCGTATCGCCCCCACGTTTGTGCGGAGCCTGGAGGACCGCGACCAGCAGCGGGATCGCCACACCAGCCGCGGCCGCCACCGAGACCGTGACCATGACGGTGGCGGTGAGGGCGGTGCCCGCGACCGCGACCGGGCGCAGGAGGAAGAGGACGATGACCGACCCAAATCACACCCCTGCTCACAAGATACGGTACGTGACAACGCTGGCAAACTGAAAGCACCAACACCGGCGACCGATCCATCGTGTCGCATGGGTTTGTGGTCTCTCAGTTGGCTCGTATGGAGCGCATCAAGTTGTTGTCGAAGCATGCTGGCAAGTATGACAACGAGGGCCTCGGCGCGCCGATCGAGCGGCGCCGCCCCGAGATGAAGGTCGACCCCGAACTCAAGTTCATGGGCGGCGATGAAGTCACCGAGGAGGAGGTCAGACAGGCCAACAGAGAGGCAGACGAGGAGGCGCGGCAACGGGAGCTCAGCCAGTACATCGACCGGGAACTCGCGAGACGACTCCGGGAGGAGGCACCCTCGCCGCCACCGGTGCAGCATGAAGAGGATGATGACGGCTGGGGGAACTTCGGGGCCGACGACGAGGATGGGCCAGCTGGGGCGCCGCAGGAGCAGCACCACCACCAACAGGGAGAGCTGCTGCCGTTGCCGCCTTCCCTCGTGGGGTCGCCCCGCTCGCGGCCCAGCCGGCTCAGACCACCGGGTTGGGGATTGCTGCACGTGGTCGGGCTCCGTCGAGGGCTCCCTCGGCCCCTGTCGCCCGAGAGGGACTACCCGCTGAGCCCAATGCCGAGGGGGTGGACGTCGTCCCCGTCGACGCCACTGTCGACACCCCCACTGACCCCCCACTGGTCGCGTCTGCCCACCCCTAAGACGCCTCGCCATCGGGTTCGCCCACACTGGGCACTCCTACTCAGCCCCCTCACACGCCCGTCGAGTACCAGCACCAGCAGAAGCAGCAGCAGCAGCAGCATACACAATAATGGCCAGGGATGGATGGAGGGAGTCGCACCCACGCCGCCACTGATGCATCATGAGGATGTTGATGACGGCTGGGGCGACTTCTGGGGCGAGGACGAGTCCCTCGGTGGCAAGGTGGAGCAGCAGTCGTCCCTCGAGAGGCTCACGTCGCCCGCCAGCCGTCCATCATCACCCCGTGCCCTGGCTCCCCCCGAGCCACTCGCACCACCGTCCCCTCTTGCAGCACATGAGCGAGAGCACGAGGCCGCGCATCCAGAGGGAGAAGGAGAGGGAGAGAGGAGCCCCTCCATGGCCATGGGCCGGCCATCTTCCCCTCCCCCACTGTCACGTCCATCTCTGGAAGAGCTGCCGTCACCCAGGCTCACACTAGAGAGCCACAGAAGGGGCGGCGTTGTCCCACCAGCCCCCCTCCGTGACGCGCAGCAGAGGAGGTCTCTTCCGGACGAGCCTCAGGCGCCTCCCTTAACATCACGGCGAGCCATCCGTCCACCCCGTGCTTCGTTCCAATCTTTCCTGCAGCTGCAGCGAGAGCGAAGTAATGATGCGCCTCGTGTGCAGCTGCCCGGGCCTGCCGAGGGAGAGGGAAGGCTTGTTGGACGGGCTCCCTCTCCAGCTGCCCCGCCTGCTGCTGTTGATCCTGGTGCTGCTGGTGCTGCTGTGTCGTGTGTGGACTCGGGTGGGGACTCCGGGACGGAATTGGACTGGTCAGGTACGTGTGGGTGGTGACTGCTCGAGGAGCAAATACGCACTGGTGTTGATTAATTTATGGTACCTTGTGTTGTGCAGTGTCGAGGATGAGTGCATCCCCCTGCCGACATAGCCCCACAGAGGCCATGGTGGCGCCGCTGGCAGCAGGGAGCAGTGAGAATGCAGACGCTCTTCATGTGGGCGGCCTGGCAGAGGAGAAGGACAAAGGAGACACGGGGCTGGACAGCGGGGACAGCGGCGCTGACGCACCAACAGAGGGACAAGCTGATGAGGAGGAGGACATCGAGGCGATACTGAAGCAACAGCAGGTAAACAAGGGAAGAGTGGCTCTTGGCTTGGCTGTGGGTGTACTTGTGGTCTCTCTGTGTCAGCTGATGGCTCACGAGCTGCGCACCATTGCGGCCGAGACCATACAGCGCTACTTCCGACACGCCAAGTACCGCCGGCGCAACGCATCCCTCCTCACACTCGCCAGATCCTTTATGGCCCACCACCCCTTCACGCAACCGCCATACGCCATGATCCAGAGGCCCCCAGCAGCCGTCAAGGCGCCCCCCCGTCCGCTAAGGCACCCTGGCAGGAAGACCCTACCCGATGTTGTGCAGGAGGCCAGCACACCTCCGCGGCTGCCGAGAGGGGCTCTGAGAGAGGACGGGAGGGAGGGCGAGGGCAGCGAAGAGGAGCAGTCGCCTCCTCCTTCCATCAGGCGGCCGCCGGTGCCGGTGCCGCTGATCGAGAAGCCCTCTAGTGATGGTCCCTGCCATCGCTCGATGACCCCACGGCCCACAGGAGTCAGTGTGTGCGAGGGGCAGAGGGGGGAGAAGCGAGGGCTGGCAGCCAACTCCGTGTCGCCGCGGGATGAGGTCTCCGTCGGTAAGCCGTGTGTGAAGATATGGAGATGCAAGCGAATCTCACGGCCCTTTCGATCGATGTCGTGTCTGTCATTCATTTAGGCGAGCAGCCGTCTCCTTCTAAGGGCGCTCTGCTTGATGAGCAAGATACCCACCCTTCCCCCAAGGAGCCCACCGACCATGACCTACTCCCACAGCCGCCACGTCCAAGTGACTCACCTGTGTCCGGCCTCCCTGTATCTGCGCGATGATGGGCTGGGACCTCCTATGGATCTCGACAGGCTCAGATGCTCCATACACTACAGTGGTGAGGGAGGGAGGGTCGCACTCACGCCACTCGGACATACACGTGTGTGTGTGTGTGTGTGCAGATGACCGTCTCCGTGGCCGTGCCCTCCGGAGGGAGAGGGATCGGCTCCAGATGGCCTTTGATAGGGAGCACGCCATCAGGACGAAGGCTCAGGTGGGTGGGAGGTCAGACACACAAGCGGGGACAACGCACACACACAGACAGGAGCAAAGCGTGTCGTCGGCTGCGCTGTGTGCAGGATGCGCTGGCCAGCATATGGCACCAGCAGCGGGGCTTCCGAAATGCCCTCAGCGAGCTCGAAGACAAGAACCAAGCCAACCTACAGGTACGTCCGTATCCATTTAATCTGTGTGCATGGCAGCACCTTGTGAGTTGTGCTTCACCCGTCTCATCCACCTTTCCTCGATCCTTTCAGACCAAGGCCGTCCTGCTGTCGGCCCTCAAGGCCGACCGCCGTCACGTGAGGGAGCTGGAGGAGGCCCTAAAGGCCAAGACTCGCGAGGTGGAGCAGCTGCAGTCGTCCCTCGAGAGGCTCACGTCGCCCCACGCCCGTCCGTCGTCATCCCGACCCCTGCCTGCCCTCAAGCCACTCGCACCACCGTCCCCTCTTGCAGCACATGGTCAAGGACAGAGGAGCCCCTCCATCGAATTGGGCCGGCCGTTCTCCCCTCCCCCACTGTCACGTCCATCTGTGGAAGAGCTGCCGTCACCCAGGCTCACACTGGAGACCCACAGAAGGGGCGGCGTTGTCCCACCAGCTCCGTTTCCAGACGCGCAGCAGAGGAGGTCTCTTCCGGACGAGCCTCAGGCGCCTCCCTTAACGTCACGGCGAGCTATCCGTCCACCCCGTGCTTCGTTCCAATCTTTCCTGCAGCTGCAGCGAGAGCGAAGTAATGACACCCGTCGTGTGCAGCTGCCTGGGCCACCCGGGCGGTGCAACATCAAGCCCGGCCCCCATGCGGCTGGCGGTGACATGTCCGGTGGTCGCATCGGTGTCGGCAGAACGGTGGAGGACCAGATGCGGCACGACATCGACCTGTCGAGTGTCAGCAACCAGTCACCCGACCCAGGAGGTGAGAACGGACACAGCACCACTCACTCAGAGGACACAGACACTCGCGCATCTGTTTGTCGTTTCCTCTTTGTCAGCTCGCGACCGTCGTGCCGGCACAGCGCCGGCGGCCTTTGCGTATCCGCAGATCAACGGCATCGGCGAGGAGCCGCACCTGGCGGACGAGTACGGCCAGCCCTTCTCAGTCCCGCCACAGTCCGAAGCCCCCTCCCACTATCGTACACCAGCCAGAGGGCCGCCAGAGCAGTCAGGCTCACTCAAGGAAGGAGGCACCCTCTTCTCACCCCCAGAGGCGGCCGCAGCGATGGAGAGGAACGTCGGGAGGGGCGTTGACCTCACGCCGGGCGAGGCGGACAGATCGCGTGACTCGAGTGACCTGGGCATCGGTCGTCTTAACGGGGGCAAACTCAAGCGGCGTCCCACTGGCGGGGACTGTGGCCACCGGCCACCCAGCCCGGAGGACCAGGGAGATGAGCATGAGGAGACGGAAAGGGGCGCTGCTCCACGTCAAGCCAATGGCGACAGATCAGGGAGACGACGTGGTTGCAATGTTCCGCCCCGTGTGTGTTGGTCAATGTCTGTGTCTGTGTGTGCAGGTCGTACTGCCCCTTCGTTTGTGGAGAGCCTGGAGGACCGCCACTGCGACCAGCAGCGGGATCGCCACACCAGCCGCGGCCGCCAGCGAGACGGTGACCATGATGCTGCCGGTGAGGGCGGTGCCCGCGGCCGTGACCATGAGCAGGAGGACGGTGACCGACCCAAATCACGCCCCTGCTCACAAGACACGGTACGTGACAACGCTGAAAGCACTAACACGGGCGACCGATGGCCATCGTGTCGCATGGGTTTGTGGTCTCTCAGTTGGCTCGTATGAAGCGCATTAAGTTGTTGTCTAAGCGTGTTGGCATGTATGACGACGAGGATCTCGGCCCGCCGATGGAGCGGCGCCGCCCCGAGATGAAGGTCGACCCCGAGCTCAAGTTCATGGGCGGCGAGGAAGTCACGGAGGAGGAGGTCAGACGGGCGGGCAGATCGCGTGACTCGAGTGACCTGGGCAAACTCAAGCGGCGTCCCACTGGCGGGGACCGCTCCCACCGGCCGCCCAGCCCGCCCCTATCGATTTTCGGCCGTCGATACGGTGTGCATAAGATGATTCATGATGATGTGTGGATACCTGTGTGTGCAATGTGCATTCGTAGGGGTGGGCAGGTGGGAGGGAACTGCGCGACCATAGACAGACAGACGCATGGCAGCCAGACTGGACGCATTACGAGTCCGTTCTTGAGGTGTCCGCACGCCTGCCACCCGTCACGCATCACACACACTTACACACATACATTCGTTACACCAGCCGCAACACAGGTCAGCAGTCAACATGCATGGGCCGCGACAGAACTACACGTCGCTGTGTCCACACATGACAGAAAAGGCCTCATGGTGTCCGTTGTAGCTGTCGGTCCCTCGCATATCGTCGATGCATCCACCCGCCTCATGAATGCACCGAAAACGACTGCACCCTGGCGTCAACCCCCTCATCTTCGTCGCTCACATTTGACACATCTGCCGTCACAATCCTTTCCAGATGAGCATCGGGCCTTTCCACGACAGCACCGTCTTCACGACCATTCATCTGAATTTGGAGCTAAAGACAACAAGAAGCGACAGCACTCTCGCGTAGACGTGCATCTGTTTTGTATACTTACATTCGGTGGTTCGGCGTGTCTCATCTTCTGTTTGGCCCTCTGGTACGTCCAGTACAGCTCTCGCCAGCCCCCCACATGGTCGTGGGCCTCCAGGCTGCCACTGCTGGAGTGGTATGTCATCAGATTGGCCACAGAAAGGCTCCTGATGTGCTGTTTCGTCCTGGCCCTGCGGCGAATCGATTCCTCGTAGTCATGCTGGCGCGTGACCAGCTCGTCCACGACCAATAGCAGCTTCGACTGAGGTGGGTGAGGGAGGGGAGACGTACGGCCATGTGGACAGGCAGAGAAGAGAGTTATCAGGCGTGTCTCTGACCTGTAGGTCATGCAGCGTCATGCCGCTCCTTGCCCAGTCGGCAGCGACGCTTGAGAAATGGTAAATAGGCACATATTTCCTTATGTGTATTCGGTGTCTTTGTCTGTGTGTGCGTGTGTACATATGGACGACCGTTCACCTTCCGCAGGCGATGAAAGACTCCTCAGATGCCGTGAGGCCCCTTGACCAGAAAGAGTGCATGTCCACCCTCCTGGCCTGCTCGGTCATCTGACTGAGGACTTGGCTGGGCAGGCTCTCGACAACAGAAAACTCTCGACTGCCATCTGCACGCACAAATGCATCAGGAAACGCGATCCGACGAGCCGGTGGCGGACCTTCGGGTGGCCGGTGTCGAGGCGCGATTGACTCCTTCTTGAGCTGTGCAGAAATGGCCCAAACAGTGCGAATTCTTGATTTCCCAGTAGTGTTGCTGTCATGTCACCTTTTTCTCCGCAGATGACGAGTGGAGGACAAAGCAATACGACCACAGAAAGTCCAGAAAATCTGGGGGCACCTGACAAGAAGAAGAGAACAGACAGATACATACAGGAGACACACACGATCGAGATACATACTAAGGTTGTGTACGTAGCCGTCTTACATCTTTGATCTTCAGGAGCTCAATCGCCTCTTCCATAGCCGCACTCAGCATTTGCGACACCAGCACACCTTTCCTCACCAACCGTCGCTCGCTGCTGCTGCCGAGCCACAGAGACCTTACGAAACCGACAATCCGACAGCAACGGCCCCCGTGACGCCTCTTGCTGTTGCTGTGAAACTCGTTCGATGACGGGGAGCTTGACGGGACGGTGTCCCGCCTTTCTTCGACCCACATGAGCCTGCCTGTGTCCCAGTCAAGCCAGACCTTCCCGAACATCATCCGCCGTCTCTCGTCTCGCTGAGCGTGCCAGGCGAGGAGACTTGATAGCCACGTGACGGCCGGCATGGTGAGGACTGTGGATTGCGGCATAGAGAGCCAAGAGGCAGCTGTCACGCCTGATTTAGAAAGAGACAAGAAGGGCGGCGAAAGACCATGCGAAATCACGGTCTAGAAGGCCATATCTCACCGAACTTAGTCCCGATTGTCGTGAGGCGTGTCGAGAGCTCGTCCTTCTTCTCAGCGACTTGCGATAGCCCATGATAGCAAATTAGCGACAAGAGGCAGAAGTAGTGGTAGAGGTTGAGGAGCATCGCCAGCAACAGCAGCAAAGCGCTAGCCCAGTCAGGAGCATGGCTCTCGACGATCACTGACAGCAGCATGATCGATGTGAGCCAGACGACGAGACCCTGCGACTCTATGCGATTCAACATGTCCATGTGTCGATGGTCGAACGGCAATACGAGCAGATGCATGGTCAGACAGAATATCGCGATGATGCTCCACCCAACAAGCTGGAGGCCCGGCTCACCCACGGCCATATGGGAGACCAGAAGCACCATGACGCGCCTGCATACGACACACAAGAAGAAATAATGAAAATGAAGACTATCTATCCATTAATGGGAAACCTCAGAGCAAAGACGGCGTCCTGCGTAGCACACAGAAGGGAAGAGGAAATAAAAAGTAGGCCGTTTGGCTGGGAGGAGTGCAAGAACAAGGGAGGATTCTTACCCAATAGGCATATGCTCTCTTATACCCCTGCAGGGCGGAGGCACACATCAACCGACGTATAGTTGCACTTGTTTTCTCAGAGTTCACACCCGTTGTCCTCTCCTGTCAGCCTTACCTGGTAGAGGAAGCCAAACCTCTACATAAAGGCACAGACGCAGAAGACAGTTGCAGGAAAAGAAAAGCAAAGGCAATCTCTTTCAGCCGGATTGCGTGTCTACCGATCGCTCACCATGCGCATCTTGGGCGAGCGCAGCTGGTCGTGAATGCAGGACAGCAACACCACACCAATTATGACAGGCGAAAAGCTCCATAGAATCAAGCCAGCAATGCCGAGCAGGCGAAAGAACTCGTGCGGCCACTCGCCGCACAACAAATCTGGATTGACATCCGGCCTTGATCTCATTGTGAGCTGGTTGGCGTCGTCAAGATATACATACGGTCGGCATCGCAGCAGCATCAACATATTCCTTGTGACCGTGGGGTGCGTGAAGGTCAGTATGATGATGAGAAGGGCGGCTCTCTCATCCAGAAAGCTCTTCATCCACACTCCCCAGCCCCGACGCAGAACGCGCGGCGCCTCGGACTGCAACTGGCCTTCAGCTTGTCTCTGTGGAGATACATAGAGATTCGGCGGCCGCGTGAAGCCGTATCGACAGCAGCGTCTCAACCAGCCCGAACACCACGTGACGAGTGCGCCGATAATGGGGATGATAATGAGACAAACCTGATTGACACACAATGCAGCCACAATGACTGTCTTTCTGTGTATCCATTTTGGTCCGGACACACCAGTGGGATAGCGATCCACACGGCGTGTCTCCACAGCACGGCGGTTCTCTTCATGTCGGATCGTACAAGCCGGATGATGCAGTCCCACGACGCGTAGGCAAAAGGCAGGCCCCCATCCCACGTAAACCATCGCGAGGAGGTCGACAGCACGACACTAAAGCGGTCGTCATCGTAAGACATCGTCAGGACCAACGACGCCAACACGCTTATCTGTCAGATATTAGAGGGCTGACAGAATCATGATACACAGGCCATGTACCGATGTGAGATGGTTTAAGCCAAGCTTCAGCAACACACTGATGACATCATCTCTTGACTTCGCCCCAGCCCTGGAGACAGAACAATAGCACAAATGGAGAGAGGAGCGGACAGATCACAAGTGTGTGTGGGGAAGTAATTCACCTCTCAGCAAAATATGTGAGGCCAAAGATAGCCGCAAAGGACACGACGATGAGTCCAATCGCAGCCAGAATGTTCAGCCCGAGTTCACAGGGAAGACAGAACTGTTGTGGGCCCTGTCTCGCATATCCGTCCTTGCACACGCCGCACACAAATCCCTGGTGGCCATCCTGCACGAGAGGAAGGCTGTCGTTTTGTTCTTCAGTCCGACGGAGGGGACACTCACCGCACATTTGGTGAGTCCCGTTTCTTCATCCGTTCCCAGGCAGGCCTTCTTGAACGGACAGTGGATGACCACAGGCAAATTTGTCAGCGTGGCGGCATACCTGCAAAGACGCCAATCTGCCTGACTGTCCTGTCCAGTGTGATGTGCAATGGCCTCACGTTGTCGTCTCCATCCCATTGCTGACGTTGTCCCGTGTGACGGTGAGCTGATAGTACTCCCGCTCCATCGGCACCACTGAACTGTTGACAATCGGCTCGTCACACTTGATGCCCTCGATGCACTCTTCGCATATCGGCCTCTGAGAGTCCCTGTGAAAGGAAGTGGTGCACATTCTCTTGCACGCCCATTTGCCTGGGTGCACACTTAGACAGCCGACCTGATGTATCCTTTTCTGCAGTAACATTGTTCCTGCCCAATGCTGCCCTCTTCAGACAGGAAATTTAGGCCACAGGCGAGACACACCGCCGCGCCCTCCTCTGGCAGGCTGCCGTAATTGCCCGACTGGCACGGCTGGCACTGCTCAAAGTTGTTCATTGAATATCCCTCAATGCAGTAGCACGAACCAGCACCCATGTCCGACGCTGCAAGGAATCAAATAAAGGGAGAGCGCTGTGTCTCTGGAGTTTTACTTGCATGTATTCATGTTTGTCCTTACTCGATCCGACGGGGCATGGGTGGCATTGCGTCGTGTTGACCCTGTGGTTGGAGTAGGTACCTGGCGGGCACATTGTGCAGTTGCGGCCCTCACCGGCATATCCAGGGACACATCGACACAATGCCGATCTGTTGACGCTCTCGTCGACCTATGCGCCAAGAGATATGCAGCGCGAGACATGGATCATCTTGGCTGACTCACCTCACCTGAACGTCAGCGATAGTGCGACAGACGCGCGAGCATTGCGATCCCCCCATTTGTTCCACCTCCTCAGCTGCCTTACGACCACAGGTGGACACGTGATCAGCACACAAGGCAAGTACAGCATACTGTCTTGCCGTCTGCTCCGCCTGCTTACGCATTATGTCGGGCCAGTTCGGATCACGAACAAGCGCATGCCCCTTGGAAATGTCACGCTGGCCACGCAGCATCACCAGCTCAGAGCATCCCTACAAAACACAGAAAAAGGATGTCTTGTCACAGAAAGTCTCTCTGCTTCGTCACTGACCCGTATCTGCATGGTTGTGTTGACAAACAATCTCAGGTGTGGGTTGTCTCTCAGGTCGAGGTGTGCTGGCCACGCCCAATCGCCCGCTTCATCGTCCGTCACGGCAAATCTCTCAATCATGTTGTCGCGAAGGTCGATGGCGCGGGCGAGTTTGCTAAGCGGCTCACCGCTCGTATCTACTACTGTGATGTTGTTGGAAGCAAGGGTGAGGATGCCGGTTGATGAAAGGGCTTCAAAGCTCTCTGTCGAAGACACGAAGCCCTGCTTCAGCACGAGTAAGAAAAGAGATAGCCAGCTTATCGTGAGACATTTTGGTGTGTATCTTCTCTTGCGCTTACCACGGAGCCATTCCAGTCGGCGTTTGGCCGGCTGGCCACCCATTCTCGCACTTCTTTCATGTCGAAGTGATGCAGGAGATCGCACGTTAGTGCGCCTGTTAGCTGACATCCAGTGCAGTTGAGATGCGTCAAACTGCATAGGACAACAGACAATCAATGCATTGCATCCGCAAATGTATGTGTCTCGCTCACCTTGGCATAGCTCGAAAGGCCTGTAAAAAGTCTGTGACTTCCACGCCCAGCGGATTGTGTGAAAGGTCGATTTTCCGCATCTGGGGCCAGTCGGGAGGCGGCAACACAGCCAACAACTCATTGGCAACAAACAATGTTGCTGAGGCAAAGCAATAAAATGATCAGAGTGTCAACAACATAGGTGCTTCAGTCCTGCTTGTACACATACTTATGTGAGGATTGTCCGAGCAGTATCCCCGGGCCGTCTCGAACCATTCTGGCCAGGTGTAGAAGTCAAAGCTGTTGTTGCCCAGATAAAGCTCTTTTACACGAAGAAGGCGATTGAAGGACGACGGAACGAAGTGCAGATTGTTGCTGTGCAGGTTGATGTACTCTAGCCTGATTGAGACACACGCACCGAATGCCGAGAGAGTAACACGCGTCCACAAGACACCATGCTATTCTTTTTACGTGTCTAGTACTGATCCGTTGCCTCTGAATCCTTCTATGCGATTGTAGCTCAGGTCGAGCCTTCTTAGTGATGCGAGAGGCTCCAGAGACGGCAGCGTGCCGCCGAGCTCATTGCTGCTCAGCGAGAGTTTCTCCAGATTTGTCCAGTTTTCAAGCGACGCTGGGAGGGCCGTCAAGCTGCATCGAGGAGACACAGTGCTCAGGCAGGGTGTGGACGCCTTGTGTGATGACGATTGTCAGATGGTTACTGGTTGTGGTCGGCGATGAGCTCTTCCAGGCCTTTGCATCCGCCCAACCCGTCAGGCACCGGTCCTTCAAACTACAGAGGCACACACAAAGAGGCACGGCCGCTGTGTGCCCTTGCGAACCGGAGCCATACCCTCGTGTGTTCTTTCATCTGACTCGGTCTCGTGTCGGACCATGTTATGGCTCAAGTGCAGTGTCATCAGTTTCCGAAGCGACCCAAGAGCATCCAGAGTCCCAGATAGATGGTTTCGCTCAAGATTCAGTCCCTGCAATTCCACCAAGCTGGCCCACTGTCCAGGAATGGTGCCGGTGAGATTGTTATCCTTCAGGTTCAGGTGCTCCAGCTTTGTCAGCGAGCCCCACCCTGGCGGAAGGCCGCCGGAGAAGCCTCGGTCCACCTCCCCTTGGCCATGGAGGTCGATGCGACACACGTTTACCGCCTTTGCGAGCGCCACAGGCAGAGGCCCTGACAGCTGTAGGCAACCAGAAACAATCAGCTCGCGATCTTGTGTCTCTTGCCTCATTTGTGTTTCTGGCCTCACCTCATTCCGGTGCAGCTCCAACTCTTCAAGTTGCAGCCACGTGGATCCGAAGTCTTCCGGGAGACTGCCATTCAGTCGATTGTTCTGCAGCCTCAGGTGTTTCAGGTGCGTGAGGTTGTTAAGGAACTCCGGAATGGATCCATGAATGCCGTTGTTTTGCAAATCGAGGGTCTCGAGATTCGTCATGCCTCCCAGACACGCCGGCATGGGGCCAGATAGGCCAACATTCTTGAGCACCAAGGACGTCAAGTTGTAGCTAAGAGTGGTAGGGATGGTCTCAAGAAGCAGGCCGGGCCGCTCGAGTGTCAAATACTTCAACTGCTGCAGCCTGACGATCTGGTCGTCTGTGAAGGATCCACTGAATTCGGTGTCGGTGATTGAAACCAGCTCGAGGGATTCCAGACGGGGGTCCGGCAGTGGTCCTGAGAAGCTTTTTCCCTTTTGCGATGAGCCTGCGAGGTCCAGAGCCTTGAGAGAAGTTAACCTGCTGATCGATGAGGGAATGCTGCCTTCAAGGTATGTCTGAGAGACATGCACATACACACATTCAATATTCATCTTTCTCTCCTTGTCCGTCCTCTCCTCACCCGCCGCAGATACAGAAGCCGCAGTGATGCCAAATCGCCTATTTGGCCCGTCAAATGCCCCTCAAAAGGCACACTGGTAATCCACAGACCGAGAACTGCTCTCAGCTCATAGACATCGGCTGGAAATGGTACCCTTTTCCTCAACGACACCACCCACTCCGTCACCTGCCCTCCCTCGTGATTCCCCCACAGCAGAAAGAGACTGGAAACAAAGAGGAGGAAACAAGAGGAAGAGGTCATTGGGGGTGTGGCTTATGTGTGGGGTCACTGGTGCTTACTATCCCTCAGCCCCATCAGGTAATCGGATGCACACAATGAACGACACCGAGCAGAGATCCGTCCCAAAGATTGTCGCCTCAGTCTCGTTCATCAGGCCTATCTTGACTGTCATCCTGCTGAGCGCCTCGGCGTCAGCATCGCACGGGCCACACTCAGAGCTTGAGAGCTCGTCCAGTTCGTCCAGCGGCAGGATGAGTGACTGGGGGGATGAGACGCCCAAAGGCGTGACCGTGGGTCGGAAGACCACTGAGGCCGACAGGAGGTACCACTTGGCGCAATCTGTCCAGGTGCAGCTGCCATCATAGCTCTCGTTGCCCTGCAAAGCCCTTCCCGGCAGCACACGCCGCGGGAAACGCTGGATGATGTGTGATGAAGGGACTGCTTGAATAAATAAAGGGGTCAGCCAAAGGTTCAGGAACAGAAATATACGATGCATCTTCAGGTTGCCAAAGTGAACGACGTGATTCAATCGTCTCGCCCCCACAGCCCCCATTGCGAGCTCAGCAACCAATCATTCCGCCGATCTGTGCCTGGAGGGGCTGCCATCTATCCCGACGAACAGTCAGATCAAGAACCGCACGCATCCGTCACAAAGTGTGTGCGTGCCTCACCGTGTCAGATCAGCATCATCTGATCGTGTGTTTGTGGCAGATCTTCGATCACCGAGCAAGCAGCCGCTACCGTGGGATAAGCATTGGCAGCCATGTCATGACACCGCCATCAGTGCCTTTGACGCAGGCGCTCATCTGCACTGCACTTGTGCAACCTTCCTGCTTTCCTGCCCTCTGTGTGTGTTCAGGCCTTTCCCATCTGCTTCTGCTGCCACTGACTTGTGCTCTGCTACTGCTGACATTATGAGTGCTGAGGGCCGGTCCTGCCCACTTTCCTACCGCTACACGCCAGCACACATCCGAGAAGGGCACACTGTGGCGGCGTCATCGGCCTACGTGGTACTCTCACACGAACCAGAACGATTCATTCACTCGTCTACATGTAAAATGGTACACGTTCTCTTGCCGCACACAAACAGGTGGGCGGGCTCTACGGCAACACTGAGGCACTGAGGACCCTCCTCGACCTTCATGCATCAGAGCACCGGCTGCTGAAGGAGCTTGGGATGGACGGCGAGCCGGCTCTGATCTTCAGTGGCGACTTCAACTCGTTCAATGCATTCGATGGCGACTTCCAGCATGTCAATGAGGCGGTGGTGGGCGATGGGAAGGGCAGCAACACGTGGGCCACGGCGGGCAATGTTGAGGTGGAGATTGCGAAGGACACAGTGGATGCAGACACTGGATGTGGTGAGTGAGCAACACCAGCAGCAGATACAAAGACGCTCTAGAGCCTTCACATGACCTTGTGGTTCAGGCTGCGCGTATCCGCCCTATGTCGATGACGGAGTGGTGGCTCGCTCGAATGAGATCATCCGCATCCTTCACCAGACAGCGCGGCGCTTTTCTGCCATCCAGCAGCGACTCAGCCAGCTGCCAAAGCACGTGCGGCTGACCGTCGAGCCGTGTGGTAGAGACCCCGATGCACCATCATGCACGTTCGCTGTCGTCCATGGCGACACGCACTCCCTGGCTGGGTGGTCGTTGGGTGCTGAGGAGGTGCCGTCGGCTGAGGTTGTCAGGCGGTGTCTGAGTGATGACGGCGCTATGTGCGAGAATGACAGCGGTGATGGCTGTGGGGTGGAATTCTTGCGGCGATTCACTGCCGATTGCGACGCCATGGGTGTGAGCGGCGTCTTGTCGACGCATACATGCCTGCCTGTGGCAGTCGCATACAAGGTTAGTGAGTAAGATCACATACAGGCGTGGGAGGCTCACTGCAGGGTGGTTGCTCTGTCCATCCATCCATCAGTCATCCAGCGGTGCAATGCGTGTGCTCTTCAACAACGGGTCTGCGGGCATGCCCAACTTCTCACTGCTGCCGCTAGGATACACCAACAAGCACCAAGCACCCACAGCAGGCGTCATCACTCGCGTCGCCCATCCGTCGGTCGGCCCCACCTCTCTGCTCAGAGAGAAGGCCCTGCGGATGGGCCGTCCGTCATGCGTTGCGCTCGCCCGTCGGCTGCCGCTGCCGCTTTACAGTGCCCTCATCCCGGGGCGGGCGGTGGTTGAGGCCATCCCACTGGCGTATGATCGTGTCGCATGGCTCAACAGGTACTTAATGGTGTGGGCACGAAGGGCGTTCTCCTATGCGTCCATCGGTTCTATATCGCCTCTGTCGCGTATTCAGGTTTCTGTCGTGTTGGCCGATCGGGAGCCCTGCCCATGTGTCGTATTTCTCACGGATGGTGTATGGACCCAAGTCGTATGGCCTCCGCGAGGCCGTGAGGGGTCTTGTACATTAAGTGACCAGTGAGTGAATGAATGAATGAATGAGTCGGTCAGGCAGACAGGCAGGCTAGATGTGCGTGTGTGGTGATACTGCGAAGGACGTATTCATTGGCGCATGATAGATGCGCGTCTTTTATCCATCCATTGTTGGCCGTCCGTTCAGTCAGTCAGCTACACAAGTGAGAGCAAGTCCAGATAGCACGCACGGACAATGTCATCTCTAAAATTTGCATGGAAATATGCGCATAACACACACCAACAGAGCTACTCATTACTCAGCATGTCGCAAAGACCGAACATGATTGCTTATCCAGGGCTGTCTGTCCACGCCACATCGCCTCCATGGCAGCCGCGGGCCACGCGCAACCGAACCGAGCCTTTTCGCGATTCAGTCATACATGACCTACAGATGCAGAAGTCGATGGGAGCACACAGCAGCAGCGAAGGCACAGATACATAGATGGAACATCTGGTAAAAACGGAAAAACGAAGGAGGGAGGGAGGGAGGTACACGTACAGCCCCAGCCGACCCAGCTGGCTATCCACATCTAGACACGACCCACCCAATATCTCTATATCCTCAGTTCTGCTCGCTCCCAACCTTGAGGCTGCAGGCCATGCTGCCAGTCCATTGCGTGAAGCCGACTAGGGTCTTTCCGCACGACCCACACTTGGGCACGCCCCCGGCCCCACTCCGAGTGGTGCACACAAAGCTGCAAACGCCCTTCTTTTCCAGCTCCCTCAAACCCGCTGGATCAGAGAGGGCACACTTGTTGCTGCCGCATGAGCAGGTGACGGAGGTGATGTGGCACTCGTCCGGACACGCCATGTGTTCGCCCGCCTTCGGATTGAGCATGGCTTCGAGGGCTTTGATGTGGGCGTTGATCTGCTGCACCTGCTGCACCTGCTGCTGCTCGTTCGGAATGTCCTGGATCGGAATCCCGATAGCCGCCGGTGGAATGTCGTCGTGGTCCACCCCAGCGGTTTCAGGGAGCACCCTGAAACGAGTGGGCCGGGCACAGACATACCCCCAAGTGGGCCGGGCCTCGATCTTGCCGAGTTCGCTCTGCACGACCTCGAAATTCTCCTGAAACTGCTTCAAAACCTGACAGACAGACAGACAGGCAGGCAGCCGCCCTTATATTTGTGTGCACACCATAGACTTCTTCTCATCCTGTCTTGCACTGACCTTGAGTGATGACGCAGTGCCCTCGAACAGTGCATACTTCTCGGCCACCGGCAGCATGCTCACGTTGTGAGGGCCTTCAGGTCGTCGTACTTCTTGGGCGCATAGTCAATCTTGTCGTTGAACACGTCCGGGATGTGTTGCATTGTGGCAGTTATCGCATGTTTGTCGATGTAGGCGGCGGCCGGCTTCGTGACCGGCTGGAAAGTCAGGCTGAGTCTGCCCGGCGTCGCCCCGCCCACAGTCAGCTTGGCCGTGTGGCTGACCACCACTGTGACGCCAGTCCCTTGTCGCCTCGATGCGCTCGCTGATCTCAGCGTTGACCTTATGCAGGCCGCGGATCTTCTCAAGAAGCATACCCATCTGCAGAGGGAGGCGAAAGAGCAGCCACAGTTGTGGAGATCTCGATCTCTGCATGCACTGTACTGCTTATGCCTTCTCACCATCTCTGGCTGACAGGTGCAGGTGGAGAGCGATGAAAGGCGGTCTGTGTCATTGATGATATCCGCGACGTCCTGCACTTCCATCACCTTGCCCTTTCCTCCTTTTCCCTCCTCTTCGCAGTTGCGAGCTTAGCTTGCAGGTTCAGAAGGAGAGCTCGGAGCTTTGGTGGTCTCTCGTGGTGCTTGGGAGCAGCGCCGTTCCGAAATTTGAGCTTCTGTGCATCGACGATGCTGTCCGTCGTGCCTTTCATTGGCCTCCTCGGGTGAGCCCTCCGCGGCAACACAAAAGAGCCATGGCGAGGGGCAAGCACTCATCCATCGTGTGTGTGGTGTGTGTGTGTGTTCAGCGTGGGAGTGCAGTTGGTGTGGCCGGCGGCCTGCACGTTTCAGATGCTGGTCAAGGGCGAGAAGGGCGAGACCAAGATAGTGCAGTGGACGATATACTGGGTCATCTACCTCCTCTACACATTCGTCGAGAGAAACCTCATCTTCTTCCTTATTCCTTAGTAACACACACACACACACACAGCCACACGCGCAAAGGAGAAGCCAACCATGGATGTGTGTGTGTCTGTGCGTGTGTCTTGTGCCTGTCTGTGTGTGTGCAGCTTCCCTCTGTATTCGGAGCTGAAGGTGCTGGCCTTCCTCTGGCTCATCCACCCTGAGTTCCAGGTGAATGGACACGACTCATCGCACCCAGACCAGCAGAAAAGGGACGTATTCCATCCCCTCCTTTCTGTGTGTGTGCCTCCCCGTGAGTCAGGGTGCTGCGTTTCTGTGGTACAAGTTTCTGGAGAAGCCACACAAGATGGCCGACGAGATGATGGTCGAGAAACTCGACAAGACATTCGGCTCGGTCGTCAACCAAATGGTAGACACCTGACGGGTGTGTGAGTCGTATTCATGTTCATGCCCTGGTCCTGTTGATGGATGCATTGCGTGTGTGATGCTGATGCGTCGGTCAGATCTCACACAAGAGGAAGGAGGACTTCGACAAAGCACGGACCGGTAGCACGACACGCACACACGGCCGACATGACGATCCATCATGCGTGGGTGCACTCTGTTGTCATTATTGTTGTTGTTGTGTGTGTGTGTGTGTGCAGACAAGGACGAGTAGTGACCGCTGCCCTGTCGGCTGCCATCATAGGGGTAGGGGAATGGGTGGGCGGCTGGGTGGCTGGGTGGGCGTATTTAACCAGCGCTAGGCGCTTCTTGTCGTCGACCATTTTGGGGCATCGGGCGGTCGGCAACACACGGCATGGCAAGGGGAAGGAGAGGGGAGAGAGCGGTCCGACCACTCGCTCTTGTCTGCCTGCAGCTCTATATGTCTTGTCTATTTCTCTCTCTCTCTCTCGCTCTGTGTGTGTGTTTGAGAGTGTGTGTCTGGCCTGCTCTCCCTTTCGCTCTCTCACCTGATGCTTGCATGCCCGTCTCTCAGTCTGTCTATCTGCTTTTCGCCCTGTGTGTGTGGTGTTTGGGAGCCATCAGTGAGTGAGTGAGTGATGGTGTAGATATGGGAGGTAGCAGGGAGCATCGCTTCCGACCAACCAGACAGACAGACATGGGGGGAGGGAGGGCTGTAGTGTCGCGGTCAGTCATACCCTGGCCACCGACAGAGAGAGAGAGAGAGAGTGTGTGTGTGCTCGCTTTTGCCGAAACACCTTCACAAGACCGCCATCCTCTTTTGCGCTGTCATCACACCACGCTCTCGTCTGTTCGCTGGCTTTGCCGCCATGTTTTTGAAAGCAGGCGCGGCCCGCTCTCACCGTCACCGAAGCCCAGCCCGTTGTGTTTCCAGCGTCCATTCATTCCTGTGTGATTGTGTTTGCACTCACCATCTCTCCAAACGCAGGTCAGGTGTCGCTAGGTGCTTTTGAATCGACTGACTCGCGCATGGATTGGATTGGATGCCTTGCCTGCCTGTTTTGTCCCAAACACTGACTGGTGGGGCGATGCGGTGCGGCGCGCATGTACACTCAATCTTGGACAGAACAGACAGATGCCTGACTGTGCCCGCCCTGCCTCTCCCTGCCCATCCCTGCCCGGCCCTGACTGCAGCTGCCCACACCGCCTCACTCTCTGCCTGTCCCCCTTGTTGCCGTGGATCTTGTGCTGTCTGGAGCAATCTGTGTGATGTGTGGACGGATGGATGGATGCGGTGGACCCCCTGCCTGGCCAGCTGATCGGTGCTGCTGCTGTGCCCGTGATTGTGTGCGTGTATTTGTATCAATCACTTAAAACCAGCCACTGCTGCAACCGGATCAGCCACACACAAAGAGGGAAGAGGGAAGAGTGAGAGACAGACCGACAGAGTCATCTGTACAGTTAGATATGAGGCACACTCATGATATTGTTCGTCTCGATCAAACACATGAATCACGAACCCGTCTACAGCACTCCCTCCCTCCCTCCCTCCCTCACTCACGCCAGCTGATACGCCTCCAGCTCACCGATCTCGAAGTGCCATCCCTTCACTGAGACAGGCAGGGACGCTCGGCCATCGACACCGCCATAGTCGCTCGGCCTGGCGCTCGGCCGCTGCCACTGCTGCCACTCGTCCGTCTGCCCCTCCTCAATCATGACTCCCTGGCAGCGCCTCATCGTCTCGTCGCTGGCCGCTGCTGCTGCGCCGATCGCTTGGGCGGCCGGACGGACAGCAAAGTCGAGGCATGATGCGGCGAGGACGGCCGTCATATTGGAGGCGGGTGAAGAGAAATCGATGAGGTTGGTGACTCTCTCCTGCACACATGGATGAACAGGAGACCATTACCATGACTGCCTGGCTCATTGAAATGAGTACCTACCTGTGTGCCCGCCATTAACATCTTGCTGCCCCAGCCGATGTGGCCCACGTGTGGGTGGCTGTCTGTCCCACGCAGCTTGAAGGAGTGTGATCTCGTGTCGAGGTGGCTCATGGCCGTCTCGGTGACCTCGATGGGCCCCTCGATGATGAGGGCGAAGAGCTCATTGCTGTCGGCCACCTTGGAGATGAGCAGCAGGGGGGAGTGGCCCTTGACGGCATCGAAGAAATCCAGCCACTTCCAACCATCCTTAGTCGCCCTGCCATGACACACACACACACATCAAGACACAGAGGGATGGTAAGAGAGTGCCGTCATGCTCACGGCTGTCTAGCTGCCCTTCTCACTTGTATATGCGGATGACCGGCTCGCCCACACACGACGGAATGTGTGCCGGGACGTTTCGCCGACCCTCACACCACTGGCGCATCTTGTGCAGGTGGTCGGTGGTCAGCAGCCCGTCCGCGGGCCCCAAATAGCGATCGCTATCCAAACCGTACCTGACACAAACCAACACACAGACAGAGAGCAGCCGTCGGGGCACTGTGTGGTGAACAGCTCTGTGTGTTCTCGCCGCTCTTACATGGTGAGTGCGTGTCGGTATCCCTCTATGTCTAGCTCCCCCATCGCCCCCTGAACGTCAGCCGCTGTGATGGCCGCCCCCTTCTTCATGTGGGCACGGGCGACGACGTCGACAATGCGCCGGACATGCTCGATGGGCGCACGAACGGTAGGGCCATACCTGAGACAACAGGAGATACCAGACAACTCACTTGTGGACTGGGTGCACGGCACGTCATGTGTCCAGCTGTGTGCAGGCGAACTTGAGGAATCTGTTGGCGAAAGTGGAGTCGTCGCCCAGCGACTTCGCTACGCCTGTCGTCACCGTCACCGTGGATCCCGACACACTCGCGGACACCAACTGAAGAGGGCAAACACAACCACCAGATGCACTTCACTTACTGCATCCCCTTCCCCTCTGACTGGACTGACAGTCTTCCCTCTGCTGTTTCGTGTTCGCCTCACCGTATCGTCCTCCACACTGTCCGCCTTGAGCAGTGGTTTGATGGCGTCGAGCCGCTGCTCATGTGCGGCCTTCTCCTGCACCGCCTTCTTCATGAGTGTGTGCAGCTCGGCATTCAGCCTTAGCGGTGCCGGCGTAGGCTGCTCGCTGTCCTCCTGCTGGTCGGTGGCTGGGTCGGCAGCGGGGAGGACGGGGTCGCCGCGCGGTCGGCGCTTGTAGGCCGGATCCCACAGCAGCAACTCAACCCAATACCTGACGACACACAACAGACACAGACACCTCATCTGCTTTGGCCATCGTGTGTGTGTGTTTGCCCTTGTGCTCACGTGAACGGCGTGTCGTGTTGCTTGGACGGCGGGATGGACATGTTGCTGATCCGCTCGTCCTCATACATAATCAAGTGCATCACACACCTGCTCTCTCGCACCAACAACCACACGCACACACACACACACACACACACACTTGTAGGCGGGATGCTATGATGAATGAATCCGTCTTCCGTGCCTTCCTGACCACTGAAATGCAGGAGGAAAGATGTTCAAGAAGATGCGATTGCTATCGTCACGGATGAAGGCGGCGTCGAACTTGCCACAGAAGAGGGTGGCCAGCACAGAGTCCACGACCGCACACAGAGTCGACCGCTGGACCCGCACGTGCTCGCCGCTGACATTCAACTCCAACACCTCCTTCATCAACTCATCCTGCAGCACACGTCAGGTCAGATCCCACAAACACGCGCGCGACGAATGCATGGGCCGCCGGCGCCTTTTTGCTTCTCGTGCGCTTCCAAGTTACCTTTGGCTTGTTTGGCACTGCAGACCCGCCCATGGCTCTTTCACGCTCCTCGAGCTCATCCAGCATCGCCTGGAGAGCATCGGTGACGCTGCGGCTGTACTGGATGGACTGATGCAGCGCACCGAGGGAGGCGCTCTCACCAGCAACACCATGATCAGGATACTTGCGTTTCTCGCCAGCTGCTGCTGCAGCAGCAGCCGCTGATGCAGCCATGTCCTCTAAATGATGAATGCTCGCCATTGATATTCCGTGAAACAAACGTCAACAGTTCCGTGAAACCGCTCTCTCTCTCAAAGGGAGGGGCAGATGGAGAATGACAGCCTCTACACTTCTGGAACGGCCGCGGCCGACAGGGGCGCAGAAGGCGTTCCACCGCCAGCCGCAGATCAGGTCACAGGTGTTGCAGATGAGGCGCCTTCTCAGAGGCCAACACTGCCCTTCCCCACTCCCTCTCCCACCCATCTGTCGCATCTATCGTCACCCACGCACCTGCCCTCGCCGCCGCCTCTGATTTTCCACACACACACGGCCGATTCGCTGCACGGCCCGCCGATACTGACCACGGCCCTCACGTGCTCAGTGTGCTTGCAGGCCTGCCAGGAGGGCGCCGTCGACGTAAGCACAGCACTGGTTGAGAGGGGCAACCGCACAGACACAGACCAGTGGCTGGGTTGTCTGCGTGTGTTGGTTGTGATTGATGGTCACTTCATTCAGGGCCTTGTTCGTCCCTCAGAAGACGGCGGGTGCCAGTGGCTGTGTCAGTCGTGTGCGACCAACATACCCCTTCCCGCCGCCCAACTCACCGACGTCGCCATCCGCCAGCTCAGCACACGCGGGCCCCGCGCGCAGCACATCGCGTGGCGAGCGCCTGCCGACCCAGACACCTCTCGCCTGTCTAATGGCTGTGGCGGCTTCATGGTGATCTGTCTGACCCATGGCAACGCTGCTGCTGAGGGGCCGGCACTGTATGGCGGTTTCTATCCGGTGTCGAGGCCGACGGCGTGTGCGGTTGAGAAAGCTCTGCAGCGGGCGATGGGTGGCCGTGATGGGTGGGCTGAGGAGGCTGGGCTGCGTCGACAGGCGGATACGAGTGGGGAGAGGGAAGGGAGGCGCAAAAGGAGGCGGCAAGGTGAGTGAGGAGAGGAAGAACAGAAGAAGGTGATGGTGATGCGATCGGCGAGTCAGTCGGCGTGATGATGTTATGTTGTTCTTTTTTGCAGACACGAGTGGCGCGTCGTCAGCTGAGGGCACCGTACCCGAGGCACACACACCCCTGTCCAAAGGTGATGTGATCTACCCCTCAAACAGACACCCGTTTTCGCAATCAACCTCTCTTACCGACCGCTGTCTGTGTTTCAGGCGAGCATGAAGAGCTGACCGACGAGGAGCTGCTCCAATGCGCCCGCTCGCTGCTCAACGACGCACGCAATAGCAGCACCAGCGGCAGAGGCAGCACCAGTGGCCGCGGTCTCAACATCAGTTGGGAGAGGAAGGCCCAGGTCTTCAAGGTGTCGCTACGGCAGCAGGACAAGCCAGTCTTCAAGGAGTTCAGGCCTCAGAAGAAGACACGCGCCCACCTCCTGCAGGCGCTGCAGAGGGCCATCTCCTACAGAGACGAGCAGCGGGCTGTCGCTCTGGCGCAACAGCAGCAGAAGCAGGGTGAGCAGCGCACCACACGTGTGTGGTCGGACGGTCATCTGCACATCGTGTGTGTGTGTGTGTGTGTGTCTTGTCCGAGCAGAAGAGCTGTCTGGCGGCCTCTCTCCCGCCCCACCACCAGAAGAGGCGGCATCGGTCGCCTTTTGCCAGAGGAACCTGATCGACCTACAAAGTAAAGCAGACCCACACACACGTAAAATGCTCTTCTATACAGGCGCATGTGTACCGCTGTCTCTGTGTCTCTGCATCAATCAGCTCGTTTCCCCGCGGCCTTCAGGGTGTTGAGCGGTGCCGATCTGCGTCAGACGGCCGTGGTGCTGCTCAATCGGCTGCGGTCGCACCTGATGGACCAGGAGTGCGGCAGCAAGGGCGGCACTGGCGTCACGCTCCACACCACCACCACCGCTTTCTGCGTCACTCTACAGGTACCTCTGTAGCAAAGCTGCCACACATCCATCCCGTCTCTGTTTCCACCGGTGTGTGTGTCCTGACCTGACAGGCCCGCGGCAAATCGCATTATGGCGGGTCGTATACCCCTCCTGCCAGCACGTTTGAGGGGCTAGTCGCAGCGCTAAAGGCGGCCGTTATTGCTCGCAACGAGCTGGCGCAGCGGCTGGAGTACCCCGGGCACATCGACCCGTATCGAGTGGAACAGGTCGCCATCAGGACGCTGAACGAGACCAAGACCACCAGTGGCGCTGTGCAGAAGCAGGCGGCGGCGGCGGAAGCTGCTGCTGGACTGGGAGAGTGACGGCTGGCTTGCGTGTTGAGTGGTTTTGCAGTGTGTGTGTGTGTGTGTGTATTTGTGTCTTCGTTGATGTGTGACTTTGGATAGATGGATGCATTATTCCATGGAGCACTCACTGTACTGAGCGGATTTGCTTGTGCACTCACTGATGTCATTGATCGATTCATCGACTGATTGATTGATGGCAGATGATTACACAAGTACTTGCGTGTGTAACGACTTGCGTGAGAGAAGAGGGGGCGTGTGCCGTGCATGTGATGAGAGAGGAACGTTGTTGTCAATCGCTCTGGTCGCTGGCTGAGCCGACCCATGACTTAAATATTGATGAAGGAGGAGGAGGTCCATCTTTTCGTTCGTGAGGCAGTTCACGAATTACCGACTACATTCACCCACGGCCACGACGCAGACACGGCATGGAACACACCACAATAAAGCAGAGAGGCGGGGAGGGTGGGGAGCGCATCCATCTGTGTTGGGTTCTGTATGTATCTACACAAGCCAGTTGGGTCGATTGGCTCTGTCTATCTGTCAGCACCACCACACACACACACAAGGCAGGCTGGCAAAAACGGGAGATGGATGGCTTCACAGAGACTGACAGAGACGGAGACATGCACTCTGCTTCCTTCCGACCGACCAGCGTCCATCTGTCTGTCTGGCGGCTTAGTCTGATTCCCTTCCTAGCGGCTGGGGGGCCTCCCATTGGTGCCAGGAAACCCCTCGACCACCCTGAGGAGAACTGCACTCGGCCGTCAACAGACAGGAAGGAATTCGCTTCGTTCCTTGATCCGTTCTACAAGACTTGATGTATCTATCCATCCATCTCATCTGGTCTGTCTATGCACTGCACTGATTGGGTGTGGCGTGAGTGAGTAGAGCTAGTGTAAGTGGGGCTTTACATCTCGGACAGGTCCTCAGGGTCCTGCCAGGCCAAACAGACAGGCAGACAGACGCCATGTGTCTGTCTGTTTGTCTGCCTCTCCATGTGTGTGTGTGTGTGTGTACCGCTCTGATGGAGAGGTCGAGGTCGTTGCCCATGATGTTCTTCCAGCTGCAGTCACACACACACATACAACGGTGAGAGTATACGCGCGCCCGCCTTTGGTGCCTGCCTGCTTACATTCGCAGGACGTCATCAGATGCCGACTCGAAGTGCGACGTGGCGTCGTAGGAGGACGACACAAACACCTGACACACGACCGACAAGAGGTTAGCCCGCTGCCACTCTCCCAGCCTCCATCTGCCCCCCCACCTGGTCGGTCTTGCCATCGTCGGTGGGCTCGTACACGTCTGACACGCTGATGAACTTCTCCTCGATCGGCCCCAGCAACTCCAACGCACACTGAATCTCTGGTTGGTGGATGGATGGATGGTTGGATGGTTGGATGGATGGTCGGGCATAACAAGGAGGGGACGACCGTGTGTGAGTTGAGGTGGTGCGGATGTGGCTGTGTGGGTGGCTCGGCTCTCATACCGGCTTGTGGGTTGTTGGTCTCGACGGTGGTGGACACGATGGCGATGTACTTGCCCTTCTTGCACACGCAGTGGATCGACGACATGACCATCACGTAGATGTCTGCACATGCGCACAGAGGACACAGCACACCAGACACCACACACAAGGGATGCGCCTAGTATCTTGTGTGTGGAGGAATGTGTGCATGATGGTTCCGTGGTGTGCTAACCGTGGTGTCGCTCCACTTGCTTCTGGGGGATGATGATCTGGCACGAACCTGCACACAGATACACACCACGCACACAGACAGGTGAATGTGGCAAGCCTCGTTGTAGGATCGTCCAATGCATTGACGTCCGTACCGGCATTGTTGGTGTCAGGTACGGGGGCGCTGAGGATGCAGATGGCGCGGACCACCTTGCCCACTGCCCTCACCTGACATGACATGACATGTGCGCCACACAATTCCAGCAAGATGCTGCCTGGATGCTACGCGTGTGTGTACCTTCTTGGTGCCGACAGCGTATGAGGGATCGCACACCACCATCGAGCACTTGGCCACCTGACAGATGGATGGATGGACGGATGGATGGATGGATGAATGGATGGACACACGCAGTGTGCAGTGCTGTCTGCTTCCTTCCTTTTCTGGCTGACCTCTCCCTCGGTTGACTTGACGCCGCACACTTTGCCGTCGGCGTCGTATTCGAAGCCCGCGATCGGCTTGTTCAACATGTAGGTGCCACCGTGGATAGCTGACAACCTGACACAACACACACACACCACGGCACATGAGTGGTGTATCGGGCAAAGATGTGTGTGCATGTGTGCCTGTGCGTGTGAGTGTGAGTGTACCTGGAGAATCCCTCAGGTAGTCCGCCGAGTCCGTAGACGGGGTAGATGAAGGGCGACTGTCCGTATCTGCTGATGGAGTACATGTACAGCTTGATCTTGTCCAGGCACTCACCCATCGGCTTCTGCTCATACCTGCAGACAGAGTCCACAGAGAGAGGCATACACACACATTTACGTGTGCAGATGTGTCTTTCTGTGTGTGTGTGTGTGTGGTTTGGCTGTCCGCCTCACTCACTCGTCGGTTCGGTAGAGTGCGAGTGCGTGTCCGACAAAGTCGATGGTGTTGGGCTGCAGGCCGAAGTGGTCGTACACTTGCTGCATCGTCGTGCGGTTGCGGTCAAATCCTGCAACACAACACACGCAGCAAGAAACACACACATACACATACACATACACCGGCCATATGTGCGTGCCCCTTGGCGCTCATTCGCTGTGCTGTGTTTTGTGTTGTGTGTCCGTGCCGACCTTGGTGTGTCTTGGGGTCGGAATCTTCCCAGTGTGCGACGAAGTGGAAGAAGTTCTTGCACCGGTTCTTCTCCAGCAGCGGCATCAGGGGCGACCGCAGCGCCTCCATGTCGTTCGACGGCACCTGATGTATACGGTCGAGCACAATGACGACTTTGTACACCCACGTGTGTGTGGTGTGTAGGGATGGAACTCTCACCTTGTGGATGAATTTGGGCCCACCGAGCAGCCCGCCCAGCATGGCCTTCTGGAACTGGTACACATATGTACCTGAAACCACCACACACACACACACACACGAACATACGCAGCACAGCACAGCCAAGACAACCATGCACCCACACGTCGCATGTATGTATCTGCAACACTCACTGACCTTCGACGACCTGCCACTCGAGGTATCTTGTGACCTTGGTAGTGAGGAGGATCTTGACCAGCTTGCCGCACGCCATCACAAACTTGGGGATCAGATCCACGTTCCAGTCACGGTTGCTGCCGTAGTCGGGCGGCGGCTTCTCACCTGCACAGACACATAACACACGCATGCACCCACATGTATGGTGATCCATTGTGTATGGTCTTGTGTTCTGCGCATATGGCGCACCGGCCCTGAATTTCTCGTATAGGTTGGTGAGGTTGAGTGAGGCCGAGTCGCCGCCATAGTAGGGGTTGCGGTCGACGTGCAAAACCTTCTTGCCTGTGGCACACACACACGGCCGCCCGGAGAGGTGGCATGGCTTTCCCGGGTGCATTCCTTAACGGCGCCGGTGTGTGTGACTTTGCTGTGGGGCGGATCTATCTGTGTTGGCTGACCATGGACAGAGAGGAGGCCGCTCAAAATGCACTCCTTCAGACCGGTCCCGCACACTATCACCTGCGCACAGACACACACACACGGAAATGCGCATGTAGGCATTTCCGACGTTGCAACAGGTGAGGACAGCACACGTATGCATGATCCATCTATCCTTGACATCCCATCCTCTCTGCCCCATCCATTTTGCATCTCTCTCGGTCCATTTTCTCGTCCCGCTCGCACTGCTTACGTCATATGTTTCGTCCATCGTGGCTGCTCCGGGTGTCGCCGACTTGTGTGTCAAACTCAAACTCTGAGAAGGATCGCCGGCCAATCAGATCTGCACACAAGCTCGCAGTCCGGAAACCGCACTCTCTCAAAGCCGCTGAAAGCGCCAACGCACTTGCCAGGCCACCCTCTGCCCCAGATCTCCCACCATGCAGAAGCTCCTGTCCATCTGCGTCATCGCGCTGATCTTCATCGCGCACGCAACGGCCTTCCAGCCCGTCATCAACCCGCACCACGGCTCTGGCAGCACCGGCCGCTCGCTTGCCTCGGCTCGGTCACGCAGCAGCAACATTCTGCGGCAGCCTGTCGTCTCGACGCCGCAGACGGTGACGGACATGTCTGTGAGTGATCTGGTGGAGAACACGGAGCTGCTGGCGAAGCTGTCGGACACACAGGTGTTTGGGATCCTCGGGGCGGCGCTCTTCACGGGCGGCATTGCACTGGCATTCGGAAAGGTGAGGGAGTGGAGAGGGTGCCGTGCCGTGGGGGGCGTGGCCGGTCTGTATGTCTGTGCTTCTGATGTGTGTGTTGTATTGCAGAGCTTGAGGGATTTTTTCGACGAGTATTGATAGCTGTTGCTACCCTACCGATGGCGCTTGCTCTGCTGAGGTGCATCCTCTTCGTGTGTTCTGGTTCTGGTCGTTGCTTGCTGACATGCGCGACCACTGCGTCCGTCGGCATAGATCGGGCAGGAGTGGAACACACGTGGGGAGTGTAGACAGTGGGGCGACAACGAGTGCTTGCTGATTGATTGGAAAAACTCTCTGATGTATGCCAGCCGTGCGTTTCCACGTGCTTTGCTGGCTGGTTGGGCTGCCGGACGCGGCAGGTGCCCTTGATGAGTTGGCGAGCTCATGAGTGGTGTCCGTTGCGGAAGGGCGGCTAGATCTGGCCAGTGAGCGCGGTGACGATGCACAGGGGATGGCTGGATGGATGGATGGATGGCTGACTGCGAGAGAGCTGTACATGAGATGACAGATGATTTGGAGTGGGACGGATTGCTGTCAGCCAATTTATCTGTGTGTGTCCTCTCACTTGACTGACGCGATGGACTTGACAAGGCAATGACCTCTCCCATATGATAGATGCACGCACTGAGAAGACAAGGATGCCCCACCCGCTGCACCCAGGCACACACATACATGTAAGCTCGACGAGGGCCAGAGTTAAGCCACGGTCTCATCCAGCATGATGCGATTCATCGGTTGCAGTACCATTGGTAATTCATCGAATGCATACCGACGCTGTCAGCCATGAGCCTCTGACACGAAGACGTTTCCCCCGTCCGCATGAAGCTTGTCCGAGTGCAAGACTGCACCTATCACTTACTCCGCATTCTGTACACAACACGACAAACAACACGCACGTCACCCATGCAGCCATACAAGAGACACACGGCATTCCGTCAGCCCTCTTTCGTCTCGACGAGCGCGTGCGAAGCAATGTCTGCGCAGCACTTGGGGCACTTGGGCGGGCTGTCTGTGGTCTGCTGTCTGCCCCCCTTCGCCCAGCAGAAGCCGCACACAGCGTGGCTGCAGGGACTGAACACAACCGACGGGCTGTGCTCAGAACACACCGCACATTTGCTGCTGCTCTTGGTGGTGTCGGTGTTGGTGTTGTCTTGCTCGAGGTCGGACAGCTTGGCGAGGCACGCCTTGTGGAGTCGGTACAGCTGGTCGATGCCGCTGGCCGCCTGCTGGGAGATGGCACGCACCTCGCGCTCGGTGGCCGCCACGCGCACACGGTCCTCACACACACTGGGCAAAAGACCATTGACAACGAGACATCCATCCATCCATCCATGCAGAGGCCTACGTACCTGACGGCTCGTGTGTTGACCAGACCTTCTTGAGTCACGCCGTTCTGAGCCTTCTCGAGCCTGCATGGGCAGAGACAAAACCGTGCATGTCGATATCGCTGCCTGTGTCTCTTCAGTACTGTTGGAGTTTGCCGACGCCCTCGTCCTTTTCGCGCTGCATACTGGTCAGGTCCGTCGCCAATCTGCAAAGAAATAAGGAAGAACGCTTCGCAGCACACACCTGGCGCGCAGGTATCCTGAGTGACGCACCTGTTTCTTTCTTTCGTAAGGGACTTGATGGTGTTGTCTGCACGCGCATTCTCATCCTTCAGCCTGATCAGTGAGACGTACGGAGAGAGAAGCATCGTGTACACCGGTTCGTGGATATATGGACGATCTCTGCATATATGTGCGTGTTGCCTTTGTTGGTCATCCTTTAGAGCAGCGACGGCCTCCTTCTCAATCGACGACCTACACACACAAACACAGGAAGAATGAGCGCATATCCGTGTGCACGCCGTCACTCGGCCTGTGTACTTGTGGTTGAGGTCGTGGAGTTCCGCCTTGTATCGCTCCAGAGCAGCACTCAGCCTCTCGCCCTTCTTCTCGGCACTGAAAAGAGCGGCAAGTAGGAGCAAGGAGAGACCCATCCGCCCACCCATGCCTCCATCCGTCCACGCAGCCGAGCGACTGTGATCGTGTGTGTACCTCTGTCGTCCCTTGAGCGCCTCCTCGAGAGCTGTCTCGCGCTTCTGGAGCTTCTGAAGCAGCTTTACCTGCAGGCACGCACACAGGCAGACATACAGACAGACGGGCAGGCAGACAGAGACAGGACATTCACTTTGCCGTCCACAATTCTCGTCCATTTCTCTTCACCTACTTGGCATGTGTGCATTCGGAGCATTCGGTTTCGTCCTCGGCCAGCTCTGCGACGATCCTACCATCATCATTACCAGCTCTCGCTCTGACGGACGCCGACGATCGCCGATGCTTCTTTGTGGAACGCTTGTTCTGAGAGTCACCACACTCTAACACACACACACACACACACACGGAAGAAAGCAAGAAAAGAAAGAAAGAAAGAAAGACAGGCCAGCCATACGTACCCTTTCTCAGCTGACTGTTGAATGTGTCCTCGAGGTTGATGTCTGCAGGGCGTTCGTGCTGTGCTGCTCTTGGGGCCAGGGAGGCGACGAGAGACATGAACCACAGGCACCCTTGCAGAGTCGACCCGACGAAGAGCAAACAGGCGTACGTCACGAGCTGTCCGACGGAACAACAGCCTCGCCAGAGCAGCCAGAGGGGATGGGAGAGGACTCCCCACAGGCGACGACGACAGCGGGTGCTGGTCAGTCTGTAGAAGATCGCACAGACGCAGGATGCGAGCAAGGCCCAGAAGACACATGCTGTGGCGAAGGCAATTGCGAAGGGCCGCATCTTGGCCTTCTCCTCCGCTGCAAAGGATAAGGCAAGAGCGAGACGAGAATCATTTCATGTGCCGCAGCTCCCTACCCTCAGCCCGGCGTAGAAGGGCAGCTAGCTCCGCATGGCCCTGCAGACAGGCAGGGGCGGTAAGTGAGCGCAACACGGCCTTCATTCGCAAGATCCACGGTGTTGCGCACCTTTTTGGCCGCGAGATTTGCGGGGGTCTGTCCGTCAGAGGACGAGATACTTGGATCGGCTCCATGTCGCAACAGCGTCTCCACAGCCACACGACAGCCACTAGAAAGGACGAATGGGAAAGATCACTGGCTGAATGTCGCAGTTGGCTTTTCGCTTGAGTGATCATTCTCTCACCGCTCTGCAGCAAAATGCAACACTGTCCTTCTGAGGTAGTCTTGGCTGATGAACGACACATGAGCTCCGTGCTTCGTGATCGCCAGCTCGAGCATGCGCTCGTCGCGCTGCCGACAGTCCTTCTCGTGTGGCTTGCAATTACAGTTCGATAGGAACATGAGGACACTCAGCTGAAGCTGCCTATCGATCACTTTGCCGTTGCGCTCTTCCTGGACGTGCCTTGTCGCGTTGACGTCCGCTCCCAGCCCGAGCAAACGGACAAACGCCGCCTCGTTGCGCTGCGTGACATGCAAGAAAGGAAAGATGGAAGGCCGTCGCAGGCGGGAAGTTGCAGCGCACCTGGTCCGCAGCAAACATCAATGGGGTGATATGCCCAAGAGTGCCAGTCAGAGGACCGCGCCCTGCCAGCTCCAAGTCCGCCCCTGAATGTGACGCACGTGTAATGCTTGTGCATGAGTGCCAGTGTATACGAGTGTCCGTACCAAGTTCCGCAAGTGTTTGGACCATGTCAGCGCTTCGCGCCTGAGGTTTGTGCGAGGGGAGGTCCACTGCATCAAGCATTGCCGTCCTTCCTCTGTGGTTGCGCCCATTGATGGCCACACGTTTGCCATCAGGCTGCGATGGCACGGCCCCCACCAGTAGCCTGATGAGCATCATGTCGCTCGTATTGAACTTGACCGCGTAGTGGAGCACAGAATTGCCATGCACATCTAGGACGTTCAGGTTGCCGACGTGAGGCAGGATCAGGCGGGCTGTGGCAAGGGGCGCCTTGCCTTCAACAGCGCGAAACAGAGCCTCTGCCAACTCGAAGTCGGTGTACGCTGTCTGGCTGGTGTTTGCGGCCGGCAAGTGAGAGAGAACCGACAGTACGTCACCCTGCATGGACGAACGAACAGGAAAGAGATTCAGCGAATGGACCAACGGATGGATAGATGCATCAGCGAATCTGCCACCTGAATGGCTGCAGCAGCGAGAAGGGTAGACACGCTGGTTAACGTTTGGCCTGCAAATAGGAACAGACGGAAGAGCTGTGGAGAATGGCCTCAATTCGGCTGGACGGTCTCCTGACCGACCTTGTGCATGGACGACAAGAAGATAGAAGAGCGGCAGGATATGCCGGTGGCAGATCATTGTTCCCGAGACTCAAATTTACTTCGTGTTTACAACTTGTAGATGCCACCCACAGTTTTCTGCAGCTTGCTAGTGGTGCACCCCAATTACGCGTGGGGGTTGCGATTTTTGTGAATGCGCGTGGAGGCCACACAGCAGACACATCCACACACCGAGGGGCTCTTTGCCCTTCACTGTCTCTCTGTCTCTCTGTCTGTCTGTCTGTCTGTGTTTTCGTGCCTGTGAGAGCTAGAGAGGGGGTTGCTCTCCCTCTCCCTCTCCCTGTGTGATCTCCATCATCACGTGTTGATTGACAAATGCACTGACCGATGAAGCACACACAGAGCCACAAATACTTTGTCCATGCACGCGTGCATGTCTGTCAGTCATGCGTCGTCAGCGTCGTATGCATCGTCCTCCTCATCGTAGCTGCCGCACCCGCGGCAGACAAAGTCCACACTCACACCCCCATGAACAAACACACGGTAGCGACACTTGTACAGGACGTTGCGGACAGGCCTGATATCACACACGCACATATGGTGTGTCCCTCGGTTCCCTCCCTCCCCGTTTCCCCTACTTGAATGTGATGTTGATATGTGCGGGCAGCAGCAAGCTGTCTGACGGGTGTGGCTGGGCCTTTGGCAGTGCAGGGCCGAGGGGCAGCGGCCAGTGAGGCTTTGTCGGACCGATAACCACGCCCTCGGTCAGCGAAAACACAAACACGGATGGGTCGTCTTGACTGCCCTCATCCTCCCTCTCCTACGCACACGGACGCGCAGTTGTTTGTCCGTACTCTTGCCCGCTTGCCCGTGTGCTTACTTTGAGCGTCTTGGTGACCTCGCTGATGATCTGTTTGTGCTGTCTCGCCACGTGGAACAACCTCCTGAAGACACACGCACCCAATTGCTGTCGGCGCTTTATCGTTTTGCTTTCCCAGCCAGGCTGAGCCAGCCATCAGCAGTTTACCATGCCGCGGGCACAGAGTTTGCGTTGTACAGCTCTACCCACCTCCGTTTCTCCACTTTGCCGCCCACATGAACAAAACCGAAGTCGACCACACACTCACCCGCTTTGCCCCAGGGGTATCGCCCCTTATCTTGGTCTGATGGCGGGGGAACGCCCATGGCGCGGTAGCCGACGGTCGTGTTGGACAAAGGGATGGACTTGCTGAGGTCCTCGGTCAGCACACACACCGACGGCCGCCGACCGACGCCAACGAGACGGACTGTCTGGGGGTCGATTACCTGATCAGAGACACACGTGCATAGTGTGTGCATTGTGCGTGTGCTCGTGGTGTTATATACTTGTTTCGCGGCTTTGGAAGGGTTGAAGTGTATCTTGAGCGTGCCGTTGAAGAGCACCTCGGCTGACTGGTCGGTGGGGGGGTGCCAGTGGTGCATCGGGGCCGGGCGGAAAGCCACAGTGACGTGCACTGACGAATGGCCCGGCAAATGGAACGGCTTCATGAACAGACACACGTTATAATGCATGCCATGCACGTGAAGATTTGTCGCTCACTTTTGAGGTCCGTTTGTCTTCCAGTTTGACGGATGAGGACGTCACACTGCCAATGGAGATGTGTTCGAGGCGAAACCTTCCCTCAACATGGAGCTGGCAGTGGATGGGACATGTAAGTGGATTCGTCAGAGACACTTCCCTGCGAACGAAGGGATGACACATAATCTTTGGACCCATGCAACCCTCCATCCCTACCCACCTCTTCGTCACAAGTGCGGCCGTGGTCAGCGGATGCTTGCCGTCCAGCCTCTCGCCGTCCTTTACAGCCTCTAACAAACTCATCAGCACCTCACCCGCACCCATGGTGACGTCTTCATTCCCTGACATTCCCCTCTTCCTCCGCCGCAGTGCCATGAGCATATCGACGGTTGATATCTGGAACTTGACTGTGGGCTCTCCGGTGGTCTTGTCGTGCTTCTTGTCGATGACCAGGCGAGGTGTCTCCACGCTGGCCAGAAGGTCGATCGACAGCAGAGGGGGAGGGGGGAGGGGGAGAGAGGGGGGCGGCTCCGGGCTGGTGGCCGTGTCAGGATGCTGATCCTGGTTGTTTGGTTGTGCTGCGTGCTCTTGCTCTTCGTCGTCGATTTGCATTTGTTCATGGTGGTCTCGCTCGTCATCAGAGTCGTCATTTCCGTCTTGCATCGGTGGCAGAGAGCGCACCTCGCGCACGCCATTGTTGGGGCGTTCTCCTCCGGCTTCTGTGTCGACCACCTCAATCGCCGCCTGTTGGGTCGTTGTCGGCCTCCTCTTCTTCACAGCCGCCCACTCGGTCTTGGCGATCGCCCGGACCCCATGGCTGCCAGCCGCGCATTTGGTGCCGTCGAATGAGACGTAGAATGTCTCCGTGGCCTTGGCCATGATAGTCTGGCTGACAGGGTAGATGGAGAAGGGCAGCGGTGTGGGTGGTGCTTCCATGTCTGGCGGGTTGGCCTCGAAGGTGAGAGAGGGAGTTTCGCCGTCGGTGTTGATGGAGAGGGTGATGGGCGATCTGCGAAGGGAGGGGTCGTTGAAGGAGAGGAGGTCAAAGAGCTGCCACGCGACGCTCATCGGCCGACAGGAGGCGTTCTGGACCTGCGTGTGCATTCGGGAGTGGGACACATATGTGTTGTATGTGTCTCGCTCACTTTGAGTGTGTAAGTGGAGCGTCCTGCAGAGGGATCATGCACCAGCTCGGGAATATCGCTTTCCACGGAGGCAGCAACAGCTTTCTTCTTCTTGGCTGGCGCATGCACGTCGTTCTGCTTCACTACTATGCCGCAGTCGAGCGAAGGCATTAGAGACGACAGGTTGACGCCCACCTGCCCACGCCAAACGACCGGACATGTGTGTACGCATCTCCGTCTCTCTCTCTCTCTCTCTCTATCTTTGTGGTGTGCTCACTTGCTGTGGGGCGAAGAGAAGCGGCTTGCCGATGGCCTCAGACCTCACTGGCATACACCACCCCTCCTCTGTCTTGTCGTTGTAGGCGCCTCGTGACGGCCGCACGAGAGACACCATAATGTCGTCAGACAAAACACCAGGGATATCTGCGCAGGCACAGCATAGAGACAATGCATAAATGCGACCTGTGAAGGCATCTGTGTGTGTCCAGTTATACCAGCAAAGCAGTCGGCCACCACGTGGAGCGTCTCGAAGGGCTGCAGCAGTGCGTCGTTCGGTGTGAGTCTGACGGCGAAGCCCCGGCCGTCCTGCAGGGCGCTGCGGCGCTCATCCTCCGCGTATTGGTGCTCACGGTGACGCTGACATAACCAACAAACGCACCAATAATCAGCAGGACAATAAGCAGGAGGCCCTTGCGGTGTCTGCTCCGCTTGTGTGTGCCTGACTCACCCGCCCTTCAGGTGAGGAGAAGGAGAACATCTCGTGTCCGCTCGACAACAATTTCACTGCGGCACAAAGACACATTGCGTGTCGTCCATTCTTCGGCCTTGTCACATCACCCACCAGCAGTTGCCTGTTTGGGTGCTCCCCTCCCCGCCACTGTTGATCGCCATGTGCCACCACTCCTCTGTGAGGGCGCCCCCGTTCGTGTCGGCGCCACTGCTGACGGAGCATTAGAGGTCGAGAAGGGGGAGATAGACACGGGAGACGTTGCAGGCTGGCCGAGGGGCGGCGGAGGGCCGCCCGGAGCCGAGTATGTTCGCATATTCAGCTGAGACATACACACGCGGAATTCTCTTCTTCTCCCGGGCTTTCAGTCTCGCATAGATGTGTGTGTACCTTGAGTGTAGCTGGGATGCCCGAGCGATTGGTGAAGACCAGCACCATTGTCTTCTTGTGCTCACCGCTGCCTTCGGCAGGCAGCATGTCTAAGGTACCGAAGTCAACCAGCTTCGCCGTCTCGTCGCCCACCACGCCACCTTCCCCAATCTTCTCGTTGGCCAATGACACGGCCGATAAGGCATAGCTCGTCGGGCTGGGTGATCGACTGGATGGGGGCGTGGGCGAGGGGGTGCGTGAGGGCGTGCGTCTCGTGCCGGCGGTTGTCCGTCTAGACTTGGTTGTGACTCTGGACGCCTGGCTGGCTGCCCTTGCCTGCGACTGCTGCGCGATCTCGTTGAGGAGGGCTGTGAATGTGGGGAGGGGCACAATGCGATAATGGACTTCTAGCCCACGACATGGGGAAGACACCTGACCGGGCGAACAGAAGAGGAATCTTCGGATGTGTGTCTAAACAGCTGTGCCCGTCCTTCTTGTCGTCCTTACTTTCATCCAGAATGGCCTGACGAGGCCTTCAACAAGACAGCGACAAAGCCCCCCGACCATCGGGCCCACCACTCTGCCCATGACCACGGCCTTCACTTCGATGCTCTCCCGTCCTCGCACCTGCCCGGAGGCAGGCACGATCTGCACCGCCAGGCCGTCAGTGCTCGGATCGGTGGGGACGTCGTCGCAGTCGAATTGGCCCTCCTTGTTGATGCCTGGGCACTGCCATTGGAAGGATGCTGGGAGGTCGGAGTGGTTGGTGAGTGTGAAAGTGAGGGGTTTGGATGGCTGGTCGAGGTAGCATACGGGGAGGGAGAGGGAGGCGGGAGAACTGGTCAGCCTGCATGCACACATGGGTAGGAGGCGCTAGTGGTGAGTGGTGGCGTATGGCGGCTGGGAGCTTGGTTGTTTACTTTTGCAGCTGTACGTCAGCAAAGACATCGAGCACAATGCGATCAGATTCGTCATCCGACATCCCAAACCAGTCCAGCTGAACGGGGACCAATGACATACGCACGTGACTGACCCGTCAGCAACCTACTGGTGACCCTACCTTGACAGTGGAGGCATACAGCCCGATGAGGTGTGTCATGAGCGTGACATTCACCACAGCCTCGCCTTCTGGCGGGACGATCACCCAAGACGGAGACACCCTTACGCGCTCGTTACCACCACCACCCTACACACCACAACACAAGAGATGGTCTCGTACGGAACCCACTCTCTTGCCGCACGTACCTTGTGTCTTCTCCCTGTCCGGTCTACACATCCGCACACCCCACACACACCAGGGTATCCCTGTTCCTCCTCTGCTTCTGTCTCGATATCCGTGTCTGTTTCGTCGGCAGCGTGGCATTCGCCTCCGTGAAAAGCCTCGACAATTGCCGCATGAGACGTGTATGGCAAAGGCGGCAAAGGCGGTGGAGACGTTTGGCACTGAGGCACGATGCGGGCGAGGGCAGGGAGCTTAGTGGGGTTGTCGAGAGTGACTGCGCAGTGATGGGCCGAACGAGCCGGCACCTGAGAAGACAGAGGCCGTGAGAATACGATTTGCTGTTCGCTGTGCTTGCCTACAATGCCAAAGTTAAGCATTGACGGCTCCTTGACTCGAACCACAGGACCCCCAACCTCAACTCGGACACCCACAGTCAAGGGCTGACCACCATCACTCACATCAGCCACCAGCTCGCCAGAGAAGACCCCTGTCTCGTAGGCAGCCACGCTCACACACACCTCCCTCGTAGCGTTACCCGGGATCACCAGATGGGATGGCGACACCGATATGATGGCGAAGAAATGCGGTGTCGGGTGGGTGTCGGTGGCCTGCCCTGGGATGATCACGATCGGCTTGCCATCCTTGCCGTCTCTCTGTGCGGCCGTGTTGGGGATGATCGCGCCAGATTTGAACGCGGCTTCTGCTGGGTATGCAGAGGGATTGCAGAGGGAGACGTGGGCGGTGTGGGTGATGAAGGGAAAAACCGGCGGGAAGAACTCGATTGTGGGCGGCGAGACGGTCAGCAGCGGACGGGCAGAGGAGCCAGAGAGGCGAACAAGGGTGAGAGACGAGGCAAATAAGGCACGATCACCGTCACCGTCGTCTTCTCTTTGCGCATCGGTTCCCCACAGAGGTATCCCGCCATCGACAGATCTCCCCTCCTCCTTCTGCAGATGCAGCAGGTCGTTCAGCGTCAGCAAAGACTCCTCTGTAATCCCAACGGCTTGCAGAAGAGCCACCGCGAGATCCGGTTTCGGCCTTGACCGATCATCGGCATCGCTCTCCGGTGCGTAGCTGAATGTGAAGGTCTGGCTGGCGCCCGGCTGCAGCGTCACCTTCATGGGCAGGATCTCAAATGGCAAGGAGGGCGACTGCTGCCATTTCTGGATCTCGGAGAGGAGGGAGACTGGGAGGGTGAGTGTCATGGGGGATATAAGGGAAGCCGCGACGTGTTCGGGAGGCGATTGCAGCGTCCATTTGAGGGATATGGGGAGGGAGGCGGCGTTGAAAAGAGTCATCTCGTGGGAGTCGGCCGCACCAACCTGAGGAGACAGAGACACGTACATGTGGACGCCACTCGTTGGAAAGGCTCTGCTCACCCGCACGTTTGGAAAGTCCAGTTGCCAGGGCAGCGACCTCCATGCCAGCACGTCGGAGGCGGGCATGCCACCCTCATCAGCATCTGGCAGGGCCTCCTCTTCTTCAAGCGTGCGCCAATGAGAGGCGAATGAGGAAGCTGATCGCGGTCCCGAACACAGCACTGTCATGTCTCTGCCTCTCTGTCTGTCGTCTGTCTTTGCCCAACTTCTCACTCACCAAGGCATGGTTTTTCGGCCATGTGTGTGAGCTCGACCCGCATTGCTTCGGTCAGTGCCCTTATGTCAATCTGCCACCGCTGTCCGTCGTCACTCACTACATACAGCACCTCCTCATATGGACCGACCTCAGTGCCCCTGGTGCCGCACATTCACAGACGTTAGCAGGTATTGTTGCTGTAGGTGGATCGATTTCGTTGTGCACTGATCCACCTGAATGTTGTGTGGAGCGTCACTTGTTCGTCCCGCTTGACCGAGAAGCGCCTCGGCGTGACGGAGAATGCGCCAACTTCCAGAGGAGTCGCCGCATCTTCGCCCTCAGCCTCTTCGTCCATATCATCGTTTTCCTCATCTCCCTGACCGATCTCATGCGCCATCTTGAGACAGAAGTCTGCTGTGCCGCCAGAATTGCGGCATGTCAAGCTGGAGAAAGACAAAGAGACACAGGTGGATGACATGCAACAGGATCTCTTCACTCACGTGTGGTTGATCGTTGTGCCGGCCAGCGTGTTTCCGCAGTCGATGAGGCCGCTGCCATTCCATTCCGACCCGCCTCTGGCAGAGGTACCACCGCCGGCAGCAGCAGCGTCAGCAGCAGCTGCGGCGAACCGGAGTAAGGGCAGGTGTCTCCTTGCTCGGACAACCAAAGGAAACTCCCCCTCCTCCGTGTGGATGGTCAGCTGGTCGTCGATGTCCCTTATCGATGTCGGGCAGAAACGCACCTCTATCTGCACCCATACATCCAAACCAGGCACGGACACGCATGGCTGGACGAATGGATCGATGAGTTCAGTCAACTGACCTGAGCGGTCAATCCGGGCGCGACCACACCCTCGCAGCTCTGCGTGTTGGTGTTGGTATTGAGCTGTCTGAGCAAGGTGATGGGTGTGATGGTGAAGTGGGGCATGGACGAGGGCATGACGCGCAGCCGCCTGCCGACGGCCGACGTGTTGATGAACTTGACTGGGATCGAATACACGCCGCCTATCTCGAAAGACCGGAACGTCTGGAGAATGACAAACATACATCCATCCATACTGGGTGTGATCGTGGACACCGTGTCTCTTACCACAACATTCGGCAGCACGGTGAATGGGCACCTGCCTTGGCCGTCGGCCTTCTTGTATCGCGGGTTCTGGAGGAAACTGATGCGCTTGTTCATCCGTCGCAGGATGTCCTGGTTGGCCTTGAGGTCCTCGGGACGCATCGTGGGCTTGATCTTTACCCGCTGTCTTTCCCTCTCTTGCACGTTGGCCGCCAGTGTCTCTCGCCGCTCGGCAGTGAGGCTGATAAACCATATACACACATCTGTCTGACCGTTATGCGTGTGTGCGCGTGTGTGTGTGTCCCTTCTCTACACGCGTACGTCTTCCGTATGTTTCTGGCCTGCATGCGAATGAGGATCGATCCCGTCGGTTTGAGGTAGGTCGGCTCGGAGGGCCGTGCCCTCTGCAGGCAGTCGGCGTGCTTCCACAGAACTCCCTGGGATATCTCTATCTTCTCCAGCTCGTCCCTCATGACGTCTGATGGCAGGATTAGCCTCTTCTCCGCAACCTTGTCCCCCTCCACATCCAGGAGTCTAGTGAACTCGCCGTCGCCGATTGGGTACTGTGCTCTGAGCTTGAGACCTTCTGCTCGCACTCTCTCGTCTGTCTCTTGGTCGGCTAGGTCAGCTTCTTTCTTCTTGGCGTGGAGCATGGCTTCCATCTCGCGCAGGGACTGAATGGTGCCGGTCATCTCGTCGCGAACGGCCTGATTGAGGTCAGGACAACACAGTGGTCACCATCTGCTGCAACTGTGCAATGGGGGATGCATGGCTGACTCACCTGTAGCATGGTCTCCTCCACTGAAGTGGCGACCTCCACCCTGGTTTCCTCCTTGTCCTGTTCCGCCTCCTCTGCTTCATCCCCTTCCCCGGCTTCCTCCCCCTCTTCCTCTCCCCCGCCCGCACCGGCCTGCTCCTCTGACACATCCTCCGGCTGGTACAGCTCCTTGAATGCATCCTGGAACAGCCGACGGGCATCCCCACGAGCTGGCTCCATCTCTCCGTTGTCGGCGCCCATCTGAAAAGGCAGATCATGGCATCGCATGTGTATGGTAGGCCGTCCCTTTTGATACGGGGCAGGCGGCGTACTATGTTGAGCTAGTATTCGATCTCGACAAACCAGTCTCTGTATTCCACCTCGTATCTGGGAATGTATCTGGGAGAGGGAGGAGAGAGAGAGAGAGACAGACAGACAGAGTGCAGTGCATGTACGTGGTTGGCACTACGCCGATGTCCGTGCTCTTCTTGGCCGTCCGCTCACCTGATGATCTCCTTCTCAAAAGATTCTAGGCTGGTAGACGGTTCGCCGGCGGACGACAGGCACCTCCCTGTATCTGGGCACACGTTGTCAAAGAAAGCTCTCTGTGCCTTTCTAACACCCCTCTGCAGTGCACGGCCGTTTCTCACTCACATGATGCGTTCGTAGACGGGGATAATCTGTAGCAAGCGCACGCACACACACAGACGTGTCCATGCACAGACCCCACGTGGTCTGCAGGGTGCTGGCACTCACCACAAGCGTCGGGACATGAATGGGCTGGACTGGGTGAGGATACATGTACATTGGCTGTGGGTAGTGATCATACGTTGGCCGCACGAAGCTGGCTCCCATTGCGTCGAAGTTCAAGTTGTCCAATTGACGTTTGAAGTTGACGGCTTGGCGGGGGCGCGAGCTCGCCCCCCCCGCGATCTGCATGCGCATCGGCAAGCTCAATTCCCTTCGGTCCCTTCAAGTTCGCGTTGTATTTGTTTTGGAATATGTTTTGGAATCGCGGCGTCCCCCTGTTTTGCTGCACTGAGAACACCATGCGGCGAAGGGACAGGCTTACGAATGGGCAGGTACGGCGCAATCGCACAATCATGGACAGAGAACGAATGGACACCCTGACGTTTGTGCGTCCTCACTGGCAGTTGGAGGGTGTTGTTTTGGACTGCAACAGAAAGGGCATGGAGCTCCTGCGAAAAGGTTCTCTCGAACACGAGCACACACACTGGCCTCTTTTCCCCTTGTGGTCCTTTCTTCCATCTCAATACAGGCAAGCTTGATGTCGCCTTTAACAAGCTCAAGCAGGCTGAGACGCTGTTGGCGGAGGCAGGCGCCCCTCCCCCACCCCCTCCGCCCGTTGCCCTCATCAAGCAGGGGGGCGACCTCTGGTGGAATGCCAAGGCGCCTCCTGAACCGATGGACCCAGCCGCCGCCGTCAAGCTGCTTGCCATTACCTTCAACAATCTGGTGAGTTGCCAAATAACTAATGTCAGAAGACGCCCTTGGTCATGCATTGTGTCTGTCTGATGTGCAGGGTTGCTTGTACAAAACGTCCAAGAAGTATTCGTCAAGTCTCGAGTATTTCCGGCAGGCGATTCGCCTTCAGCAGCAGTCGTCTGCGGATGTATGCACACTTGCCGGCACCCATCTCAACATATCTGCCATACTGTCGAAACTCCACAAGTACGTGACAGAAGACAGAGGTAGACTTCTGCATCATCTGTGCCTGGTCACTCACACAGACACGACAAGGCTCTCCGCCACGCGTCGACCGCTCTCACTATCGCCAGCCACCGATTGGCAGCCCTGCAGCAGGAGTCCATCCCCCCGTCCCAGGACGACATCACGACCATGGCCATCGCCTACCACAATGTGGGGGTTGAGAAGGAGTATCTGGGCCAGTACGGCGAGGCCACGCTCTTCTTTGAGAAAGGAAGGCACGTGGCCAGGGAGGGACTCGGTGAGGACCACCCGCTCACCGTCGCACTGGGCAAGAACCTCGACGAGATGGAACAGCGTGCGTCGTCCCCTCCCCCCGCAGCGTCTCCTTACCTGCCCCCGCGCACCCGCTCCCCAACACGCAACAAGCAGCACCCACGCAGGAAGATGCCAAGAAAGGAGCGGCCAAGAAGTCACGAAGATGACGCGGCCCTTGAGGTGCCGCTTGAGCGAGCGAGGAGGCTGTTCCATGCGTATGGTCTGAAGCAGAGGGACAGCAGAGAGACAGCCCCGCTGCGATCGCCGTCGGACTATCTGCCTGGCTGCCGTTCGTCCTGGAACGAAGGGGAAGGCCTTCGGCGGCCTCCAAAGTCTGTTTCGCCCACTACCCCGCCGAAGGCCTCGCCCAAACAAAGGGTGAGATGGGAAAGCACAAAAAGGGAAGGCCGGGCCCGTTCAGGGATGTTTGTGTCGTTGAATGTGTCGGTCGCGCAGGGTTTGAAGGGCAAGCGTGGGTACCGCTACGCCATGGGCTCGACATACCGGCCATCACCACAAATCACAAACGCTGTGCTATCGGGAATGCGACAGCCACAGGTGCGTGACACCATCACGTCGATCTACACCCGCCTGCATCCACACCCCTCTATGTCTTGTCCGTCGATAGGCCCGTCCCGCTTCCTCTCCCTCTCCAATTCGGCCGCCCACTGCGTTGCCCCTCACGCCACCATCGCCCTCGCCGATGCTCGATGTTGACGTCGAGATAAGTGAGGGCGACTTGCGGCCACTAAGCAGGGGTGAGACGCCGCTCATGACTCACAGGGGAGAGGAGAACGAGCAGGTCATCGCGGCCAGTGGCCGAGAACTGCCCGTGCTGCCCGACAGGCCGTATAGGTACGTAGAATTGACATGTGGCGGTGCCCAGACATGCACACATCCTATCCTATTTCAAACAGTCGCATCAACTTCTACTCCCCAGACGACCTGCAGCCTCTTGACGAACCGACACGGAGACGGCCGGGTGACGAGCTGTCGGTCGTGGCGGAGGAACCGCAAGACGCGTCAGAAAGAGACGCCACAGGTGGCCGGCTGCAGCTTCCCACAATGCCGGGATCTTCAGCTTCACATGTAGGCCTAGTGTGAAGTAACGACAGTATCTGCGATCCACTGCTCTTTTCCTTGCAGTCAAGTACCATGACCCCTCGGCCTCCTCCCATCTCAAGTAGGCATTCGGCGAATGAAGAGACTTTGCACACGCGCAAACACATACCTTTCTGTGAGGTGGCTGTGACTGGTGTTTCAGAGCCGTCCGACCATCATCACACCTCGAGCCCTCGGCTGAAATACATTCGCAAGTGGGCGGCAACGCGGATACAAACGGCCTGGCGATCACGGCAGAAGGATGATGACGCGTCTCCACTGCAAGCGTGAGACACCACCATTGCAACACAGACGGCAACTGGGCACTCCGTTTCTGTGTCATGCATGCAGGAAGCACCCAGATTCCCTGGCAAAGCACCGACCGGTGACGGTCATGCCAAAGCGTGGCGAAAAGCTCCACGGCGCCGCGCTCCCTCCGCGTGCCGCATCGCCGCCTCTCAAACGCACACAAGAGCCACATAAGCCAGCACCAGCTGTGACTGATCAGAAAGCGCCCAACGGCCGCTCTGCGAGACGTGACTCCATCGCCACGAGGGAGGCAGCCAAGAGAAAAGAGGAGGAGGCCAAGAGACAAGACGAAGCGGCGAAGAGGAAAGAGGAGGAGGACAGAAAGCGAGAGGCGGCCCGTCTGCTCAAAGAGAGGCAGGAGAAAGCGGCGATCGAGGTGCAGCGTCACGCTCGCGGACGGATGGCCAGACGGTCCATCGAAAAGATGAAGCAAGACGAAGCAGTTAAGAAAGACCAGCACGAGGCTGTGAAGAGGGACGATGCTGCGAGAAGGATCCAGCGTCAGATGAGACAGCGCAAGAAGCGCCTGGAGCTGAGGCCGCGACCTGAGGGCGAGTGGAACGACAAGCACTTCTGGCTCCAGACGGAGATAGGCGAGCTTGAGAGGCAAGTCAGGGCCGCCCGCATTATACAGAAGAATGAGGTACATAAAGGAGAAGCGACACACGTCTATGTGTATGTAAGAACCCGTCTGTCGTGTTTTCTGCTCCCGTCAGCGGCGAAGGTCGGCACAACAACGCTACGCAGAACTGAAGCGAAAGAGAGAAGAAGCAGCAATTCGCTTGCAAGCGTGTGAGAGAGGCCGACAGGCGAGACGGCTCACGTCTGACATCAAAAAGGAACGAGCGGATGAAGTCAAACAAGCGCCAATCATTCAGAAGACTGAGACGGAGCAGCCATTAAGAGACATGAATGAAGAAGCTGTGCAACCGGCGCACGAGGAAGACCAGCCAGCTGCCGCAGAGGTTGAGATCACTTCAGTGGAGGAACATGAAGCCATTGGCGGCGCACATCATGAGGAGGTCGAGGAACCCATCACTCCCGACGCCGCTGTCCGTGCATACGTGGGCGACCTCACCAAAAGCCTGTCAGCCATGCCGGCGGACCAAGACAGACACGACGAGGATATTTCGCGCACGGCTGAAGATGAAGAAACTGCTGCGGCGCAAGAAGCGCCACAGGAAGAAGCGGCCGCCCTTCCCGTCCCTGTCACGTCGTCCGCCGCTGAATTGGAAGCCAGCTTCGCCGCGCAAGAGTATGTCCCTCATCTGATCCAACACGTGTCGAGCAGCATAGCTGGGAGCCCACGAGCGGCCGATCGACCAGCAGACGAAGGCGAGGAGGACCAGCCTATCGAGAGCAAGGGAGAGGATGTCGACACACACGAGGAGGTGAACGCCGAGGCCTCTGAAGAGCAAGCCCAAGATGAGCATGACCATGAACAGCAGGCACAAGGCGATGTCGACTTGCACAAAAGATCGGAGGGCGAAAAAGGAGAGGAAGACATCCAGCAAGACACTCAAGAGGAGACTTTGGACGAAGACGGGGATGAAAGGCATGAGTTGGGCGATGCAGGCGGAGACATGCCGGGCGAGGCCCAACAGGAGTGCAGCCAGCAAGACGAGCCTTCCCCCGCGTACCAATCAACCCCGCAAGCTGAAGCTGAGGAGACCGAGGCCGAGGAGACCGCCGACGCCGACAAGGGCCCGCCTGTGCACAGCGAGACACAAGATCTCACTGCCGCCATCCTCACGGTGCAGAAACACATCAGAGGCCACCAAGCTCGCCGGCGAATGTCCGCCGTGCTTGCGTCGAAGGTGCTGGGCAGCAGCTGGGAGGCCAGTCAGAACCAGCTTGCAGAAGAAGAAGAAGCAGCAAAGAAGATTCAGGCCGCTCTGAGGGTCCGGCTGGCTCGCAAATCTCCGTCAAGTGGAAAAGGTAACATCCTCGCAGTCAAGAAGGTGGACCTCAACGAGTCCGTCGTGCTTCCACGAGCTCCTCGAGGTTCCATTGCCTTCCAGCAGATGCCCTCTGATTTCAACATGTCCATCGCCCCAACGCGCGCACCGAGAGGGTCCATGGTGTACCAGCAGATGCCTGACCTGAGCCAACAGCCACAGCACGACCCCGAAGACAGCCAGCCGGAAGAAAGCCGGCAGCGGTCGGAGGAGATTCTTTCTGTGGAGGATTCATATGCAGATGACGCCGACACAATCCTTGACCAAATGAGGCGCAGCAGCATAATGCTGACGGGCGCACGAAGCGCCTATCGGATAGAAGCCGACGAGGTCGACGACGCGGCCCCTCCTCCCCTGTTCCTGTCTTCCACAGACAGCGACGAACAGGAGGCCGACTTGTTACGGCATGGGTCATCACTGGAGCAGTCGGATCAACATGGCGGAGACCAGGGTGAAGGAGACGATGAATCAGGTATACGTGAGAAGAAACCCTGCAGAAGATACAGATATCGAGACATTCTCCCTTGACCCAGGCATGTGGGATGAGATGGCAGACAATGACGCCCCGCATGACGCTTCCGGCGATGGTGAGGCCGCACCCGACGAGGAACAGCCAGATCTTGCACAGTCGTTCCACAGCAGCGACCGAGCATCATCTCGCAACTCCAACCGACGCTGCTCCATCCAGGAGCGGAAGCCCCCCAACATCGAAATCGATGTGGACGCCATCATCGAAGACGCGGACCTCCGCGACTCCCGACGCTCATCCAGCGTGCTCTCATCACACAAGTCATCGCCCAAAATGGAGAGGAGCAGCAGAAGCCTTGAAGGGTCGGGTTTGTCTGGCAGCGGACCTGACGACAGGAAGCCGCCAGGGCGCCAAGACACATCTAATACGGGCACGTCCGACAGCTCGGAGGTCATCATGAAGGCCGAGACCAACATGAGACGGGTGTCTATCTCGGTGGATCTTGCCACCCTTGCTCACCTGCGACAGGGGCCGCGAGGCTCAACCGCAGGGTTCTTTGTAAAGGAGCTTTCCAAGGCTGCTGCTGGCCGCTTGGCTGGCTCCAACATGGGCGGTTCGCAGATGACGGGGTCACAGCATTCGCAAGGCAGACCGGTGATGCCTCCCAAGTCCCCCACGTCTCCTGACCTTGGAGCAGATGAGAGAAGGAAGATGCTGGGAGAGTGATCTCCGCCCTTTTTCTCGGTAAACCATAGAGACTAGACGGTGCTTCTACGTTGGCACGAGAGAACGTGTATCGTTCTCCATCTTCCAGCCTTGCAATGCGTCAAACGGCCTTTGCATGGCTTTGCATGGCGCTGCACGGTTCTTTTTCGGTTCATGTTCGTAAGGATTTTGCGTGGCTTGTTGCATGGAGACCATGAGTACGTGTGTGCATTCGTGACGCGTCGATCCCCGTGGTGCATACGTGTGGGGACTGCCAAACAGGCAAGCCATTCAAGCCATGAATACCTTGTCCAATGTTCATTTGCAGCAAAAACGGACGGACACATAGACCAGGCACAGGCAAAGGCTATATATTGCTACAGGACCCTTCTGCCAGGCAGACAACTGCAGAGGCCACAAGCATACAACAAGGGCAGCAACAGCCATGGAAACTGTATGCAAATCCCCCAGTCTTACCCAGATAGATGGATGGTCAGCCAGTGCCAGAGGCCACAGAAGCGTTGAATGCGGCAGCGTCCTCCTTCGACACTTGGATGACAGACTTGGTGACGGGATGCTCCCACTGGGTGTGGCCCGTCACCTCGTTGAAGTAATACGCTCGCCCCTCAGTGTCGAAAAACTGTTGCCAATCCGTCCCAGCCAACAACGCCTAATTGATGACAAACACAGACGCATGCAGAGCAGGCCCCACTGCAAACCACATTGCAGTGGTGTGCACGCGAATGCCCTTGTTCCCTGTCAAGCTTACGGCCTGTTCCTGCGCCGCTGCGAGGCTCTTGAGTTTCTTCTTTTTTCGCTTTTCTCTCTGTCCCGGCGAGCATGCATACGCCACCACCAATATGACCACCAGCCCCGCCAGCACGCCCCCAATAATGGTCAACATGGAGGTGGTCTTGGCCTTCCTGAGGCCCTCGACAAAGGATAGGACGGCCTGCCGGGCCCCGCTGCGATGCTGCTGTGTGTGCAGGTACTTCCTCTCGCTGGTCATCGCGGCGTGGGGGGCCACCCACTGCTGCTGGTGCTGTGTGCGATGCTGGTGCACATCACTGATGCGATTGCGGTTCACCACGGCTGATGAGAGGGGGGGAAGGCTCAGCAGGGTGAGGAGGAGGCCAATGCAAAGTACTCTTAGCGCCCACGGAGGGAATGTCGATTGGGTGGGCACACTCTCCATCCGGGCATGCCTTGAGAGGCAATCAAGCTGCAGAGAACGACGACTAGGCTTCACTGCGATTGAGAAGGGTACCGAAGGGAGAAAGGCATGGAGAAAGGGGCCGTGCCCCCACGACGCGGGCCATCTCTAGCCCAAACTTCTATTGGTCTGCGACGTTTGGCGTGGCTGATCTGACCCGTTCCTTTCATCTATGTCGTCTACGAGCACCATGAATTTCCAAGCGCACAGCAAGCACATGTCTCTCAGCCCGCTGTCTATGCACAAGCTGCATGAGGAAGAATGCATAGATGTACAAATAAGTATAAGAGAATGAATGGCATGCATTGAATCAAAATAGCCAGGCCCGAGGCCATGAACACACGACAGGCACAACGCCCAGAAGAGACGAGGCAGCCATCTATTCACAGCGAGAAACGAACACACACCGGCCAAAACGAGACAGTCAGGCAGGACACTATCCTTGTCTACTTGTCACAGATGGCAGAACCATCCATCCATCGGTGTATCTATTAGGCGGCAGCATTGCAGCACACATGAATGCCGTACTCTCGCAGATAGACCAGCTTCCCTTCACCAAAACACTCCTTCTGCAGTGGTGCGTAATCGTATGTCACACACTTCTGCTCATTAGCGGCGTCATACGAATAGCCAGAGGGGCAGTAGTACCTGCACAAGAAGACAGACACCATTGCGTGCTTGACGGGATCGATGGCGCGACAGCGGGGCTTTCCTCACCTCTTGTCGGCGTATGTTTTCTTGAAGCACTTGGAATTGTCCTCAGTCGGCTCATACGCATCAGGGCACTTGTAGTCGATAGCGTAGACCTTGTCGACCACACACTTGCCGCCTTCGAGCACGCCGTCGTTGCAGTATGGCTGCTTCTTCGCGTAGTGGACGGTTTGGCAGCCCATGTCCGTCAGCTTCGTGTGCTGAACAGATGGAAACGCACAAAGAGAGGGACATGCACGATTTGCATGAGCTGGGAGAGGCGCGTGACTGTTTTGTCTTCCAGGCTCACCTCAGGGCAGTAGTATGCCAGATCGACGTACTCATACTTGACGCACTTATCCGTGCCATCGGTCAGCTCATAGCCTTCCACACACCTGACCTTCTTCTCCTCGTATCCGACGGCGAAGCATTTGGTCTCGTCATCAGTCAGCTCATACCCGTCAGTGCACTTATACTCGACACCAGAGTGTGTCTTGCCGACGCAGAGGCCCTTCTCACCATCCAGCTCATACCCATCAGTACACTCGGCGATAGCCTTGACTGTCTTGGTCTCGCTGCAGTGCTTTTGCGTCTTGACATTTCTGCCGTCTGTCACTGCCTCGAAGCCGCACGGCTGTGTAATGGTGGTGATGCACTCGTCTTTGATAGGATCGAGAACGGAGAGGTCCCCGCCGCAGCGGTAGCTTGGGCGGAGGAACTTCTCGACGACACACTTATCGCCATCTACATAGCCCTCCGAGCAGACGGGTTTTTTGTCATCATATGTGATGGCCTTGCAGCCCTCCTCGGTGAGCTCCGTGTGCTGCAACAGACGGATAATAAGAATGGACGTCAGAGTGACCACAAACAGCGCTCCTCCTGCGGTGTTCCTTCCCTGCTCACCTCTGGGCAATGGTACGTCACTTGATCAAATGCCTCCCTGACGCACTTCTGCTTGTCGTCAGTAAACCCATAGCCCTCCGGGCACTTGGAGAGCTTCTCGTGGTAAGTCGGGGTGTAGCACTTGGTCTTGTCGTCGGTCAGATCGAAGCCATAGGGGCACTTGTACTCCTTCACGTCGACGATGTCCTTGTCAACGCACTTGAGGCCGGAGAACTTGCCCGTCTTGCAGTAGGGCACCTTCTTGGCGTACTTGTACTTGACACAACCATCATCTGTGCTCTCCATGCCCTGCACCCGACACACACGAACACAAAATAGCAGGGAGGGTAGCCAAAAGAGTGTCGGTTTGAGGCAGGGAACTGTGTAAGAGGTCTGAGAGGCCTTACCAGTGGGCAGTATGTGTATGGCGTGGTGTAGCCCATCTTGACGCACGTGCCGCCCCTCTCGTCATAGCCGTAAGGACACGGGTAGTGCACCTCCTCCCTTGCCTCATAAGGGCAGCTGTCACCATAGCTCGACGGATATTGAGCCGACACACCCACCGCAGCAGCAAGAAGGATGAGGCTTCCGCACTTCATTTGCACAGGTGGGATGCGATGAGATGGTGGATCTGGACCAGCCGAAGAGAGATCAGATCAGCAGCAGCAGATGGAATGAACCGTCCAGATGAGGGCTGATTTGATGAGTCTGGAGATGGCAGCTCTGCGTTGCTCCGCCGCTTGTCCTCCAGCCCCTCGTCATTGTCCTTTGCTCCTCTCTCCTCTCACGCGTCGAGAATCGCGCGAAATTCGCGAGCTTGAGACAAGACGTTTTTTTTTGTTCCTTCTTTTTGGTTTTCCTCGTCCCTGCTTGTTCCCAGCCAGCTCTCTGTTTTTCTCAGACGCCCTGCTCACAGGCGACTTCTGGAAGGCGCAAGACCTCGTATTGGTCGCTCGGGATGGCACACCGATGAAGGTGGACAACAACCACGACCACCCAACGCCGAACCATCCAACGCCGAACTGCTCCGCGGCCGCCCCTGCCCTGAGAAAAGAGAAGGAGCCGAGAAAGCGAAGACGACGTGTCGTCTGGCCTACCTTAAGGCCTCAAGACGACGTGCCCGACGCCGCATCATCCACGACGACGACGGAACAGAGGATGCGGCCTTTCTAATCAGGGGATGTTCAGGAAGAAGCGAAGAAGACGCGCCCGTGTAGGCACCGTCGACAACGCCGCCGTGCCGCCGTCGTCCCGACATGGACCGGCATATTCCTGCTCAGATGAGGACTACTATCTCTGCCGCCTGCAGTCGCGGTAGGTGCGTGCGCACATCCATTGCTAGCCGCACACACATGAACTCAGGGAGGCAAGAGAGATTTGAAAGATCTCAGTCGTGTGTGCTTGGGCAGGCTCGCTGTTTTTGTCGGACGCCTCCGCCGGCCCCGGTTCACTCGCCAGATCATCCATCACCCAACATCCTTGCCAGTGCACATCCTTCCCTTGTGCACATCGAGCGGTTGATTGAAGACGACGAGCATCTGTTTATCCTGATGGAAGAATGCAGCGGGATCGACCTGATCCACTACATCCCCCAGGCCGTGCCGGAGGCAAGGGTGAAGGGTATCATGAGGGATGTCCTTTCGGCAGTCCGGCACCTTCACGCATGCGGCGTGAGTGAATTGGGATGCATAATGATACAGTGAGCGCACATTCTTTTGTTTCCCTTTTAGGTGTGCCATCGAGATATCAAGGGATATAATTTGTGTTCAAAAGAGGCGAGATCGAGGCTAGGCTGCTTGATTTTGACCTGGCCATCTTCGATGGGCGCAGGAGGGGTTGCCTGGCACGCGGCCATATATGGTGAGCGCCGGTGGCCTGTATACTTTTATCTGCTTCTTCATCTGTGATCCAGGCACCGGAGTGCTTCATGGGGGAGTTTACACAGAAGACAGACACGTGGTCCATGGGCATTGTGCTGTAAGTGATGAAACCATACGCACACCTTTATATGGCGTATCCATCTGTCTTCTGTGTGTCCATAAAGGTATTATCTTCTGCGGCTACCGGCCGTTTGATATCCCTGGCGGGCTGCGGGATAACGAGATAATTGATACGTGAGCCAGCAGGTAACAGAGTATTCAATCTCTCACGGCTTCTGAACCCCTCCCATTTTGTATCTGATACAGAAGTCCAATTTCTCGCAACCACCACCAGCGTGTTCTGACAGCGTGCTTCCATTAATCAAGCAGCTGCTGAGTTTCGATCCAAACAACAGGCCAAATGGTAGGAAAGGATGACCTACAGGACGAGGAGGGTAAGGTCGCGCTGGCAGATGAACAGCACGTACGCCACACAGACTTGCCAGCATGTGTGTTGGCATACGTCGGTGTGTCTGTCTGCATTGGTTCAGTCGACCAGTGGAGCGATGCACGAGCAGCCGCAGGCCTTTGTCAAGACCGAGCAGTCATAGGACTACGGTCACGACGCACACGATTGGGGCGATCGCCACTACCGCCAGCACAATCATGCAGCAGGTCAGTCGCAGCCAACACACACTGCACATCGTTCCTTGCAGCAGGTGGTTGGTACTCTTGTCCCTCCCTGTCTGTGTGTATTGTGTTGAGAAGGTGGAGGGGCGGGGGCAGGCGAGCAGCTGGGACCGTATCAGCATCAGCCGCATCAGTATCATCAGCAGCATGACCTGTCGTGGGGCGAGTACCGTCGCACGAATTTCTATAGCCGTGCCGCTGCCTGGAGTTCATCGACGGTAAGCGAGCCAGCCGGCAGATGTGTTACACACACGTGTGTGCAACGACCCCATCTGTGCGTGTCCACCTTCAGTCACACTGGCCGACCTGCTGTCCAACGAGGGCCCTCAGCCGACAATCGTGTTGGCTGATCGCCATCGGTGTGCTGGACACCATGAGGAAGTTGATGGACGCATACCTTGTTCATGGCGACATCCACGTAGGTTTTGAACGGACAAACAAATACAAATCCACGATTGTGTGTCTCTTTCTAGGCACACAACGTCGGTCTGAGGAGAGAGGCCCTTCGCCGCCTCGATGCGGTTCTCCTGGACCGCCTTCGCCACGACCCTGCCACTGCACAAGGCGCGGCACAACGCATTCGAGTCGACGCGGTGAGCGACTGAGGTGTGCCCACGTTTGATGCGCGTATGTGTGCCTATTTTTTGCTTTCAGGGCCAGGGATCAACGACAGTCGACGCCGAGCGGGATGCTTGGTGTGCAGCTAAGTGCCTCTACGAGCAGATGAGGCATTTTCCCGCCAAACGGCTGGTCAAGTGCCTGAGGGACCTCTGCAAGCAACTCGACAGCTTCTCCGAGCGGACCACAAGACAACACGATGACCGCCTGCATATCGAGCAGATCATCGATACGGTCCGTGTGTAACAAATACGTGTGTAACATGACGGAGCAAATATCACTTTCTCCTTTTGTCCGCCTGTTTGTTGCATACAGACCATTGCACAGCTGAAGGCGGGCCGCTGTTGCTGCAGGAAGCGGCTCCATCGGCCCCAGCAGCAGCAGCGGCCACGGCCGACACCAACACGGAGGACGTGATGCTCCGCATACACGCCAAGGAGGTCGTCTGGGATTTCACGGTAAGTAAGTGAGCAGACCCAGCCCAGCCCCGGCAACACAACCGGCGGCCGATCCATCGTGGTGCATGGGTTTGTGGTCTCTCAGTTGGCTCGTATGGAGCGCATCAAGTTGTTGTCGAAGCGTGCTGGCAAGTATGACGACGAGGATCTCGGCCCGCCGATGGAGCGGCGCCGCCCCGAGATGAAGGTCGACCCCGAACTCAAGCTCATGGGCGGCGGGGACGTCGCCGAGGAGGAGGTCTCGCCGCCCCCGATGCGTCATGAGGAGGTCGATGACGGCTGGGGCGACTTCGGGTGCGACGAGGAGGATGGGCCAGCTGGGGGGCCGCAGGAGCAGCACCAGCAGCTGCAGGGAGAGCTGCTGCCGCTGTCGCGGTCGCTGCTGCCTTCGCCCCGCCAGTGGCCCACCCGACTGAGACCACCGGGGCTCCATCGGGGGCTGCCCCGGCCCCTGTCACCCCAGGGGGAGTACCCGCTGAGGCCAATGCAGCAGGGGTGGGTGTCGCCCCTGTCGACGCCCCTGTCGACGCCCCCATTGAACCCCCCGCTGGTCTCGCCTCCCCACCCCCGAGACGCCTCGCCACCGGGTGCGCCCACCCTACGCGATACTACTCAGCCCCCTCACGCTCCCCCGGCCCCGCTTCATGACACCGCCCTCGAGGACCAGCAGCAGCAGAAGCAGCAGCAGCAGCTCCGAGGCGGCGTCGAGCAGCAGCAGCAGCAGCCGCTGCATACACAATAATGGCCAGGGAGGGGGTGAGGGAGTCGTTCCCACGCCGCCACCGGTGCATCATCACGATGTTGATGACGGCTGGGGGAACTTCGGTGGCGATGACGACTCCATCGGTGGTGATGCTGACAGGCAGGGTGAGCTATACACACACGCGCCCGCACTGTATGAGGCTTTATCCGATGAAATGTGTGTTCTTGTATCAGCGCTTGAGGCGATGCAGGAGCAGCTGGCACGCACCAGCCACATGTTGGGTACCACCCAGAAGCTCCTCAACCAGAGAGACAGAGAACTACAGGTAATCACACATGAACATACAGGCTCACTCACACAATCGGCACTCGTCTGTGTGTCTGTGTGTCCATTCACACAGGCGGAGCGATCCAGGAGTGCCCAGCTGGAGGAGGCCCTGACGGCCAAGAGTCGCGAGGTGGAGGAGGAGTGGGTAGTGCGGTGTGCTTGCTCCTCCACGCAGAGGAAGCAAGCATCGTTGCCTACATTTTGTATCTGTCTGTCTTATTCTCACAAAGGTCTCGGGCACTATCTCCACTAATCTCCATCGATTGAGATGGATGTTTGTGTTGTGGCCATGGGTGTCTGTGCTCGTGTGCGGACCGAGACTTGTCGTGGCCATCTGCCAACACTCATCATCAATTTCGTTGATGCCAGCGAACGGCAGTCAGTTGACCTCTCACACACACGCACACAGAGACTGACAGACAGGCAGACAGGCGATTCTTCCCCCAATTGTTGCGGCAAAAATGTCACTGTATTGTCAAGGCCCCATTCCCCTGGCAGATGGAGACACTCGATATCAACCGACCTTAACGAGAGGGAGCAGGCAGGGAACAACTAAGCCTCCCTGGCCCCCTCTCACCCTCCCTCCCGCCCCACCCACCCCTCCCGCCCACCCACTTCACCACACACCATTCATTCATTCATTCATTCTCCCGTTCATCCCCCAGCAATCAATGGCTCGGCCGACCGAAGGCAGACACTAGATATATCAATACCGTGTGTGCTTTGAAATCACTAGTCTGACCGAATGATGCATTCACATACACCACACACATACACACACACACACATCACATGACACGAATTCAAATCGGCTCACTGACGCACACACACACCCACACACATACAGACAGCGCACTCAACACAAAGAGCAAGTAAGTCAGCAACAGGAGGGAGGGAGGGAGGGAGGGAGAGGGAGAGGGAGAGACGACCAGTGGAGGCGCACACTGTCTCCATTGTGATGGACTGGGCGTGACCCGACAGTCTTCACACGTCCACCTTACGCGGCTGGGTGCGAGCTGGCGTCAATGGCATGCTCATCCATTGCTGCCGACTGACCCCCATCCACGTGAGGCAGACGAGTGAAAACACGAAACGCACACCTCACACAAGGACGTAGCAATTAAGGCATCAGCCAAGCATCACAGCCCCCACCGACCCGAGGATTGAAAACCTGTCTCAGTTATGTATGTGTATGTGTACACACACCACACATAATGCATGGAATGCTCCACGGCGCATCAGGGCGCCTCCCCTGCAGCAGATGCAGCCCCCCCTCCCGCTCCGCCTTCCTGGAACTTCTGCAGCTTCCTCTCGGCCAACTTGACCTCATGGTCGAGCTTCAGCTCCTTTGCCTGATCGACACACACATACATACACACACATAACAAGACAACACGCCATCCATCCATTCATCCATTCATCCATCCATTCATCACTAAGTACTGTGTCGCGCTAGACTGCACTCACCCGTCTGATGGCTTCCTTGAGCCCGTCCTCGTTGGTGGCGTCCCTCATCTGCTGTCGGATCGACTCAGCCTCAGGGTGCACATCAGCCTTGCCTCCACCTCCACCCCCACCACCAGCACCACTTCCCTTGCGGCCCCCTCTCCCCCCCTCCCCTTCGTCCACGACCACCAGCGGCCGTCTCCCACCACCACCACCACCACCACCCTGCCTGGCCTCGGCGTTGGCATTGGCCTGCACCATGGCCCGGGAGAAGAGCGCAGAAGGGGGGCCGTTGCGCTGCCCGCCTCCTCGCTGCTTGCCGCCACCACCGCCGGCTGGTGCGGCGCCCTGTGGGGTGATCTTGACGCCGGGGCCGATGCGAGAGCCGCTCGCCGGGGAGACCTCCGCAGCAGCACCCTCGGCGCCACCCTGCTGACCTGATAGGAGAGAAGAATGAAAGGAAGGATGAGACAGACACGGTCAGTTGAGTGAGGTGATAGTGCTGCAGGGTTGGTTGGCTGCCGTGGGTAGGTACCTTTACTTCCGCTCCTACGTCTTCTCTGTCGCTGTCGGTTGGCGCCGGCTCGGCCCGATGCGCCGCCTGCTGCCTCAGGTCCGTTGGCCTCGTGTGATGGCTCCTCGTCGGGGGGGGCGGCCTCGGGCGCCGCCTCCTCGTAGTACTCGTCCTCCTCACCACCTGCCCTCTCGTGCCGACCACTGCCGCCGCCGCCCCTCATGCGGTTTGGTCTTCTGCGTCTCTGCCTGTGCATGGCGCTCCTGTCGGTCTGGTGGGTCATGGTGGTTGTGTCGGTGCCGACGGTGAGGTCGATATCCTTGAAGAGCTCATCGAGGTCGGGAATGGCCACGTCCTTGTTGCCCTCGTCAACCTTCAGACAGATGGCGGGTAACAAAGACCAGTGAGTGAGAGAGTGAGTGGCCCGGTGGGTCGGTGGCTTGTGTAGCGTGTGTGTGTACCTTACCTGGTTGCGCATTTCCATGAGTGTCTTGACGATGGTCTTGAGCTGGTCGCAGGTTTGGTTGCGCTGCTCGTGCAGACGGTTCTCCTCTTCCAACTCGGTGTGCAACGCCTGACACACGCACCCAGCCACACACACAACCAGAGCCATTCAGGGCCCCCCTTCCATGACGGTCCGCATCACAGCACGCACCTGTATCTCCGTCTGGAGGTTGTCGATGGTTCTCATGGTCTCGCCGCGCTTAAACTCGTCCTCGGTCAGCACACGCCCCTCCATCGGCTTGGGTGTCCCACCCTCGGCCTCAGCAGCGAGCATCGCAGCAGCAGCACCACCAGCGGCAGCAGCAGGGGCCGGCTCCTCCTCCTCCTCTTCCTCCTCCTCCTTGTCTTTCTCCTTCGGCGCCTCCTCCTCGACCTCGGCCCCGGCCTCAGCGGGCGTTTCCTCCTTCGCCTCGCCCTCATCAGCGGGCGGCTGCTCGACGGTAGCAGTCACCTCTGCCACCTCTTCCTGTTTCTCCTCCGCGGCTTTCTCGACGGCTGCAGCTGCAGCTGGTGGTGGCTCTGCTGCTGGTGCTGGCGGTGGTGGTGCTGGGGTGGCCACCTCACCTTGCTTGTCCTCTGCGGGCGGCTCCTCAGCCTCGGCCGCACGGGTCGACTGTGGCTGTGCAGCAGCCTCATCGGTCGCGCCGGCCTCCTCGGTCTCAGGAGACGTCGCAGGGATGCCCGCGTCACCCTCGTCCCGCTGCAGGGCGCTCTCGGTCGCATCAGGAGCGCTCTCGGGGGTGGGCTGCGCCTCGGCAACCGACGGGGGAGTGGGAGGCACGGCAGCGGCAGCCTCAGACGCCTTCGTCTCGGTGTCCTCTGCTGTGGCCTGCAGGTCGCAACACGAAGCAGGGAAACGGTCTGTGTCTGGCTCAGTGATGATGCTCGTATGTGCTGCGTGCCCTTTATCATCATCCTGACCTGATCTGTGGCCTTGCGGCCTCTCCCAAAGATCTTGGAAAACATGGCCTTCTCGGGATCTTGCCTGACACCACTGAGGGAGCGTCTGCTTCGTATGCCTCGGTTCTCTTCGCTTCTTTTCCCTTCCTCCCCTGCGCGCTTTTGGCGATGGATCGTGAGAGCAGCAAGCGCAAGGAGGACACGTGAGGGAGCCTGGCGCAGCTGCCAACACCACGCCCTGGTGACGCGTATTCCCTGTGGCTGGGAGGCGAACGACTCGTGACGCATTTATATATCGCGTGTGTCACTGGCACTGCTGCCCGTCAGCGACGGTCGCCATTTGCGTGTGCGAGGCAGTCGGACGGACAACCGCCAGCGCAGCCTTCCCTTTCCCCGCGGCCCTTCATCCGCCATCGGCTCTCAATGCTCTCTCAATAGCGCCGCACCACCGAACCACCCCACACGAGCGCACAGCCATGTTCGCGAGCCAGTACGGCCACCATCACCACGCCAGCCCGTCGCTGGTGAGTTTGCTGCCGCTCAGCAGCCATGACGACAGCATGTCCGACGAGAGCGCCCCGATGCATCACCACCAACACGCGGTGACCTCCCTGGACACGCACACACACAAGGGGGGCGGCCTGAGGGACGACCAACACGTCGCGAGAAAGGAGGACAGCGGAGGGCCCTCATGCGCAGAGTCGTCAAGTAAGAGAGAGCCATGCATCAGTCACGTCAGACGAGTGATCAACACACCAGCGTGTGTCGGTGTGTGGCGTACGTTGGTTGCATCAGGTGGTGGCGCCGCTCCGTTGAGCGAGAGTGAGGTGGCGACGGACAGGGACGAGGAGAGCGACCAGAGGGACTACGCGTCGCTGGCTGCATTCCTCGACGACATACTCAAACACACCATCGAGGTCAGTCAGCCGGTCACCCACACAGCTGTGTGCTGGACAACCAGCGACTAACGAGTCATGGCGCTTTGGGCGTGTTGCGTGTTTGTCGGTTCGGTCCAGGCGTGTCAGGAGCAGATCCTCTTCAGCCTGAGGAATCTCGCGTCGTTGCTCTACAAGGTGCCTACCTATAAGGCCGGCATCTTTCGTGGCACACAATGGATGGATGGACCACCTGCACGAGTGTGCGTGACCGTTGTTTTGTCATATATTGTGCGTGTGATGGTTTATGTATGGACCAGAGTTACCGTGACGACATGCAGCCGTCGCTCCAGAACACCATTTTCACCCTCGGCTTCGAGAGGGCCGTCTACGTAAGCAGGAATGGGCATGGGCGCCACGCACTCACTCAGCGATGGACTGGCCTGCCTGTGTGTCGTCTTGTGTTGTGTGGTGCATGACATGATGTTGTGGTACATGGGTCAGTGTTTCGAGACTGAGATTCGCGAGTTGAAGGATCGGCTGCTGGTGCAGAGAGCGGGTCGTGAGGAGGCGGAGCGAGAGATCCGACAAATGGGCAAGGTGTTTGCCGACTCGATGGTCCGCGGCAAATGCTCACTCATCATCGCACTCTACGAAGTCAGTAAAGAGAGGGAGGGAGGGAGGGAGGGAGAGAGAAAGAGATGAGCCGGCGACGCCACACCCATCGCTGCCTGCCTGTTGGTGTGTGTTGTGTTGTTTGGCTCAGGAGAAGTATGGCCCCATCAGATTGCAGCAGCAGCAGGCGACCGCATAATGGGGTCTGGTCTCTCTCTCTCTTCGTGCCGTGATGGATCGACTATTTTCACTTGACATACATGTCATTCAGTGACTACTCACTCACTGTGCATGTGCTGGCCTGTCTGCCTGTCTGCCTGCCTGTGTTCCTGCCTGTGTGAGAGGCCGGCCAGCTGCTGTAAAGGTCTGTGAAAGAGTGGTACGAGAGGGGCAGTAAGAGGGGGGAGGGAGGGAGGGAGGGAGAGTGAAGGATCGCTTCAGAAGTGTGCAGGGCAGGCAGGGTTTTCCTGACGTATTGCCGCCACCTGCGTGCTGATTTTCCAACATTTCGATGATCACCACAATCATCAAGTGCCTGCCTGTGCCGGCCTGTGGAGCCTGTGTGCGCCTGTGTGAGCCCGTGTGCTGTGAGCGAGAGGGGGAGTGTGTGTGACCATTCATTGTGACCGTGGCCCCCCGTGGCATGAAAGGCATTCATTTTTCCCCTCCCCCCCATCACCGAAGCCGAAAAGGACCACACCGCCCACTTCTTTTTTCTTTACCTTGTTCTCTCTCTCTCTGTGTCTGGCTGTCATTGCTTTGTGTGGTTTGGCTTTGCTTCCTTGCGTACTGGATTACTTGTGTGTGTGGCGGTAGGAGGATTAGATGCATGTGCATTTTTCTTTAGGACGGTGGACAGAACCGATGGAGGGGCTTGGCTTGGCTTGCACACAGAGAGGGAGAGGGAGAGAGAGAGAGAGAGATCTGGATGGATGGATGGATGGATCACCATTGGAAGCATGACGTGCTTTCACCCTTACTGGCTGACTGACTGACTGACTGTGTGTCTGTCTGTCTGTCTGTCTGTGTCAGTGTGTGCCTGTGCCGTGGTTGTATAGCAGCCAGCCATCCACCACAACAACACATGCCATGCCATGCCATGCGTCCGTGTATGTCAGTGCGTGAAAGCTGTCTGAGTGCCAGAGAGAGTGTGTGTGAGATCTGCTTTGTGAGTGAGAGTGTGGTTTTGCTGTCTTGTCTGTCTTGTCTGGTTCTGTCTTGTTGCTCTTGTCCTTCTGATGGATGATGGATGGCTGGCTACCTGGATGGCTGGCTGGCTCCTTGCTGGGCAATTCCCCCACCACCCTATTGTGTGTGGGCTGATGATGCCTGCCTGCCTGCCTCGCCGTGCCGTATCACTGATATTATCCACTCATCCCCTTCATCGACTGATTGATCCCTTCATCCATTCATTCACTCACTCACTCATTGCACGTGGTGTGGTGTGGTGTGTCATGTGTCGATATCATTGATTCATTGGACAGGCTACGCGGTATGGTGTCGGGAGGGAGGGCTGCGGGCGGGCGCTGCGTACGGATGTACGGCCTGTCTGTCTGCTCTGCGCGCCTCTGCCTGCCTGCCTGCCTGCCCACCTGTCTGTCTGTCGATGTGTGTATGTGTGCGCGTGTGTGTATGAGAATGTGTGTGTGCTCATTCGTATGCTGTCAACGTCGTAGCTATCTATACTCATGATAGATATGATAACGGTCGATTGATCAACCAACCAACCAACGAACGAGTCCCTTCCCTTTCTCTCTAGCTATGCCTGCCCGTGTGTGAGGGTCCGTCCGTCTGTCTGTCTGTCTGTCTGGTGCATGCATATTTGTGTGGGCTGCCTGCTGACGAATGGCTGGATGGACAAATGAATGTCTCGATTGCCTGCCTGCCTGTCCATACCTTATATCCATATCCATATCCATGTCTATGGAGTATATCTATATATGGTGGTCTATACGATGGATGGATGATGCGTGTAGCTTTTAAAGACAAGACAAGACAGACAATCTGTTGGTTGGACGGACGGTAGACAGGGCGGCGTGGGGCTGGTCTGGTCTGACCTGACCTGGCCGCCTCTCCCTCCTCTCCATCTGTCCGCCAGGCGTGCCTACCGTCCTTGCTTACTCACGTGCCCAGACAGTGCGTATTCAACGGCTGATGCATGCGACACATCCATCACATGCGCTCACTGCACACTTGGATGATGAGAGAGAGAATGTCACTCACCGACCGGAAAAACGCTTCACACATTAATGAATGCACCGGTGTCAGTCAGGTCACACAAGCACTTGTAAGTAATACATGCCGAGACAGAGACTGTCCGACACGGCACGGCAACACACACTATCATCTCGTCATTCCATCTCGCCCCACTCCTTCCCACGACACACACCAACTCCAACAGACACAGACTGCCCATCTACCGGCACACTTATGTGCCCGTCTGTCTGGGACTCATGGTGGCGGGATTAGCTTGAGGATATCTGCAGCAATGTCACGGCACCGCTGCTCGCTGGCCGGGAAGGGCGAGGACTTCTGCGTCAGGGAGACGCCGATCTCAAGGTCGCGACACCACGGGCCGAGAGAGGCGTCCTTGACCAGACAGCTGCCCAACGCCACACACGACCTGCACGCCAGAGAGGACATCAGACAGACTGCGTGTGTCATATCACGGTGTGTCGGGTGACGGCTGCACTCACTGACCTGTAGAAGCTCTCAGGGTCGGTTTCATTGCTAAGGTGTTCGCCGATGAGGGACACCAGCTGCGTGCACCCAGACAGAGAGAGGGAGGGAGGGAGGGAGAGGGGGCCACACAGAATATGCAGAATGGAGAGACAATCGATGTGTGTGTATGGTCGCTGATATATCAGTCACCTGTTGTTCGCCCTCTGGGTCAGGCCTCTCCTGGAAGAGCTCGGCGTAGTTGCAGAGGATGGTGGCGAAGGCGATCCGCACGTTCTTGTTGGTCGACGCAGCCAACTCGGCGTCGGCCAGGCCATCCAACACCTGCACCCACACACATCCACACACACGCACTCACAGAGAGAGATGTGTATACGTCTGTGTGTGACGCATGTGTGTGCCAAGTCACCTGCTGTCGCCTCCTCATCATGACGTATTTGTTAGTGGGGAAGTGGAAGAGGTTGGCCATGTACCGCAGCGCAAACACGCCCGCGTTGCCGTTGGGGTCCGCCTTGGCCGTCTTCATCGCGTGAACTATCAGGTGCCAACTGCAGCCACCACACACACACACACACAACACAGAGACAGATAGGTGTGTGTCTTCGAACGTCCAGGCACTCCACTGACCCTTCGTCCGATCCCTTGTGCATGTCGGTGCTCTGCGGGTGCAGCGAATACGCACGCCAAAGATCCATAACCGGGAAATGCTGCCGTCCGCACACACACACACACACACACACAGAGGGAGAGAGATGGAGACAGACATTCCCCCGATGGGGTAACCCTCACACACACACACAGACGTTTGTTTGTACTGTACCTACCTTGTCCAGCGGCCAGTGTGGGAACTTTTTGAAGAAGAGGTCCATCTCGCAGTTGCGGAACTCCTGGTCCAGGAACTTGGCGTGCTTGAACCGGGCCATCGCCTCGCGCAAGTAAACCTTCTCGATGTCCGTCATCTTGCCCTGAGTGAGTGCACCAGAAGACACCACAGCACAGCACACCACACCACACGACAGCACACACACACACACGGTGATTCAAGGGGTGTGGTCGGTGTGGTGGGTGTGAAATGCGCCGCGCCCACCTCATGGCCCTCGGGCAGCTGTTCGTCGAACTCGACGAGCTTCTTGTGCATAGCATCGACGTTGCTCGTCTTGAAGATCAGCCTGAACACACACACACACACACACATCATGGCCTGTCTCCACTCCTTCTAGCCCCCCTCCCTCCTCCGCTCTCACCCCTGCTGGATGGGAAAGTGCTTCGTGTGTTTAGACGCCGGTTTAGTCCCGTTGCTCATCGGCTTGTGCGCCTGTGACGTCGGGGCAGCAGATGAGGCTGCTGCTGCCGATGGGGGCGCTGCCGACGTCGGCTGCGTCTGTGTGGGAGGCGCCCTGGGTGCAGGCTGCAACGTGGCCGCATGCTGCCGGATGAAGCTCGCCACCTGCTCGACGGCCTGCTTCCCCAGACCCTCGCGAGCTCTGCATAGAGACCATGGAAGGAGAGTTACAGGTGTGTGTGTGTGTGTTGGTGTCTCGTGTGTCGGTGGGGTGGGTACTGACTGACATGAATTTCTCTGCAACGACGAGAGGGTTGTCGCCTATCCTGAAGGGCAGCCTGGCCTTGCTGCCGCCGCTGCCGATCTCCACTGGCCAGATGGCGTCGTACTGACCCGCTGGGAAATACTGCGACACACTCATTCAGAGACACCAAGACATACACACGGTGCAATGGGTGGATGTTTGTCGTGTGGCCACCTGGTCGCCCTCGTACATTCTGTCGCCCACTGAGATGGTCGATCCACCTGCACCTCTGCTCAGACAGACAGACAGACAGACAGACAGATGTGGTTGGAGTCAGATAGAGGTCGCCTGCGTGTGAGCCTCCCTCCCTCCCTCCTTGCTGTGCTGGCTTACTGCGGCTGTTGGTCCTTGTCCTTGCCGACGACCTCCCCGATCCTCTCCCACTTGCTGCCCGTCCACTGATACGCCACCACCAGATTGCCCTCCTGCAGCAGTGCACAAGGAAACACACGACACACATGCCATTTGCTGAATGACGTGCTGCTGCCTCACCTTGAACAGCCCCGTCTGGCCAACACGGCTGCCGCGGACACTCTGCAACACACGTGTCGTGCCACCAACAGATGGATGGATGGATGGATGGGTGGATGGGGGGTCTTTGAAATGAGCTCATCCCTCTCTCTGTTTGGCTCTCTCTTCACGCACGCACGCACGTTGATCTCTGAGACGTCCCGAAGGTCCCCGAACTCAGCAGGGGTGGCGCGCTTCTCCATTTCTTCGGCAGCCGACTGCACACAAACCACTCATTGTGTGTGTGTGTATGTGTCTGTGTCTGTCG